GTCATATAAATGGAAGGATGACCACTGTGATCAGGTGAACAAAAATGATCAGGTGAACGTAATTGATCTGGATGAATATAAAGGTTAATATAAATGAACATAAACCAATTTTGACAAGACTCGCAATCCAAGATGACTGTCGTTGCCAAAATCAGAAGAAGAAAACAAATATTCATGTGGACAATAATTACGAAATGCCTTGATCAATATTATCAGGGTGTGGTTTATTTATTGGTTGACATCCAAGGATTATATCAGTCAGGCTTGAAGAGGTTACGCCATCTTATATATAATCAGTGTTGGTTATCAAACGGAATACTTCCTCGGTCAACTTAACGGGTTACTGAAAACTAAATGTTACGTTGTATTTTGTCATCATCGTTAACTCTAAAATTGTGGTGCTAGGATGGTCTCCCAGCCATCCTTACTCGTATACTATATCAAGTGAATCCTACAATGTTATACGAGGGCTATCCTGAATCTTATTTGTTAGGATTCTGGAGGATTGCATGAGGCTATTGTTAACTGATGTGGAGGATTGCATGAAACTACTGTTAACTGATGGTCATGTGACGACTAATACTGTGGTAGTTTTGCCCTATACTGTCCTTAACCACGTTGATCTACACTTCTACACTGAATTCTTGTACACTGTTGGGCTGTTCATAGGTATAGGTTTAGTGCTGAGTTTTCTTCGGTTATTTCAGGAGTTATATATTAATTGTATTTTTGTATTTTTATTGGTTTAAGTACAATATAGTACATTATCCGGAAGATGCTGGGCTTGTTCTTCAAAATTAGATCCGGATTCTTAAATAGATATGTAAGATAGAATTGTTATTGATATTGGAGAATGCTTGTTCATTTACGTTAGTCTCAGCTTTATATCGATGCATTTTTGTTCACCATCTTTGGGCCTTAAATGAGTTAGTTAAATGGCTCACTGAAGCTACGATACATAGATTGCGTCTTATATAGCGAAGGTTACAAAAACTGCAGTACGAATTTTTTTAGAATCCGTACTCAGATTATTATAGTAATTAAGATGCTATGAATTATACGGTAGTGGTGCAGGTTCTCCAGCCTTCAGCGCCCTTATCTTACCGCGCACTGGTGTTTGGTGTTGAGGGGGTGGGGGGAATGGGACTCTACTATTAGGGGTAAAATTATTCTAACTAGCCTTACCACATTCTTATAGTAAACATCTGTTCAACACACTAATACGACGGGGTAAGAATGACAGCTTCATTCTTAGCACAAGGGTATGTTTCATTATATTAAACGATGGAATGTTTTATCAGTCTTCCCGTCCCTTTAATCCTACTATCCACTGTGTATATATTAGGTAGTGTTGGAAGTACAGGAGAACAATTCAGGGTAACAAACAGCTGCCAGGGTTTATGCGAGCTGTTCCCGGTACTGTGTGGGGGTGAGGTGAGGGTCAGCGTTGAGTGGCGGATCTCTGCTACATCTGGTGCCGGCGGGACCAGCTCTGCATGACCGACACACTGCAGCGCTTACACTTGTTCCTGGTGCACACATACTTACACGGTACATTGAACATGGAGGGTGTTGTGGTGTTCCTGGTGCTCATGAACTGACACGGTAAACATTGATGGAACTTGTAACTACACGCGAAGTAAACACATGCTATAGTAAACACAAAATAGACATGTGATATAGTAAACAAAATAAACATATAGTAAACACACAAAATAAACGCACATACCATTACTTAGGTTAGGTTAAGTTATAGTAGGTAAGATTAGATTAAATTTGGGTTATGTTAAGTTAGGTTATGGTAGGTAAGGTTAGATTAGAAGAAGGTTATGTTAAGTTAGATTATTAAGTTAGGTTAGCATTAGTGTGGTTAATCTTCAGGTGGTGTAGCCTGGGAGCGAATCTTCAGGTGAACAGAAGGAATATACTATTATAGGTCATGTGAATATAGCCATGCATATTACCGTGCTAAAGACTTTGTTCACTTATGTAGACGTGTACAGCTTGAGACGAGGATGGCGCAGGCGTTCAGGTGTTCAGTTGATGGAATGGATGAACTGAGTGGGTGGCGTACCTAAGATATCCAGGTAAATAATAGTGCATTGAAGATTATCCAGGTAATGGTAGGGGATTAAAGATTACCCTGATAATAATGGTAGGCTGAGGACTATCGTATTTATGTTGCGAATATAACATTTAAGGTATTTTTTTTTATCGTAAGGGTATACTGTACAGTAGTCTTGGCAACAGGTGGGTTCGGGAGATATACCCAGTTATCCACTCACCCTTGGCAGGTTTCGGTATACAGTATATTGTGTTGGTCACCGGAGAGTGGCAGTCGGTGGCTACATCATCCTTTAAGTGGGTGAAATTAACTTGAATTTTAGATGTTAGCGAGAATTTTGGGTAGCTGTTAATGTGAACTTTGGAAAGTTAACGCGAAATTTAGACACCAATCCCACATTGCACCAATAAACCTACATGAAAATAATTTAGACTATGCATATGTATCTCTCTGAATATGTAGTAGGCAGCTATCAGACAGGGAGGTACTACCGCCTGGGAATATTTTGGAAGCATAATGTGTTGTCTAATGGTAGACCCTGCTGCCATATGGCATCACAAAAATAGTGACCAAGTCCCAGGTTGCTGATCTGACTTTCTGCCTCATTTACACACAAGTGGAGGGTCTCAAATGTTTCTTTGACAACACAACATACATATATTGTTTTTCACTATTGATCTCTTTTTTTATTTTGTTATTTATTTATGGTCCTTTATTATTATTATTATTATTATTATTATTATTATTATTATTATTATTATTATTATTATTATTATTATTATATTTTTTTTCTTCTTATTTTTTATAAATTATTATTATTATTATTATTTTTATTATTATTGTTGTTGTTGTTGTTGTTGTTGTTGTTGTTGTGTTTTCGACCCCAGGCCCTGATGTGGGTCATTGACCTGTGCTCTGGTGGGCTAATCCCATAAAATATATATATATATATATATATATATATATATATATATATATATATATATATATATACACATACGATGCTGAGTTCTGTGACCTTGGCCTTGGCCTTGGGGATCTCGAAAGTCAAACACCTAAAGGTCACAGGTGCTCCATGAGTGGACAGCAGTTGTCATCAAAATGGGTCAAGGTTTTGGAGAGTTACTTAGGTGAACAGACGGGTGAATAAACAGGTGTACAGTGTGATGGGGGTAAGTGTTACATTTAAACCTTAGGGAGATGAAAGGGAATTCAAAACTATAATTTGTTAATGAAGACAACTGAACAAATGAGAATAAATATACACTACCAAAATGTCATCATTGTTTATTTTCCTTATCAAAATATTTTGTTTATTTTTCTTAAAGTGATCTAATCTTAACCCCGAAATACACCGAGTTTTCTGCCTCACAGTTACAGAAACAAATTTGTGGTTGTGTTGTAGATGTTGGGCGGGCGGGAGAGGTTGTTGTCGTGGAGACAAGGCTGTATCCCCGCCCTCTGTCACCACAAGGTCACGCCCGCCACCTGATCTACCCCTCCCATCCCTCCTCCAATGGGTTGTCTTCCCGGGCCCCTATCTCACATACACACACACACACATACATTCTATTTATACAAGGATAATTTTTTTATTTATAAATTTTACAATTTACATATATACTGTATACATATTACATAATAACATTTGTAAGTGAAATATTTGGATGACTTTTCTTTTAAAATACACTTGATCATCCATTTATTATAATATATCCTGCCTTTAATAAAGGCTATAGTCTCCTTAACATAATAATTTTCTTTCCTACTAGCACATACAGTAAATATAATCTGTCATTAGCATGATCATTGTATTCTTATCCGTATTATCACTACAGTTAATATTAAACATTAAGAAATGTAGAAATAATTTGCTATTTACATTGCAGACTGTATTCAGGATATTTTTAAACAATTTAATTATCTCTTTGTTATAGAAACAGAAGTAAAATACATGTAATGGATATTCTACCTCACCACATCTTACACAACTATCATCTTGTTTTATGTTTAACATTTTTAGTCTCTGATTTGTTGGTAGAGTTTCATGAATATACCTATATATGAAGCCTTTCTGGTGAGGATCCATATATTTACAAGCAATATTTTCCCAAATAAAAGGCCATTTAAACAACGGATACTTTTCTTCAACTGCAGATTTTGTCCATATATCAGCTATAATAACCTTTGACCAGTATTTTGCTGTATTCACAAACCATTTCAGTACGAACGCCCAAAACTTAACGTATACTGTATATACTGTAAAGAATCAGGAAGCAGGAGCAGAATTACTGTATGCAGGCTCCCGTCACTCATTAAGGCCCACTTTGCTGAAACACGTGTCCATTTTCTTTCGTATGCAAACCATCTTAATCAAGACTCACGCCCATTATGTAAACGGTTGTAGTACCTCATAATTTCCTTGTCCTCTATATTCACAATGTATTTAAATGTCAACTAGGTCGTCGTCACTCTTTACGATGAAATCACACAAGTTTGATAATATCTTTGATAACATATTTTTTTTACCAACTGAAGCATCAAGTAGCGAGGTAGGTAACCCTTCCCCTCCTGGAGTTTATTGACGAGATGATGAGTATTGATGATAAGTGTTGTTGATGGTAGTGTTCCTTGATCTAGGTATTAAGAGTAGCATGCACATTATTACTGTACAGGACAAAATGTAAATATTATGATATTATACCAGTAGTTAATGGACTCATGCACCTTCTTAAGTTATTGTGACTTCTGTAAGTTATTGTTAATTAGTAAATCCTTATTAGATATTACCAACATTGAAAAGATAACAAAATTGTTACTAAGCATTGCACGTGTATGTCACATAACCTCTCTTATATGTCATGCTAACACTGAAAGTTTATCTTTGTATACTCTTATCACTTTATCTGATGCGGGAATATTTGTGTACCCACAGGTCGAGATGACATGTCCCCCTCCTCCCTTAACAACTACGGCACAGACTCCTACAGCGACCTCAAGAAGAAAAAAGGCCCCATACCCCGCCAACAGGAGGAGCTGTGCCTGGTATGTGGAGACAGGGCGTCCGGCTATCATTACAATGCGTTAACCTGTGAAGGATGCAAAGGTAAGGAGGAGAGTCAGGTGTTGACGTATCGCTGCTCTAATACAACTAGACTATCTGTTATTTTTGTTTAGTATAACAGTAATACTAAGTAAGAACTGATTGGTGTGTAGGGCTGCTTTCACAATGCTAAGTTGGGGATAAGGTTGTGGTTAGAGAATCACAGCCATGACTTGGATTATGAGCTGAATCTAGCAATAGGTACAACTTGTAGGTTGATTAATATAGAGCCCTTACTTACATGTAGATAAAGGTTTCTTCAAGCTTATGATATAGCACTGCTGTAGTCTAAAATGGGCAGAATCTTGAAGGGTATGTTTCAGAGGTTCTTTGCACACTTTACAATTGGAGTGTTCATGCATAGGATTGACATCAGAAACTTGCTAGATATATCTGTAGTCAAGCCTTATGTGTGCAGTGGCAATATCACACTGTCAAGTTCTCACTTTATATTTACAAAGTGTTTTGTGTGAAAATATTGGCCAAAATATTTAATGCTGCAAGTTTCTGGACTTGAATACAGTAGTTTCTTAGGAGGGTTAGTTCCTTTATGAGTGTGGTGAGAGATGTACCCAGATCACCATCAAGATGTTCTTTGTTGTAAGTGTGTCAGATATCTTCTTTCTTGATGTTAACATGAAATGGTATCCACACTTACAGAATCTGTGTACAGTACCAGATCTTTGGGAAGATATTATATTAGGTTCAATGTCTTATGCTGTTCTAGGTGTGATGAAACATTTTTAGATGGACTCATCACCTGAAAGACACTTTTAATGTAACAGCAGATGAATCCCACCAGCTCAGTTTGTATGGTACTAGCTCAGCTATGTTATCTTTTGGGACCAGAGAACTCGACTTGGGAATTCCTGTACAGTACACCAAATATGTGCATTGAGCTCTGCCACCATCAGTGAGAACAGTCATAAGTATAAAGACAACATTCATTATTACTTACTGGGTGCTTGTTCTGCATTGTCACTGAGTTCCTTATGAGTGATGCATCTGTGTTAATTTCTTGTCATATAATTTTTTGTGGAATTTAATATAACTAATGGGAGGAACAAATTCTTCCCTTGGGTGAATTAATGTTCTTTAAGTATCATTGTATACTATACAGTACTGTACAGTATTTACCGGTACAAAAATTTTATTGTTGTAGTACTGTACCTGTTTTCATCTGTCTCATATTTTGAAACCTGAAGCTCACAATATCTGATAATCATTTACCGTTCTCAGGTTTCTTCCGAAGATCTATCACCAAGAATGCAGTCTACCAATGTAAATATGGCAACAACTGTGAAATGGACATGTATATGAGACGCAAGTGTCAAGAATGTCGTCTGAAGAAATGTCTCAGTGTTGGCATGCGACCAGAATGTGAGTACTGTATTAGATGTTTTTGTTTAATCATGCAATTACAGTCTCTCCTCGACTTACGACAACCCGGACATACGACGGCCATGGTCGTATAAAATATTTTTCACATTACATATTTTTGAGTCCCAACGTTAGTGATCGCGCTGTGTACTGATAAAATTTTCGTTTGTAATTCCCTTTAAAATCGCTGGCAAGCGTAAAAGTGAGAGTTTTCGTGGTGCTGAGAAGAAAAAGAGACACCCATTTTAGAATTTCTTTGTATTATTTTTGCCTTTTTGACTTACGACCAATTTGACTTATAACCTGGTCGTCGGGACGGAACCCCGTCTTAAGTCGAGGAGAGACTGTACTACTAGAGAGTAATAATTTTTTGGTTGTTGCTACCAGCCCAAATCTAGTTCTCAGTATATATCCTAGCTAGAGCTGCACATGTGCATCCTATATACAAAATAGCTATTTATGAGACCAGACAAGAACTGACCAAATATACTGTAACTTGATCAAACCTAACCTAACAGTCTTAGGTTTGGATTTGTGTTTTGTGTCAAGTGTTGCAGCTTACTGCACGTGTGTACTGTGACCAACTTGGCTTAGTGCATTCAAGAGCTGTTTATGTTATAAGTACTGTACTGTACATATGTTTATGGCATACCATACCTAGCTGGATCCAGTTCTATAGTCACATCCTGTGATTTACATTCAATTTATTAAGTACAGTATCAGGACAGCATGATCTTAATAAAAGTTATGAGTAGACTGTGTTATAAATTCCAACATAAAAAGTCACTGCTAATGTTTATCTATTTGGCTTATAAACTCAAGAGTAAATATTTACAAATGATATGGGCATAAAACCATTGCAATATATGGCCAGTATTGTACACTACTCTATTTCACTATCAAGTAAACTACAGGAAGTAGTAGCCACTCACAGTTGGATGGAGTGAAGTAAGATGCCTCACACACTCACTACCCTGGCTCAAATTCATTTGAGAATCTAATACTGTACAACATTATATTATGTCCAATGCAGCACACACACATATCAGATTACTTTGAGTTTGTGTAATATTTATTTTATTTTTCTAGGTGTGGTGCCAGAGTCTCAATGCCAAGTAAAACGTGAACAGAAAAAGGCCCGGGATAAAGACAAAAAGGATTATCCCAGCATTGGCTCCCCCATAGCTGAGGAAAAGGCTATCATAATTAATCCAGTGAGTAGCAGTGTGATCCCATGTGGAGAGCTCAATGAGGTATATGAGTATAAGATGCCAAACTTTATTTTATTTTATTATGCAATTAAATGGTACAGTATTAAGGTGCACACTATACAGTACACTACCTGTACAAGGGAATTCCTTTAAATGTTTCTATTCTACGTACATTGATTTACTGTAGAGAAAATTAATTTTCATAAGAAATTCTGTCTCGGAGATTTCATTAAGTATGTGGCAACCATATCCATATGGGAAAGTGCAGAAACAAAACCAATAAATTGTGTATTTTGATCCTAAATTCGTAGTAATATTTAATATACCGTATTAATATTCCTTATTTTGTTATTTATTTACTGTGATCATGCTTTTAAAAACATTATTTACAAAATTACTTTATTTCAGTGTAAACCCAAAGGATCACCAACTGCTTCTGCTATGCAGTTCAAAACTCTTGTGGGAAGCAGTAACATCACTTTAAGTCCTGTAAGTAAAATTCGGCCTTGACAACAAAATTATTTAATTCCATTACGGCTTAAGGACAGTTAAACGCAGAAATTTAATGTAAAATGTTGTACAATTTAGAATAACACTTGTACATATAGTGATGGAATATTGTTAATATTCAGTCACTTATGGGCAAGTTATGTATTATTGCTTACAGGATATTGTCATAATTAAAATACCAATAAAACATTCTTAATTCTCTAATACATTAATAAAGTTGCAGGAAGCTCACTTCCAAAAATAAGAGCCAATTATCATTACTTGTATTTAGCATCACAAAATTAGTACGTATTTGGAAAATACAGTAATCAACATGATGTGGAAAATTAAGAACATAGATATGATTTTACCTGCACCTAGTTGTGCTAGTCCATATGTTTAACTTCAGAAAGTTTCCCAATGGAATATGGTAACTTGCCACTTCATATTGTTGTACTGATAAATCACTGTTATCGTCTTGATACTTTTCTCATACTTGTTTATTTGTTTATCCTTAATTATGCAGCGACAGTATAGATAATACAGGTGAACCATTAATGAAGGAAGGGAATAAAAAATATGGCAGGTGAAACAATAATGAAGGAAGAGTGTCAATAAAGATGGCAGGTGAACCATTAAAGAAAAAGAACATCAATGAAATAGAGAGCCATACTCATTCTCTTATTCTATGTTCCTTGTACAGTATACATTGACAGTTATCAAATACCCTGGGTAAAGCTGTTTTGTGTACTGTATTTAAATGCGTTAACTTCCATTTCTTTTTGTACAGTAAAATTTGCTACTATTTCTCCAAGTGTGCACTGTACTCCTATAATTCCCCTATACAGTACTATACTGTATATTCATATTGTAATGGTCATATTTTTTGTACGCTAATTGGATTAGACATTTTTGTCAAGACAATATACGTATTGTAGTACAATCTACAAACTGTTATTTTCTGTTTTGTTTTGTTTTCATATCCATGTATGCTCTTCAATACAGTACATGTTTTTGTTTTATGGTGCCTGTGAGTTAGAGGGACTTGAAAATTTCCATAATTTGGAAGTACAGGTATTGTACAGTAATTTATTCATTCCTATAATCCAAGCAGAATTGAAGTGCTTTCCTCTTTAGCAATTGTGCTATACAGTATTATATAAAGAAACTCTAGTTACTTAAATTTTACTTAAATTTACTTAAGTCTTAAGGTACAGGTTAACATAACTTAATTAAAATTCCCCAAATTAATTGAATATAGTATTCATTAATTTTCAATTAACCTTCCTTTAGAAAAGGGGGTGGGGGGGGGGGGGATTCGGATTGTTAGAACCAACTCCCTCCCCCCATAGACCTGGGACATGTGAAGTTGGTGGTTAGAACAAAATCTATAACCTGTATCTATAGGGAAGCAATTTTACCTTCCTTGTTACCTGTAGAGTTTTCACCATAAATTATTAGCTGATACCATGGCCTGCAATGGAACCATGAAAGTGTCAGTGAATGGTTATTGTTTAACATGGTTTTCTGCCAAAACTTATGTCTAAACAGCAAGTATTTCATAAGGGAATGTAGAAGATTTGAAACTCACCACAAAACCCTTGGTTGTAGGTCATTCACTTTTGTAGAGAGATTTGTTGCACTGCAGCATGCATCAACAACCTATACAGTACATGAATGTATCTGGCTCAGCAACATGGTATCAACTACTCTTTTGACAGATGCCAACAATGCCAAGGACTAATATTAAACCCTTGACTCGAGAGCAAGAAGAACTGATCCATACTCTAGTCTACTATCAAGAGGAATTTGAGCAGCCCTCTGAAGAAGACCTAAAGAAAATCAAAGTAAGTTGATGATTGCTCATTATTTTTTTTATCTGTGGCGATGAAGTGTAATAGTTTCAAAATTTATTTAATTTTGAAAAATTAATACAATACAGTATGTGATTGCTGTACACAGGGAAAGAAAAAAATTTCAGGAGACCACCTAGTTGATACTCTATTCTTTTTATGATTGTGTGGCCCATCCTGTGTAATACAGTAATGTTGCCTCTAGTACTGTACTGTGTTCAGTTATTTAGTACTTTACAGTATCTCTTGTTTCGAAGATGAATTTTAGGCTTTACTGGAATTTACCTGGTGTGTACAGGTACTGAGTCGGGTTATGTAGTTCAAGTTCATGAGATAATTTTATACAGCTGCCAAAAGCCCCAACTGATAGCCTTTACTATGAGCCGGAATCCTTGTTCTGGCAGTCCGTATCCAGGTGATTTCGCATAGTAAAGGCTATCAGCTGGGGCTTTTGGCAGCTTTATAAAATTATATCATGAACTTGAACTGCATAACCCGACTCAGTACCTGGAAAATTCCTGGGATGCGGGATTTTTTCCAGCTTTGAGGGTCACCTCGTTACCTGGAAATCTCTCATTCCTGGAAGTGCTTTGCACCATTTGTTCCTGCTAATGGAGATATCACTTATATATACTATACTGTTTACTGGTATAATGAAACAATGCCATGGTGTAGTGGGTGCTACTACTGTTTCGAGCTCATTTGATTTAAGTGTCAATAGCTTTGCAACAAATGTTGATACTGTACTATGAAATACAGTACAATACAGGCAAGTCTACTGCACCATTACATTCGACACTTCTTCTTACACTGAGGGGAGATTCATGCAGCAGCCAATTAATACAGCTGGAAAATCAATATTTATTACTATTATATAAAAGTGATAAAGATTTTAAATTTTCTTTCCCTGTGAGCTAGTTTCCACATGCAAGAACTCTGTCTCACAAGAAAATCATTTTATTATTTCATGTTAGAGTAGATAATCCCAGTACTACAGTACTGTACACTATCACCCCCCGGGAGGTACAGTGTCCGTCACTTGGGTGTAACTAGTTTCATTCACTATACGTAATGTCATTCCACAATGCTGTTGAGATTATGCTGGGTTCTCTTTGAATTATCTGCAATTATTATTTTTGAAATGTCATTATTAAAATTTCTACAATCAAAATATTTCAAAATTTATGATAAAATAATCTTTTGTATCTGAGAATCTGTTTTTGCTCTTTTTGTTAAAGTATTTTAAGAAATTACTTTATATTGTATACTGTATTGGCAGTTTTAATCTCTTTATCAAACTTTAGGTGTTGTGTTGACAACTTAAGACAGTTGTTGTACAAGTATAGATTTGTTTATGAAAGTAGTCTGCTCTGAAAAGAAGATACTTCTGTAGTATATGAGAACTTTATTATGGTAGATATTTTACTGTATATAAATTGTTTTTCATTTGTGCATTATAGTTGTAACAGGAGGTAATCGATATTCTTGAGTGTGTAATTCAAGTGATCTCCACCCAGAAATTTTCAGTTGTGCTGTACTGAAAATCACAGCTTGATAATGTACAATGAGAACTTCCTAATACTGTATTTTCTCTCAGTCAGAAATCTTTCTCTTGGACTTAACCCAAAGATTTATCCTCCATCTCCCATACAGTATACGTACAGTAGTACATTATGTCTGACAACGCAAATATTGGTCATGATAATATTTAAGGTTAAGCTGACTTTTAAATTAATTCTCTTTTGTAAGATTTTTTGTGGATAGTTGATAATAGTGATAAAGCATTGAAAAAGAAAGGCATTTTCAGATTAACAATGAATATTGGTGAGATCACTGTACTGTAGGTATTAATGTCCAGTACTGTACTCTTAATGCCCAGTACTATATACTCTTAATGCCCAGTACTGTACTCTTAATGCCCAGTACCCATACTCTTTATGCCCAGTACCCATACTCTTAATGCCCAGTACTGTACTCTTAATGCCCAGTACCCATACTCTTTATGCCCAGTACCCATACTCTTAATGCCCAGTACTGTACTCTTAATGCCCAAGACTGTTAAGTATTCTTTACATACTTAAATCACCTGCAAATATGTTTAAGACAATCACTCACTCTTGAACCAATATGAAAAGAAGAGGCTCTCATTAACACGTGCAAAGCACCCCTCCACAAGTCGGCTCTCTTGGTACCTGACCTATCAGACTACAGTATATTTTGGTGATTGGGAATCTTGCATGTTTACTGCTTTTATTTTTGCATGAACTCTTTATAATTCTTGTATTTTTGCCTTTAACCTGCTATTAAACTGAAGCATAAAATTTGTTGAAATGTGAATGATATTCTGGATTGCTTATGAACATTAGATATATTGTACTGTAGTTTGGTTCCCATTAACAGCATTTGTGAATCTGTTCATATAAATTATGTCACAGTTTTTAATAAAACAATTTAATTTTAATGTTTTATGCAAGATCTAAAAGGAGCTATTTTTTTATTCTAAGGAATCGGCATTAAGAACTATTATAGGAAGATAAACTTATAAGTTTTCCGCTTTCTATGTAAATTTTTAAAATGATGTCAGTGGCTGATGCATTTATATTTTGCTTACGTATATTGTCGGAATATTTCATAACCCATTACATAAAGAGTACATTAGCATGCAGTACTGAGGTGAAGACCCGAGACATCTTTCAGGAGAGTAGTTTAAAGAATGGTGACAACACAGAAAGGCATATACACTTTAAAAAGATTAGTAATGATTTCATAAATTCTAAGAATTGTTTTTATAATACTGTCCTGTATTTATTTAGCGGATCATACTGATACTTCTCTCGGTAATAATAGAACAGTTTTCAAATAGTTACCATTAATTTTGTGTCACAATAAGATTAACAGGTGTGGTGAACCTTAGCAGAACTTTTTCAGTAAAATTAGTGTGAAAATGCATTATCGAATGACTGACACTGAGTGTGACCAAATTATCAAAGTATTTTACCCAGACAGAAGACCATTACAGTTATTAAGGCTTACATAAAGTTATTGGCTTGTTACTCAGCCCATTATATATGGGGATGTCACCGATCAAGACCACAGTGCTGTTTTTTATTAGAAATACAGAATGATGTAGAGTATTTTTCAATAAGTTTCAGTTACCATTTCTGAGTCAGTATGTTGCTTTAAGAAAATATGAATATTTCTTGATGTATATCAGTACAAAGAATTAATTCAGATTCTGTTTATATTTTAACTGAGGAGAGGAAAAGATGGATTGTATCTACTGTTGTGTTCATTAGGCTCCTCCTGACATTGAAACTGTGTTTATGTAAAATTCTTTCTAAATAATCCAGCCAATGCATATCTTCATACTTTCTGTTGCCTGATCCACAGTACAGTATAAACATTTGAATATTTATAATAAACTATATATATAAATATACAGTATATATCTATATATACTGTATATATATATATATATATATATATATATATATATATATATATATATATATATATATATATATATATATATATATATATATATATATATATATATATATATATATATATATACATACAGTATATATATGCTGAAGAAAATTTGCATGCAAGCTTATTTTGACGAACAAACGAAGTAGTTGCTTGCCGCCTGAACTATGAAAGATGAATCTCTTAAATTTCTTAAAATATTGAAGAATAAGAGAACAGTCATTTATCAGTTTAGAGAGCAGCCATACTAAAGGCACACCATATACTAGAGTGTACCCTGAGTCCCCAAAAAAATTCCAGTCATTGCAGTATTGGAATTGTGTTAATTCTCATACTAAAAAGCTTCAGATCATGGTATACCCTGGTACTGTATACTGTGTTGAGTTAGAAACAAAATCCCACTGTAACCTTCAGTGAGCAGATGATCAGTTGCAAGTTAAACTATTTAAATTTGATAAATTGACAATAAAGGGAGGTTTGATGACAGTTTTAAGGTGATATTACTTCTTGATTTAAAATGACATGCCATTTATATTGTAATACAGTAGCTACGGTATATATATGTTGAAATTGAAGAAATAATTTTTGGATATAATTCTTAATGACTTAATTAGTATGTGATATATAGTACAGTATATAATATTAAATTAATACTTACAATTGAGAACATTTGTTATGAGGGAAAAGGGAAATTTTAAACCTACAATGGACTGGACTTGCTATACAACATTCTTCAGAGAGCTTGACTAAGTATCCTGCTGGCCACCAGACCCACCCAGAATATGTTGCTGGCAACAAAAAAGACACAAAATTGTTGCCATACTGTAAATTCGAGATATTTTAAAACTGTGCATGGTACAGTACATGAATATAGATGGAAATTTCACTACCAGTTTTGTCAATGATTCTAGTGTTCATGTTGGCACTGCTGAAGAATGAATGTCACTAACTACAAAAAAAATTAAACTTAGGAGTCAAAAAGGTGCCATATTTTTTCCTCGCAGAGAACCTTGGCTCATACTTTTATAACCATGGAAAGATCCTACACTTAATATTATGGTATAGGATTACTATATGCCATCACAGTAACTATCACGAAGTCTAGTATCATATTCCCCCAAGTAAAACAAATTTTAGGAGAGGAATTAGGTCTCCAGTACAGTATTGCATTAGATGCAGTACTTACTAAGACCCTTTGACTATGAACAAATGTATTTTATGCTGATTATTTGTACAGTATATTCTATGTATGTTTGAGTGATTTAGAGAGTGTGTATGCTTTAACACTCAAATTCATGTGTATGTATGTATGTATATATGTATATGTATGTATGTATATATGTATGTATGTATATATGTATGTGTATGAATATTTATGATACTGTACTTGAGTGCATATTTGTTTGTATCGTTGTCTTTGTTTTACATAAAGAATTTTGTATATGCTTATTAGTGATTCTGAGTGTGTGTGATGTATTTATTTGTATCATTGAGTGGGTATATCATATTTATGCATGTGATGCAATTATCCCTGTATTTGTCCATGTGTGTATGTGTGTGTATAAGCATTACATAACTGTGTTTATTGTAATGGTTGTGCATTTGTGTATATGTGTATTCTATTAAATGTGCATGGTTGTGTAAATCCCCGTAAAAAAAAATAAACATTTACATGTGTATCTGCATATTTGTTACTATTTGTTGTGTTTTCTATGTGAGTGATGTGCTGTTGAGTTGTATGAGTGTGACTTGTATGATGAGAGAGAATTTAGGAGAGGATATACTTAAGTGTGTCTCATGCTGTTGAGTTGTATGAGTGTGACTTGTATGATGAGAGAGAATTTAGGAGAGGATATACTTAAGTGTGTCTCATGCTGTTGAGTTGTATGAGTGTGACTTGTATGATGAGAGAGAATTTAGGAGAGGATATACTTAAGTGTGTCTCATGCTGTTGAGTTGTATGAGTGTGACTTGTATGATGAGAGAGAATTTAGGAGAGGATATACTTAAGTGTGTCTCATGCTGTTGGGATTATTGGTCAGATTCATAATGTTAAGGGAAGTGGAACCAATACCTTTTAATTTTAATGATGTAGTGTAACAGTTGTCTTGATATGTACCCAGAATTGCTATCTGAGAATACTCAGAGATTTCAACACTGTGTTTCAGTTTAATAGCTTGGTTTCTTTGACTGAAATGACTTGTAAATACACAAATGACTGAAGTACAATATCTGAACACTATAGCTATTAAAGTGTTCCCTTACTTCTTGTGAATCGTTTTCAGTCATTTCCTCACAAAGTGGCTTCTGTTTCCTTTCTTCAGTTTACCTTCGATGGTGAAGATACAAGTGACATGAGATTCAGGCACATAACCGAGATGACGATCCTCACAGTTCAACTCATAGTGGAATTCTCCAAGCAACTACCAGGTTTCGGCACTCTTGAACGAGAAGACCAGATTACTCTGCTCAAGGTACACAGTCCAGCACATGAAAATGGTGGATTGATGAGCAAATTTCTTGCAGGGCAACTAATGAATTTTTTGTGACCTTTGGGAGACTTCTCGGTTGGAAAAAAAAAATCTTTGGCACTTTGAAAGCCAAAGAATATCCACTTTTTGGTTGGAAAAAAGAAAGAATTCATTGAGAATGAACCCAGAAATCTCCATTTCAGATGAACATTGGAACTTCTCTGGACAGCAGGATATACGAAGGGGAAAGCCATTCCAGAAGCTGATGATGATACCCAAAGTTATCCCTTAGCTCCACTCTATAACCACTTGAGTAATGACAAAAAGTCATTGTTCATTCCTCCTTAACTTACTTTTTGGACTAAATTTAAAGAAATGAGCATATGGTTTCAGGGACAATCATCATCATCTTGAGGATCTGCTTTCCCCATCTTCTGTCAACTGAAGATTGCAGGAGGCATAGTGACTGCTTTGTAAGTCAGTGGTTCCTTTGACTCCTTCTAGGATTACGAAATAAGTGATGACGACTCGGATGCCAAGTTTAAACACATCACAGACATGACCATCCTCACAGTGCAGCTGATCGTAGAGTTCTCCAAGCGTCTGCCCGGGTTTGACACACTACTCAGGGAGGACCAGATTACACTTCTAAAGGTAGATAAGAGTATAGAGACAGTTTCAGGTAGAAGGTAAGTTATTTGTATATAGCAGTAGAGAAAATAGACTTGAAATAATTGTAATTCTCTACCCTCGGTGGCCATAAGTTTTGTCATAGACAAGATAATGCTTTGCAGTAAGCCGTCATCAATTCATGTGCTCATTGATGTAAAGCCCATAATCCTCAGTAGTCCTGTGAGATACAATATAAAAGAAACCCCAACATCAACTCATCCAGTGTCCCATCTGTAAACAGTGATGATTACAAAAGATAATTTTGTTGTTTTGAAGATATAACAATCAGTGTTATATCTCCCCAAAAAGAACACTGAATATACTTAATTTTTGGAAGCCTCATTGGCCAAACTTTAAGCAAAACATCAAAATTTAAATTCTTGTTTCTATCTTCAGAAATTATATTTTAATGAATGTAATCTTTTGTGGATTGTAGATTGATTTGCCTTCATTGCCCAAGGAAGCACTGTTGTACAAGTGAAGGGATTGCTGTATGTTCACAAAATACTTCAGTTTGACACAAGATACACCAATGCTCTGATATAGAATTCAGCATGTTATGTAAACAGGGATAACACCAAATGGTTAGGGGGTTATCTGAATATAGAAAAGATTTTTTATGATTTCTTTTCATTACCATTTTCATCTACTCACTATTAAAGTAATCCTTCAGAATTATAGAAATCATGAGCAGAAAATGTAGTCATGAAGATGTGGGTAAAGTACAGGCAGGCTTTTAACAGTACAGTAAGACCTCGCTTAACGTCGTGGTTCCGTTCCTGAAAACCGCGACGTTAACGGAAACAATGTCAACGGAATAAATTTTCCCCATAAGAAATAGATAAAATACGGGAGTTACGTTCCCCAGCCTCCCTTTGCCCCATAAAATACATTACACATACAAAAATTCATTGGAATTTTTATAGAAAATCGTATATATTATACATCCAAAGAGATAAATAAACTAAATCATTTTGTATTGTACTCATTGATGGGCAGAGGTGGAGTAAGCGTGTGGTGGGTAGTGGAGAGGAGGAGGAACGCTAGTCACTGAGACCCTGAGTTTTAAAACCTCCATTTTCGTATCAAGGCTAATGGTCTTGTGTTGCATTTTCACATCATTAACACTTTATGGGCGCTTGGAAGCCATTTTGAATGGTTACAGTACGGTATTTAGAGCAAAAACACTTAAACACGCACAAATGCTGTGGAAGCCTAACAAAAGCTGGGAACGCTTGGGGATGCTGTGACACTACACGAGAGAGCGTAGCACTCCAAGAAGATGTGCCGTACAAAGTAGTCCGTGATGACTTTATACCAAATCGGCAGGACGTTGTCCGATTCATGGGTATCTAAAGAGTAGCGACGTTTTAACGAAACAACGTTGTCGGGGGCAAAGTTAAACGAGAACTTACTGTATACATCACCGCACAAAATTAATACATAAGATTGAAAAGAATTAAGTGTTCCAGACCTCGGTGTACTCAGAAACAATCCCGATGTATCAAATCTTTCTAGTAATTACTGCTAGCTAAGTTGTTCTCCTATAATTGTTCAAGAACTGTATGCACCTACACTCGCCGCACACACACACACTGACCACTGCAACAAGATCCTAAGATTAGATCTCATGATACTCACAAGATACTCAACCCCTAGTGACCACAATAGCACAAGAAGAAAGCAATGCTCTCAATACATGACATCAGACACATTATTTAGGCTGAATGAGATCATACTGGTGATGCCACTATCATTTAACCGAGGTGACTTATTGACTTGTGACTTAACTTTTAGTAACTAGACTATTATTTTTAATGGATGTTTTATGGGAAGGCTGTGTTAATTTAATGATAACACAGTACAATGTATCACAATTATGTATCAGTAACAACTGAAATGTATTCTCAGTTTGTTATTACATGCAATGCTGCAACTTTGTCACTTTGCTGGCACTCTCTTAATAAATGGCAGCTCAAGCTTTTTTGCAACAGCACATAGAGTTAGCTAATTAAGATAGACACTACTTTACTGTGGCAGGAACTATTAGTTGCCAGCTGCTATAATTAATTACAAATAATTTTTTCACATTCTTTTAAATATTATATTTATGTGTGTGTATTGCCTTTTGCTATAGATTTTTTATTTTGTTTAAATATTTAGCATCATCTAGAGTAATAGGGTTAAGGAAATTAATTCCATTTCCTTACTATGTGTGCAGTATTTATAAAATTGTTAATGGTTTTCCAAGAGAGACTAGTAAATACTTATATAAATTAATTGTCCACAGGCCTGCTCTTCAGAGGTGATGATGCTACGAGCTGCTCGTCGTTATGATTCCAAAACCGACTCAATTGTGTTTGGGAATAATTTTCCCTATACACAACACTCATATGAGTTGGCAGGCCTTGGAGAATCAGCCGGTACACTTTTCCGCTTTTGTCGCAATTTGTGTAAGATGAAGGTGGATAATGCTGAATATGCATTACTAGCAGCTATTGCCATTTTCTCAGGTAAGGTTTATCTCAGTTTTCTTCAATTTAGTAAACTTTAATTTTGGAGCATTTTAGATAAAACATTCATAATTCAGAATGAGATAATTAGGGCTCGATTTGCCAAAACAAAAAATATCCAAATTATGATAAATCATTTACACCGATGCCAAAGAAGTCGAGGCAGTATTTTTATCATTTTTTTTTCTACAGTACAGTAACAATGTTTAACAACATTTATTTAGTTCTTCCAATGAGATAATTAGAAGAAACTTCTAGGTTCTGTTGCATGTTATCAACTGTTTTCATGCAGTATGTACTGTACTGTATTAGTGTTTAGCAACGGTGATGTTAGTGTACCCTCCCTTCCACTACTTATAATGGAATTTAGCAGATGTTGATGATGAAAGAAAATGTTACCTTCTTGGCATTAAAAGTTCACCTTATGTAAATTTAGTTATTTGTAAGAACCTTTTTTCTACCAGAAATTTATTATGTGTTAAATCAACTTGGTCTTGTGTGGTTGAACATGTGAAATCATGTTGTGTCCCCTCCCACTTCTCAGTACAGTTGTTCCTCATTGAATATGAGTCTGTCGAAGGCAAATCTGCCTATATGTCCAAAATTATTTTTAACTGGACTGTCTATCTTGAAGGCAAGACCGCCTACGTGATGGGTCATTTAGCATGTGGTCACAGATTTTAAATTTGGTGTTCACCTGGTTAAATACTCCATAGATTTATATCTGGTGGGTTTGGGCAACTCAGGTACTGTAGTAAAAAATCTACAGGACCCAAAACTTGAAACTGGAGATCTACAAAGAGAAGAAAATATAGAATTAGATAAACCTGCCGACCATACGTATTAGATTCCTGGAAAGGAAATCATGATCTGCATTTTCGATTTTGGTTAACTGACAGATAACAGCAGGTCATCACATATATATGTAAAATTTTATATAATGAGACAATGCTGTTGTAGTTTATAAAAGTTAGACATTAAATGTACTTACAAGTGCAGCAGAATAATATGTTATTTACCTAATGGCCACCCACTAGAGGTGGCTGTGCTGAGGGAAGGAGGCCAATGGCCTGTGTAGTCCCTCCCTTGTTCTTGATAAATTTGTCAGGGTCTGTTTTTTGAAGCCCAGTACTGTACTGTGTTTGGTTCCACAGCTTGGGCTGGTAGATTGTTCCTTTAGTTTACCACCCTTGGTATGAAAAAGTGTTTCCTTTTATTTGTTCTGCATGATAACTTGGCGAGCTTGTAGTTATGTCCTCTTGTGTTGGTGGTGCATGACATCACAAAGGAATGAACCATGTCCACATTTCCCATCCTTTTCAGGATTTTGAATGTTTCAAATGAAATTTGCCCTAGTGTGGCTTGTCTGAAGGGTTGCTAGTCCTGAGGTCCTCAGTCTACTTGGATAATTCAGATGACATAGCTCCAGAATCATCCTAGTCGCTCTGTGTTGCACCTTTTCTAGGGATATTAGATCTTTCTGGGGGTAGGGTTTCCATGGCTGTATACAGAAATCCAGACTTGGACGTACTTGAGATTTATACAGTTGATTAATTAGCTCTTGAACTGTTTGTAAATAGTCAGTCACTGAAAGGTTTGGGAGCATTGACATGTACAGTTCACTTTGAATGTTTATAATGGTATTGATAACATAAATGGCTTGGAATTTTTTGAATAAGATGGTAATTTCCCCCCAAAATGGTTTGTTTTATTGAAAATTAAAAGTGCAAGAAAGATTGTTTCTTTAGAGTGTTGCCTATAAAATCTCTAGATATTTTAAAAATAATATATATATATATATATATATATATATATATATATATATATATATATATATATATATATATATATATATATATATATATATATATATATATATATATATATATATATATATATAGTACAGTACAATATACAATATGTAAGTATTGTACTGTAGTGTTGTATGGTGGTACTGTATTATGATGTTGGATCAAAGAATAGTTGAATTTGGTAGCCTTGAATAAAATCTCTCACCAACAAATGCCTCTCTCATATCTTACACACACTGTCCAGTAATGTTTACCCAGTATTTGTAAATATGGAAGACACGAAGGAAAGCTAAATTAAATAACTAATTTTTATCATTATTTCTTTCAGAGAGGCCTAATCTAAAAGAACTCTCAAAGGTGGAGAAACTTCAAGAAATATACCTCGAAGCATTGAAATCTTATGTGGAGAACCGACGAATGCCACGGTCCGCCATGGTGTTTGCAAAGTTGCTTAACATTCTCACAGAATTGCGAACCCTTGGAAACCTAAACTCAGAGGTGTGCTTCTCTCTCACACTCAAGAACAAGCGACTTCCGCCTTTCCTGGCCGAGATTTGGGACGTTACTGGATGTTAATGCTGAGCCACCGCCACTTCCCGGGTGCCATGTTACTGAGGTCGACTTACGAGTGCGAGAAGAAGGTTGTGAGTCATCTGGGGGTGGTGGGTGGTCCCTACACTATGTACCTGCAGGCTGTGAGTGAGAGACTGATAATGCTGTGGGAGCAACTTTAACACTGCCACCCAGGACCCACTTTCAGCCACCTGATGTGTCTATGTGCTAGGCCGCCATTGTGACAGTGCCGTGCAGCCCGCCACCAGTGCAATGTTGAGTGTATAATAATGCGCCCAGTGTGTCCACGTAGCAACATGATAAGCATTGTAGCCTTGCTTATTAACACTCACTTTTTATGAACCTTCTTATTGCTCAGCTCAAAAGATCACAGAAGGACACACACACACACACACACACACACATATATATATATATATATATATATATATATATATATATATATATATATATATATATATATATATATATATATATATATATATATATATATATATATATATATATATATATATATATATATATATATATATATATATATATATATATATATATATATATATATATATATATATATATATATATATCACACAATGTCTAAACTATGTTGTGTATTAAACAAACATTTTGTCTTATAGATAATATTAAACAATATGTAAGGCTACATTGCAATGTTGCTCAGATACTGCGCAAGCCACTATTTGGCAGGCAACGAACTCCACGTGCCTTGCTTACGGTCAAGCTTCTGTTTCCTATCTTATTCTCAAGGTGCTCCCGAGGGACTGAGGAGAGTGGAATTTAAACACAAAGGAACAGTGCGATGTCTTCGGATCCATATTTTTATATGACTTCTTACTTGTTAATTTAATTGAGCTGGTATGCCGTCCTTACAAGTAGTAGACTATTGAAAATATATGTTAATATTATTGTAATGTTATTATTACTGCTATAAAGTGTAATCTTGTACCAATATCCCTGCCCTTACACATGGAAGGTTGTGTATAAATCAGCTTACATTTAAGACTTGAGAAATGTAGTAGTGCAGTCTAGAATGTGAAATGGGTTTGCAGTTTGCTCCTATGAAATGTGCAATGTAAATGGATTACGTTAATAATGTGTATCCAACAGTATGGAATGGGGTACTCAATGCCATACATAGAACTAAAATTAATAAAATAATTGATTCATAGAGGATTATGACACAAAATTTATTGAGCTTTATTTATCATAATATTGTAGTAGCCATAGCACTTTTATGTAGAGGTCTATTGTTTCCTTATTACTTATTAAGAGAAATTATTATGGTAATAATGTTTGTTTTGATTATATAATAAATTCATTGCACCACAAGTATATACAGTAAATTTAAATGAAAATTTGACAACATTCATCAATTACTGTACAGTATTAGTTTGAAAAATTAAGTTTCCGTGTAAAGGCATTCATATCCCAGTCCTGTGTTAAAGAATGAGATTCCTTCCTTAGCCAATTAGCCAACTTAAAAAAAATTAACTTCAATTTCTGAGGACATATTTAATTAGATATCATTAACCAATCTTGCACCAAGTGTGTACCCCTGTATCTTCAGTGGAATTGCTGAATACCCCAAAAACCCATAGCTAACCCTAAGAAACACCCTTTGCCTTTTCCCCTAATCAAAAGAAAGGAATGAGTGGTAATTAGGATCATGCAGCTAATGCCATCATCTTCCCAACCTTAACATTAGAATCTCTCACTGGTCACCCTACCCTAACCTAAAAATTACAAATTAAAGTAACAGTATATCATATATATTATAGTAAATTTGCAGACAGTAGAAATTTTGAACTTACCTGAAAAGTACAACTGATAGTATAGATTAAGATAAAAATTCTTATTGTAAGGGAAATGAATAGGGTGCTGAGGAAATAAAATTGTCCAGGGTGCTATTTTAAAAAACGCTGTTTCCAGAAGGGCTCAGGAACTCTGCCTACAATACTTGATATGATAAGCAATATTGCTCGCTGTATAATAATAATAATATGTCACATCTTCCAGTCGTCATGATATGGATCATGTGACCTATTACCTGTCATTATTAGGCACTCTATTGCTTTTCTTGTCAGTTATTAATTTAGGAGCATAGGTTGTCCTTATAACTGTAATGCTCAGATTTAGGGATGTCAGTTTAGCAAATTTCCAGATTTTTCAGTCACTCCAGTGATAATCAGCACCCACATCAATCAAGTGAGGTATCAACTGACTTTTCATGGACCAACTAGATTACACGGTCCATGTCCCATACAGGGACTGAGAATTTGAAGTTGTGTTTATGAAATCACATGATTAGAGAAAATTCAGTACTGTATAATTGAAATCCCTGAAACTGGTGAATTACCCACCCTTGGCTTCTCCATGTTGTGTAAGCCGCCCATGATATCTAGTTCATGTTCTGGACAGGTGATACGTATATTTGTGGTTGTAAAGATCCTATGGTATACAAAGTCCCTCGTTCAGGCTGAAATATATTTGTATATCATGAATCCAGTGCATTATCTCATGTTGTTGTTTGTCCAGATATATTGGTTGTTTGCTACAATTTCAGTGTTTTAATATCTGTAAAGCAGGTTTTGTAAAGCAAAAGATGTCGAATGATACAAATGATTTTGAAAGTGAATAAGATATTCTTAGAATAAATGTGTGTAAGTACAGAAAGACTTCACCTTCATCTTAGATTAAGGTCATCTTCCATAGTCTTTTAGCTTTTCTCATCTTCACATCTTCATTTTTGGTAGCCACTTTTCAGCACATAGAAGAATGTTTAGTCTGTGTAACAAGTTGGTTAAAAATGGCTCAAGCTGGGTTAGACTATATACCCAAAGGAGTTTGCAATCAAAAATATTTGGGTTGTGATGTCTTGAAATTGCTTGTGTCAGGTGCAGCTGTTTCATCTCCGTGCCAGAAGGGAAAAGTGTAATAGGTAAGAACAGTGGCTATACAGTAATTGTAAATAGGAAAATGTAGGATCTGAAGTGGGAGATCAGTTTGAATATCATTTTTCCTGGCCATTTTATTGTTATTGTTTGGTACCATTTCCAGTCACTGCAGTTCCATTATGAGGTGTTGAGGCTGATATAGTTAGTCAAAACATAATTCCACCATTAATAAAGGTGTGTTTGGGAAATTAATTCTTATATCGCTTGGATAATGTCATTGTCTAATGCAGGTAAGCATTGTAGAGTGGTTCACTTACAAGCTCAGCTAATCAGTATGCACTTCTCATGTCACATTCTGTGATGACTGTCCACTTGGTCAAGAAATATTTTAAACACTCTCAGTTTCATGCAGTTTTTGAGTAGTGTGGGTGCATAATACAAGTTCTGTGATACTTCATCCTGTAAAGAAAGCCTTTTATTGAATATGATATTAGAGACTCAGATTGTATAATCTGTAAAACCTTCAAATGCACAAATATTGTTTATATAATTGGTGAACTGTTCTTATTTATTAAGAATAGCAAGTGTAAGAGCTTTATTTACTGTGTTCGTATCTAGAAAAAATATGATTTGGTTCACAACGAAGTCATAATAAAATCCCTGACTTACTTATTTGTTTTTGGAAACTTCAGGACTTTTATATGGTATGAATGAGCAAAGAGCCAATCAAATATATTTAAATTTAAGCAGCAACAATCAACAATGTTCCAGTAATCACTTTTCATAATGGATTAACTGTGAAAATGTTAGATTACTTATTTTGTTTTAACACAGCTTGTCCCCTGGTTTGTCTCTGTTCGTCTTAACCAACTTGTTGCCCTTATCGGTAGTCTGTGGTTGGATTCCATCTGGAGAAATTTGGGATGTATTCAGTGAAGAGATTTTGTAATTATATTTTCTTGGTCTACTTTAAAGAAACCCAAGACTAATGCATGTATAAATGAACCATCTTGTCAGTATTTGCTTTTGTGAGAACATATCTTCAAATGTGATTGGTTGAGAATTAAGCCACCCAATCACTTTTGAAAGGGCCATATAAATGTGTCTCACTGTCCTCTGATTGGTCAGCTTCTATAGTCCACAAGCCAATCAGGTGTCAGTTATACGTCCAAGCTCCTCCATTAAGATGATTGTGACAACATTTGCTGGAAATGAGCAACTCATTATTAATTTTGAGAAAACAGTTTTTATATTAAATTTGGAAAATAATAAAATTATCTTGTTTCTTTTGTCTTGGAGTTTTTTTCCCCATTCACCCTAAAACTGGAATGATAAACTATAGACAACAATTCGTTTGAACTATCAAATGGCAATCACTAGTACATTGACTATGTCTTATTTAAAGACCTGGTAAATATATAAGGGACAATATAGTTCAAGAAAAGTTACACTTATTTATGCAATAGGGAAATATTACCCTGATCACTAATGGTGGTCATAATCTACTTAATCCTGTCATCATGCAATGTTGCAGTTTGAAACCACAATTTGCCAAATTAAATACTTTAGTTATATAAGGTACGTATTTATAAAAAGTAAAATAATGTAGTAGGTAGGCGGCAATTTTTTTATTACCCCGGGGAGTAGGGACCATGTCATGCTAGTTAAGGTGCTTGGAAATCCTATGCTGCTGCCCCCACTTGTTGCACCACCTTGATCTTTCTCCTTGTTGACAGTATCCAGGAAAAAATAAATAAGGTGTACAGTATATTACAAGGTCAAAGAAAGTGCAGACTATTAAGTATTTTGTGTTGCCTCTTTTGACCAGTTCGTTCTATGAAGTACTGCATAAACAAATCTGTAGCTCAATTTAACCTCTTAAGACGTCCCATCTCTCAGAGTTGGTCGTAACATGAGTTACGACATCTTTTTTTGCCGTCTCGATTGAATACTCGAAACAAAATCGGCCTGTGGGCACAGCCATGTTTGATGACATACGGTCACACAAAGTTACGACTGCACCGTCACAGCACACCAGTACTGCCAAGTAGCCAATCCGCGGCATGAAAAAACACGCCTTGCATGCTAGAAATGTTCATGTGGCTATGACTCCCTTCACGTGAGCGTGTTTTCATGCGCCTCAGTTGTGGTTCATCTCTGGAGGGGACAACATGCTCGTGTGAAGGGAGCTTAAGGGTTGCGTTTCCTTAGTAAAACCGACACCACCAGGAAAGCAGCCCGAGAGCCACCCAAAACCGCCAGGGGCTGTACCCCTTCGGATCTCGATGGCCACACCATCACAATAAACATATGAAGAACGAAAGGTTTTAGGTAGGTTAGTGGTAGAGTTCTGTTGTTTGGAGAAAGGTGAGGGTAAAGCCTTTGAGCCGACTCGGTCCTACGCCTTCTCTGTTGTGCCGACTCTATCAGTGACTTGCCGACCTTGGCACAATGCCTACAATTATAAATTACTGTGTAGCGTTTTCTTCATTTTGAGGACAGAGCAAGACTTATACCTACGTGGATCCATTATGTACTTTAATGTCGCGGACAGAAATATACAAAAAAATTCAACAATTCAGACGGTACCCAAAGATAAAACTGATTTTAAATCTTCCTGCAAATGTCAGGCCTACAGTATACAGGGGTACTCATAAATATACAGAAAATGGGAAAATGATCCTAAATTTAAACAGCGGTTAACCAAGAGTAGTACGGGCCTGTTATATTGTAGTGGATTTCTCCCCTACAAACGCTGTTTGTCGCTGAGTAGCCGACCCCACCAATTCCCCAGTGTATGCCTCGTGGTCTAGGTCAACCAACGCCGCCATACATCACGGAGCGGGGGTCAACTACTAAGCCACGCCATCCCCCGCTATTTAAGACCTGACCTAGTGGTGACCTGCCTCTTTCTACCTTCACCGACCAGCCAGCAACACCTCCTCCTCCGCCTGCCTGGCGGTCCTCACTCCCACCGACGAGCATGGCAACCCACAAGCTGGTCCTCCTCTGAGCACCCTCACCAACCAGCTCTCTCTACATCACGCTTGTAACCATGCTGCCTTCCCAGCACCAAGCTGCATTGTACATCCAATACAACATGTATATAGAGAGCACATTGTGAGTTTCCTTTCTCCATTCCATCCTGAGTGTGAACCAAACATCCTGAACCCCACAAATGGTGACTCCCGGAGATTCGTACTCACACAGGATGGAGGAGAAACAGATCACGCTCCCAGTCTTCAAGCAACATGGAGGACTGACTTATTCACCCAGAAGCAGCTCTCATCGGCTCTACAGCTACTGTCTCTACACCGCAGGTTAGACACCCTAGAGCAGCTCTGCTACTCTAAGCAGACAGTCGCTCCTCTTCCGACCCTAGCACACCCGTCCTGCCTCAGACGCCGACCCCGGCCCAGCAGTAACCCCTGCCGCCCCTGATGCGGCCCCTGCTCCTGACGCTGACCAACACACCCGTCCTGCCTCAGACGCCGACCCCGGCCCAGCAGTACCCCCTGCCGCTTCTCCTGACGCAGCCCCTGTTCCTGAGTGCGGACCCACACACCCCTCTTTTCTCCCTCAGGTACTCCCTGCTAATGTCCTGCACCTTGCTGCTGTCGTGGACCCAGCTGCTGTCACGAGCCCTCATCCGCTTCTGCTGACGCAGCCCCTGCTCCTGACCCAGGCCCACACACCCCAGCAGGCGCATCTGACGACTCTGTACCTGCCGTGAGGGAAGAACAAAATTCATCGCCTCCACACACCCTTTTTCTCCCTCTTTACTCCCACAGATATTGTGTATCTAGACAGTTGTGTCCAGCGACCGGCTCATCCACGCCATCGCCGTTGTCTCACATGAGGCATGCACCGCCCGTTCTGCCTCACATGTGCTATGCAACCCTGCAGACAACAAGTCTCCTACACCGCCTGGAGGGAAGGGGGAGTATTGTAGTGGATTTCTCCCCTACAAACACTGTTTGTCGCTGAGTAGCCGACCCCACCAATTCCCCAGTGTATGCCTCGTGGTCTAGGTCAACCAACGCCGCCATACATCATGGAGCGGGGGTCAACTACTAAGCCACGCCAACCCCCGCTATTTAAGACCTGACCTCGTGGTGACCTGCCTCTTTCTACCTACACCAACCAGCCAGCAACACCTCCTCCTCCGCCTGCCTGGCGGTCCTCGCTCCCGCCGGCGAGCATGGCGACCCACAAGCTGGTCCTCCTCTGAGCACCCTCACCAACCAGCTCTCTCTACATCATGCTTGTAACCATGCTGCCTTCCCAGCACCAAGCTGCATTGTACATCCAATACAACATGTATATAGAAAGCACATTGTGAGTTTCCTTTCTCCATTCCATCCTGAGTGTGAACCAAACATCCTGAACCCCACAATATTATCATTGTAATCATTGTAAGCTGTGTAAACCTGATGGGAAAAGCAGGCAAATCTGATATTGAGAAACATGCAATAGGAGCCAAGCATATATATATATATATATATATATATATATATATATATATATATATATATATATATATATATATATATATATATATATATATATATATATATATATATATATATACTGTATAAGAATAGCCCAACCTTCAATGTAAATGAGGGTCGAATTGTAACTTTCAGTACGGGGAACTTCTGGTCCACTTTTACGCGGACCAGAAGTTACCAAGCAAAGATTGTTTACAGTACCAGCGGCAACTCCGAGTATGTTGTGACGTCATCAACCACGCATGCGCAGTTATCGTTTCGGCTACTGGAGTTCTGGTTCGGTTCACTTGTACAGGTACTTGCCAACAGTGTGTGACTGACCGCCAAGAGGTTAACAGGCCGTTCAGTGGCGAAGAGGATAAAGTAAAGTGAAAGAAAATATTTTAAAACATAAGATATTGTGGCTCCTACCTGTTCGGGTTGTGGGTTTCGTCCTTAGGATGAATTAGAATTGAAACATCTCCCGCGGGCAGGTATTTGTTTTGTACAATTTTCTAAATGATGCCTAATAAAGTAAGTATAAATAATACAATAATATATATTAAAATAAATAATATGTTTCTTTGCTTAGACATATACTGTACAGTAGCTGTTATTGTCTTCGCCAGATGATCGGGTACAAAGGATAATAAATTTTAGTATTCTGTTTAAATTAAAATTGCAATGTCTTCGTCTTCCAGTTAAATTTATTTAATATTTTTTAATTGTGAATAGGAATAGGCATAAATAATATATACACCATACAATTATCATACAATAAAGGTTTACTGATAAAATATATAATTTTGTTGCTTTCCACCTTCGTTAGGGATTCAGAAATTTGAGTTGAAGTCAGAATAAATAAAACCAAGAGGGGCGGAGGAAGAAAAAGAGAAAGTGAGGAAGAACACCAACCATCATGTACAAGGAGGTGAAGGTTACCAGTGAGACAGTAGTGTGTGCTGGAGTGACCCACACACCAGGTAAGGCCCTCACCACTACACCTTTATAACCCTCATTTACCACCTGGTCTTCCTCACATTTATTAGTTTTGTTATAATTTTTCTTCATTATTTATCTGTGTTTTTATTGGTGTGTTGTTAGTTTTGATTGGCCTCTTAACACCATACAAGCTGGCTCTGACCCAACCCACATACAGTAATGTACAGTATATATCTAATGGAAGTAATCTTTTTAACCTGGTGTGGATTATAGTTTGTTAAAGGTGAAGTCAGGCGAAGCAAAATCATATTACAGTTTACCATGTGAATGTATTTACCAGTGTGATCTTCTCATTTAAGCTAGGTATTATCGTTAGGTCATCCAGCGAGGTTAGGTTAGGTTGAAATTCTGTTTTTGATGTGTTTTGAATGATTCTGACCTTCATTTAAATAGGTGGATAACCGAAACGATAATTTTACCCCAACCTAACCTAACAAATAATTTTTTTGTACATAAATATCATGTCATGTTTTTTTTTGCATGCTGCAATAAATTCGGTATTATTATATCATTACTGTACTTCTATTTCATAAACAATGGACCGGCAAAATAGCCCAAAACAGCCTGTCAGTTATTGCCGTGACTGGTAATTTAGCCTAACCATATTATCTTTATCTTTGCACACTTCTGTGAAAACCAATTAATATTATTTTGTTGTATTATTATATACCTTAAGATTATGGGGAGTATTTGTGTGAGTTGGATGGAGAATTAGAGAAAAAACTATATGCAAAAAGTGTAATTCCTCTACCTAATTTGTGTTACTCTAGAGCAGCGGTTCTTAATCGGGAGGACAGGGGGTGTAAGTAATTTCCAGGGTGGGCGCAAAGCCAAAGCAAAAATAAGGAATGGCCTTAACAGGTGTGTGTATGTCCTTATTTGGATTTCGTGGGGGGTCTCGCTCCCCTTGTATCTTTGTGAGGCTGCATTTTCTGTGCTGGTTGCTGTCAAGACCAAATACAGAAATAAGCTGAACTTTGAAGGGGACTTAAGCTGTGCTCTCTCTGGCACGCGGCCACGTATTCGGGATCTGGTAGTTCAGAATCCGTGTCAAAAATCTCACTAAATATGTTGTGTATTTGCGAGTTGCTGATACAGACTATTTTGAATAATTAAAGTTATTTAAGTAATGAATGAAAAACTAGTTTCTCAATTTTCCGATTTAATTCAAGAGGAAATTGTTTTAGAATTATTAGATTAGAATTTTATATGAAGGAAGGGGGCATGGAGATGAGGACCAACTGCTATGAGGGGCGTGACCCTAAAAAGGTTAAGAACCACTGCTCTGGAGGTAAGAAATAAGTTTTCTTCAATAGAGATTTTTCATTAGGTAAATGGTTAACTTGGTTATCTCTCCCTGACTGTTATCAGACTGAACATCTGCTGAGGATCTTTAATTCTCTCACTGCTATAGGCAACAGATGGAAGATGATTTCCTGTCCTCTCTTTCCATTCAGCTTAAACCATTTCAAAGTAGGATATTGATTCACCTCTTTAACACACATCTAAATCAAACTTTAGTTTTTATGAATAGTGAATTTTTCCAAGTGTCCTAAAGTTAGCAGAAGTTTTTTCAGAAGATCCTTTGTGATGATTGAAACTTTGCAGAAGAGTATGTTGTGGATATCCAGACCTGGAAAGAAAACTTTATAAGGAAATAAATTACTGTATCAAATTCTGCTAACGTACAGGGTAATTTATTTATATTTTTTTAGAACCCTAAATTATTATATATTTCAGGATGTGTAATGAGGAGTAACTTAGAAATTTGAAGGAATCAATTCTGATCATTGTGGACACCATTTATCTTCTTTACAATGATATGATCAGATTATATTCCTGCTTATTTTTAGGTTCCTTTTTATTACACATCTTAAAATACTGTATACCTGTACTAGTCATTTAGGGTTCTCAAATAAACAAAATTACCCTGTACTGTATTGTATGATTGAAATTTCTCAATTTCACAAGACTTCAACAATTAGTTACTCTTTAATGTCTGTTTTCAGATATCCTTTGTCCACCATCAAACTCTCACCAAGAATGTTACTGTTAATGTTAGTACAAGTATTTGTGAGGGGAGCATCGATGATCAAGAGTAATATGAGGCTACATGTGCGACTAAGATTTTGGGTGGGCCTCGCCTCAGCATATGTTCTTTTCATGGGATTTGTTCACTTGCTGCAAGTCCCTCTGAGATCAAATGCACGTAAGTTGGCAAGAGTTAAGTCTTATTAACTTTTAAGTTCCCTCCTCATTTAATGGAGGCTTTTATTAGATGTATATTGGAATATTTAATACACTGAACAGTGGTAAGGTAACTGTGAAGATAAAATTCTCACCTCCTCTTCTGGGGTGCCTCAAGGTCACCCAGTTGTGAATGGGTGCCTAATTTTACAATCAGGGAGGCAGTGTGGCTTGCACTCTGCCAGCCACACTGCCTCCCTGTGTACAGAAAAAAGTCTAGTCTATATTATGATGTACAGTACAGTATTGGCACTGCCCCTAATGGGTTGTCAGGCCTATAGATCAGTTTCAAGACTATCAAATGGTAATGATTCCCTTAAATAACTTGACAATAAATTATGACTGAGGTACACCTCAGACCTTTATTGATACAGTACAGTTCAGTACTGTACTGTACTTGCAAAACTTTGCAGAGATACACTAGTTCAACCAAATGATATACAGTAGAGGTAATTTTGATTTGCACCATTTTGGTTGACAAAGGTATATTACTGTACTGAACTGTATTTTGAAACTTTGCAGTTGAAATTGCGTACGGCTGATATTACTGTACACAAGTGTAGAATATTCTTGGATTTTGTGAAAAACATTAAGAGTGAAGAAGGTAATACTTGTCACTTCATTGTTGCAGTTCACTCTCACTATGACCTGTCAGGAGAAGGTGTTTTTGCAAAGCATCGTGCAGCAGTGAAGAAAGAGGCAGAGAAGTACGCTCAGGCAGCTCTCAAGGCTCCTGCAGCTGACATGGAGACCGCTCAACAGATATCATTGTTAAAAGAAACCTTTAAGAAGTTAGTCATTAAACAATATTTTGATAATTTGTGGATTATAACAATAACAATAAGAATAACAATATGACTGGTTAAAACTATTTACCTTTCATTTATCAAGGCTGAGAGTTCTTTATAGTATGCACAATATATTATGTTTGAAACTGTGGGTGTATATGTTTTCAGGGTTCTTAAACTTATGCTGTGTCTTCCTGTCGTTAAAGATTTCAAAGTTCAATTTTATATACATTTTGCTAATATCTTCATTGGTTTTTGTCAGGGCAGATAGCAGTGTTGATGGCCTCCTAGATCTGGCTGAACTGTCTTCGTGGATAAGCACCAAGATTAAGGAACACCTCACTCTTGCACTGAAGGAGAATTTCTTTATGTTTACAGCCATAGACCAGGACCCAAGGAATGGTATGAAACAAGTGTGATACATTTTGTTTTTATAATTGGGTCATCATTCTTCTGCCATACATGAATAGCAGTTACTTGATGTGGATGCTGATGTACTTTTTTAATCACATAATCATTCATATGCCCCAACTTGGTCACAGGGTTCACGGTTTAGAATTGAAATATATAACAGTACATATATATTTTTCTGGGACAACCAAGGAATAAGGCCCTGTCTCTCTTTAGGATCTCCTCATTAACCCTTTAGTATGTGTGTGATGTTTTGGTGTTATTTCTATTACCCTTCTACAGTTTTATAATGAGTAATACTTAATGGAAGATTGTTTTAAGGATCTATAGGTTCATATGTGATGATGTGTAGGCTTGTACAGCATGTGAATGTGTCTCCTTGGCTATGTTAGTTTTGGAGTGAAAACACTTCTGTTGTATAAAAGCTTTTAAGATCTCCGTCAAGTCACAAAAAAATTTTCTGTGTCAGTTTATGGATGTACACATAGTCAGAGAAGACATTTATCATACAGCAGTCTAGATACACCATATACTGTACTGCACTGTGCATATCTCAAGAAATTTATCATACAGCAGTCTAGATACACCATATACTGTACTGTAATGTGCATATTTGAAGACATTTATCATGCAGCAGTCTGGTTGCACCATATACTGTACTGTGCATATTTCAAGACATTTATCATGCAGCAGTCTAGATAAACCATATACTGTACTGTGCATATTTTCTTTTGGTCTCTGTAGGGATGGTGTCTTGGGATGAGTTTCACCATTACTTCCTCAAACAGCATGGTTATGATGACAAATACATACAGGAGCATAAGAAAAACCACAAAGGAATGCCCAGAGAATTAAAGGGTAAGCTGAATTACGACCTCAAGAATTTTAATTTATCTATCAAAAATAATAATTTATACATGTACAAATATTCCAGATGCAGTAGTTTTATAGGTCAGTACTGTACAGCTGTATACAGTACTACCATATTATTTCTTGATACAGTTCTCTTATGTTCTTTGAGCTTTTACTGTACAGAATAGATAATATCCCAGTTTATATTTAACTCGGATTACTTGAAGATTGGGCATCACAGTATATTTTGTTTGATGATTAAAACTCCCAAATGCTACCTAGAGAAGTTAGGTTAGGTCAGCATTAGGGTGTTTAATCATCAGGTGAAATATGCTGGGGTGCCTAATCTTCAGGTGAGATGTGCAGGGGTGTCTTAATCTTCAGGTGATCCTTAAACTCGAGTGATAATAAACTGGGTTTCCATGTTAACAGAGGCCATCATGAGAGACAAGGCCGCGTGGTCTGAAGCCGCCCGGGATAATCCCGAGCATCTGACCATTGATGAATTCTTAGCCTTCAGACATCCTGAGTCTTCACATGCTACAATCCTGAGCATTGTTGAGGAGACTATAGGAAGACTGGGTAAGCTTGATGGCAGCCTCTTTAACCGTCACCACTTTCACACAGGGGGATATAGAAATGGCAGGCATCTGTTTGTGTGTTTGTAGTTTTCTTTTTTTTTTGTGAATTTTAATACTGGGTCAATATTTCAGAAATGAGAAATTACATTAGAGTATTTTTTTTAGTGCAGGTACTCCTTGTATTGTTACTGAATATTTACTAATAATTTATGATGCATATTGTTTTATTAAAAGCAGTAGAATTTTCGTGTCCAAGATAAAAAAAAGATTTTTTATTTTACTTAATCCTACTTGCCACATCAGCTGGTCATGGAATCCATCAGTTATCTTTTATACATTGTTGGCAAGAACTGGGCATATACAGTATCCCCAATGTATGTGAACATGTTCAAGTGTTTTTAAATCTGGATTCAAGGGAGTTCACACTCGAGTGCTGTGTCAACAATCTCTGCAAGCTTATTTCCTAAATCCACAACTCTTACTCTCCAGAAAATCACTGTATTTGACTGAGTAATGCGCCTTTTGATGTAATTGTAAACTACAGTACTGTATAATTAAATTGCCCCTTCCTTTTCTGTAAAGTAAGCTTGGCAGTTGTAAACATTCCTGTCTCTTAGTAAGTGAGGTGTTGGAATGATGGCACCAGTTTGGTGGCCCTCTGGACACTTTTAAGTAGTTGAAACTTGAAAGTCTGCAGCATACCTTGGAGACCAAGTCGAATTTTTGTGTTACAGATGTTGATGAAGACAACAAACTGAGTGAGGATGAGTTTTCTGATCCAGACATGAACGAGGTGCCAGATGACATGACCTTAGAACAGTACAAGAATGAACGTCTCAAGGAGTTTAGGATTGCAGATGAAGACAGTAATGGAAAAGTAGACAGGAGGGAATTGTTGGTATGTCAGAGTTTGCATAGCTCATACTGTACTGTGCTTAACTCACAGGTTGGATTCAATAGTGTTTGATAAAACAGTATCGTAATATTGATACACCTGTATTTACTCCCATGTTTACTGCCATATAAATGGCATAATAACGTTTATATTTGTTCCTTGACAGCGTTACATAGATCCTCGCAACATCCATCATGCAGAGAAAGAGGCAGTCAATCTGTTAAGTGCAGCAGACACTAACCAAGACGGAGTTCTTACATTGGTTGAAGTGCTCGCCCAGAGAGAGATGTTCATGAGAAGCAAGATGGTGGATGCTGCAAAGAGTTTCCATGATGAGTTTTAACTTTTCCTGAGATGTGACTAGCACATTAAAGATGATTTTGATACATTTGAAATACATTTGGTTAAGTTGATATATTTGTAATGAGTTAGAATTTTTTATATTTTTTGTAACATAGATGTTATATTGCTCTTGCTAAATGCATTTGCCAGTATTTATATATATATATATATATATATATATATATATATATATATATATATATATATATATATATATATATATATATATATATATATATATATATATATATTGTATGTACCGTACTGCATTTATATAGTCTAGTTATTTGAGTTCAATACATTCCAGGCCTTTGTGCTATACAATTTGTCTTTTATTTATGTATATAGATATATTTTTATATTATTTTGTATTCCCTGATATATATTTATTGTGCCTTATCCCAGACTACTGTAAGATGCCTCATGCACACCACTCTCTTTGCAAGTTCACCTCATTGCTTCATATCAGCACCTCTCATACATACAGTAAATATTCCATCACCTTCACCTTTCTTTCAATCTTTCCTTTTGTTTAATCTGTATCATAGCTTACATTAGAGCTGTTCACACCAAGCCTACATTACATGCATATATAGTAGTACAGGTATCCTCCATTTAGTTATTAAAATGCATTTCTGAAAATGGATCACAAAGCGAAATGATCACTAAATGAGAGAAAATGGGAAATATTATCAGTGGACCCCGGACCTGATCCTGAATACTGTCATCAAGAAGATTATTCCTAATCTCCACAGGTCATGTGACCTGATTCCTTTGTTCTATGTCTTTCTCCATTGCTTTGTTCTGCTAGTTGGCTGAAGAGGCCTAGTATACCAGCTCCAAGATTTTGTCTTTTATTTGTCCAGTGTGGGTTTTTACTTCATTTACCAGTGTAACCATTACACTTTTGGAATAGCATCTACATATTATCAGCTCACTTCGCAATGTAAGTGTTCTATTTATTTATTACTGTATTATTTACTTCATTTTTACTTTAAAACACTGTACTGCATACAGTACAGTGTTTTCTTTATTTCTAAACCACATAACAGAACTGTATTCCCTCCCGAATTTTTCCCAGTGAGTCAAAGATCACTAAACTGAAAATTGACAACTGTTAAATAAGAAAGGGTGTTAAAAATTTTAAATCGCTTAACTGAAATGTCAGGAAATGACCGATCACTAAATGAGGGATACCTGTGCATCTCACCAGCCTGCAGTTCACACACTTATATTAAAACAAGGCCTGATGACCCTGCTGACAAACATTCATTATCTTGTGATGTAGATTCTTGAGGTTCAGCTTGCTTATTATCCTCTGCCACTCCCACAGAGGAGGATAAAGAAGTGACAGGTGTCTTTGTGTCTATACTTGTGTAGATCCAACTTTGTGGACGTGATAACTTGGTGGTTCCCAACTGGTGTTTTATAAGAGCCGTCCACGGGATATTATGATGTTAGGTTTAAAAGTTAAGATTTATAGATGTCTGCAATAAAAATGTTTAATCGCTAGAAATTTGAAGCTTTTGAAATATGCACATTGGGTTTTGTTTTGTTTTTAATAACAATTTAATGCCAAGTTTACTGAAGGCTTTGTAATGACCATCATTGGGACACAATATTTATTTTGCCAAAACCAAACTCTTTTATTTTCTAACTCGCCCTTTGGTATTACCCACAGTTCCACCCTGAACTATGTATAAGTTCCTTTGCATCATTTGCCTCTGTCTAATAACAGTAATTGGGATCTGGATTTATCACCATAAAAGATTTTGTGTTCCAGAGTGATGGGTAGATAGTGCTGGAGGTGAGTTGTCAGGTCATCAAAGTTAATTCCTTATCTCTGGGTGACACAGCTGACAAACTTTAGGTGTTGCTGTGGAATTCCAGTTTGCACAGGTGATGGACAGGCCAAACTGCACGTGGGGACCCTTTAAACCTTTTCCTCCTGTCCAGGTGACCACTAGACCTTCAACCAGGTAACTAACTATCTTCTATTATTGTGTTAATTGTTTGGTGAGTGGGGTGAGAACCATCGGGGTGTGCTAGTGTGGGGTGAGAACCATCGGGGTGTGATAGTATGGGGTGAGAACCATCAGGGTGTGATAGTATGGGGTGGGAACCATCAGGGTGTCCTAGTGTGGGGTGAGAACCATCGGGTGTGTCCTAGTGTGGTTTGGAAACCATTGGGGTGTCCTGGTATGGAGTGAGAACCATTGGGTAGTCCTAGTGTGGGGTGAGAACCATCGGGGTGTCCTGGTGTGGGGTGAAAACCATTGGGGTGTCCTGGTATGGAGTGAGAACCATTGGGTGTCCATTTCCTTCTGTAATATGTTATGTTAATATTGTATTACTGTAATTTTACCTGTACTCTTGTCTCGGTGAATTAGTGCATAATATCTACCAGTTGGGGCCCAGAAGGAGAGAGAGATACTGTAGTTTCCAAGAAATAGTTAAACAAATAGTCTCTAGCTATAGTCATTGATATACAAAATGAGTCTTTAGAGGAGTCAGCTTAACTTACATTATTGGATTAAATAATTATTGGTAAACAACCTGAATTAGTGTTGATTAAAATATACTGTACATAATTATTATTTTTATTTTCATTGTTTTTAGGTATCTTTGTTAGTTGTTGAATGCAATAACATAGAAAAATAAGATAATCAAAATTAAATGAAAAGAGTATTTCTCTTAAGTTTGTGTAGTAAGTCGAGGTATATAATCCTCAAACATCAGCATTGGAAAATTGGGTGATCTGTGTACAGTACTGTATGTCCCCAAAAAGGTTTTTTTTTTTTAATTCTTGAATACTCTAATAGTAAATTTTTGTATGACATTATAGACAAACAGAATAACAGGAAAAAATTATTTACTTACCATACAACTTGTCTGTTAGATGTTTTTTCCATGTGCAATTCCACTATGGTCAGGGAACCACTTCCTCCCTCTTATCATCCCCTGAACTGAGACATAGAACTTCTGATCCCCATGCCTGATAAAGGCTTACTGAGGATGCTGTTCACATGTCCACTCTCTTAGACATAAAACAAAGCTCGGGAACACCATACATATTTAAATGTCTTGGTAGGAAATGAGTGTGTTTCTTGACATTGGCCAGCATTCACTTACATCAACATCAATGTGCATGGCTGCAGTTTAAGGGTTAAAGTAATATGGACGGTGAATTGGTATAAAGTGTTATAAACCAATTTGTAGGAAAATTATTTACTTTGTATCATCTGTATGTAAGTTGAGGATATGCAAAAAGTGTATGTGTGGGATTTCTTAGCCCTTTCCTCTTGATTTTATACACTTGTCTTGCACCATCTTACTACCCCCTCCTGAAATATTCCAGTACCCTTTAACCCTATCTTAATACAAGAGTAGGGCATGAGTAATTATAATAGAAAGATAGAAATCATATAGAATTGCATTTTGTTTGGAAAGATTAGATGATGATTAAATAAGTACTGTAGTTTCTTATAAATATATGTGTGAAAATATAGTTCTGGGTGATTCAAAGTGATTGGTACTCGGCCTTTTTCAGAAGCTAGAATATATGCATAATTGATAATGTTTCTTATGTTTATAGTTTTAGTTTTATATAACTCAATTATATATATATATATATATATATATATATATATATATATATATATATATATATATATATATATATATATATATATATATATATATATATATATATATATATATATATATATATATATAAAATCAACACCTCACCCCGCCAGGATTCGAACCCACGGCCCACGACTGTGACCGGGGAACGCTACCTCTAACATGTATGTTGATTAGTGGATACAATTGCAAAGATAAGAAAAGAGTGACTGAGATTAAGTTGAATTAAAGTAATTTTAATGTCTCGGACATGTGCAAAGCAAAGTTTAAGTAAGGCTTAGGAAAAATGTTTATTAGAAAGTACAGCAGCTAAATGTATACAAATGACTTAAGAGTTATACATAACATACCTGTATAGTGAAATGGGGGAGAGGGTCATTTAACAAAAGCTATCAGTTCATATCCAGTACAATACAAAGAGGAGAAAAAACATGGAGGAAATTTACAAGTTATCTATTATTGATGGATGATTTTTGTAAGTTGGTTGGAATGAAGCTGTTCTTGTAGTTATCAGTGTAAGGTCTAATGGGGATGATATGGTTATGTTGTTGAATATCAATTTGCAGTTATTTCAAATTGGGATCAATATCTAAGTGAGCTGCATTCCTGATAAAGATAAAGTCCTCCTTCAAGCTGTGGGCCAGTGTGAAACCCTTTGACTGTACCAGGTGAATGAAGGCAGCCCTGTCTCTATCACCCTTGTCCTTCCTCTCCACTGCCAACATCTGTAACACACCACTGTTGTCAGTAACATATAAAGGCAGTACTCTGAGGTAGGCTTCTCTTGTGAATGAAAAAACAGAGATGGAACAGTGTATGGTGTACATGAACATACAGTACAACTACCTTAAACACTTTAATAAGTGGCCACATCACTGAATTAAAAATTATAAAATTTTTATTCACTATGTTCACTGGACATTAGTTTAATTTGTATTATAAGATTGAAATTTTCATTGAAATCTTACAGGCTATGATAAATAATGCCTTTTGGGAATATACAGTACATCTACTGTGTAATGCTCAACACTACAACATATCAGGAGTGAAATTGATTAAAATTACAAAAGTGTAGCAGTAAGTGCCAGGTTATGCAGCAGTACAGTACTGTACTCACATCAATAGTGATCTGGTCAAATGGGAAGAGGTCAATGACGCCCCACTCAACACCCTCCACATCCAGAACAAAGAGGTCAACGTGACGTCTGCCAAGTGCCGTGAGAAGTGTGAAGAGAGGGATGCAGTGGACATTCACTACGTAGCCTGTCTCCCGCTGATCAGCCTGCCGGTAAAACCAGCCACTCGCATACTGTACTACAATGGTGGCTGGTCATTGTGACCCCAGTCTTGTTAGCCTTGGAACTTTAATTTATGAATTAAAGTTTGTACCCAGTTTTAATAGTCTTAGTCTTCATGTTTAGTTAGGTTAGGTTGAGATCAATAATGACTTGAGGCCCTTTTGGCCTAGCAACTCAAAAATCATCTGCTTTACCTTCACGGTAACAGTAATGCATTGTCCAATGCAAAATTTCTCTGCATTTTAGGACTCCTATTTTTATTTTATAATATCTATCAACTTCTACATTTCAAAGAAACACAGTTTTCATCAAAATTTTGTTTGGACTGTACACCATTTACCTTATACTATATATCTCAGCTCAAGCTTGAGTTGGTGTGATTGCTGGAGGAGTTCATGTGATCCTACCACATGTTGTGTTAGCCATATTATTGTAAAGAGAATATAACACACAAATGAAAACCATCGACTTTTGATGATATACAACTACTGTACAGGATATATCACCAGAAAGTATATAATTACTGTATTCTGTAACCATCTTCTATATACTGTACTTTGTTGTTGAAATCATCTTTAGTGTATGAAAATGATGAACATGGTGTCTGGTAAACATAAGTGCTCGTTAGCTATAGAGTTTCTCGCATTACATTTTTGTTATTGTATTGTGTTTTGTATTAAGGATGTCTAGTACTTATCCAACAGTGATAAAGGTAGAACTTATTCATTCAACTCCAATATACAAAAATAAAATCAGTCAGAAACGGACGAATAACTCGAAGATGTCTCTCTCCCTATTTTTAAGACCAATTTTCTACAATCATTTACCTCCCTACCATAAAAACCGAGAGATAAGGGAGGAAGGGGTCTGATCCCCACCCCCTCCAGTTACATTTATTTTTATATTCAAATTAAAATAATATTGGGACTTACATTAACTTTTTCATAGAGCTGACTGGCGACAGCACTAAAGGCGACACTACTCTTCACGAAGTCAGGGCTCATCCAGAAACTAGTCTGTTGAAAATAATAATGATCATAATGAAATATAGCACTGTACTGTAATTATAATAACAGCTAGGAGGTTCAAGCTTACCAGGATAGATTTTTGCACCATAAGCAAATAATATATGCCTTCTTTACATACACATGTACAAGCACAGACTTTGAGAAACATTGTGCAAACCATATACTGTACAGGTAATGAACATTATACTGTATACTGTAAAAGAATGGTTACTCATATCAAGAGAATCAATTGGATTTACCTTGTGAGGATAAGGCTTCTCAGAGAGGCAGAATCTGACAGCATGAGCCTTGCGGTGTTTATACAGCAGCTCCTGGAACATGTCAGGTCTGGGCTCTACCAGAAGACCTGACCAGTGCAAGTCTTGCTCCAGCCTCAGCGTTGCTGAGAGGAGGACCCCATCAAGTGCACCGGCCTCCACAAAGAACCCACCCTCCTGTTAAACACTCCCAAGTTTTATTAGTGTATACATGGACTGCATCATGTCCTACAGTACTGCTTTGGTACATTAATTAACCTGTACACAGTACTTGCTGACAGTGAAAATCTGAGAAGGGAGATTATCTTAACAGTTCACAAGATAACAAGCTTATTCAGTCCAACTGCTAATCACAGCTTTAAGTAAATGTACATGTAAATACAACCTACACAGTGCAAGCTATTTCCCATGAAGAATATGTACCCCAGCTTATTTCACCCCAATTTATTACTCATGAAGATTAGATACCCCAGCTTATTTCACCTAAAGATTAGATACCCCAGCTTATTTCATTTAAAAATTAGATACCCCAGCTTATTTCACTTGAAGATTAAGCACCCTAACCTAAAGTAAGTTAACTTATCTCAATCTAATCTTGCCTAGCCTAACCTGACCTAATTAATATTAACCTACTTCAATTCCCTCATTATCAGGTGAAATAAGTTGGGGTGCCCAATCTTCAGGTGATTCTTTTAATGTTATCCCAGACCTTAGCCATAATAATACTGAACCATGAAGTAAGCATATAAATGGTTAAATTTGGTTAAGCAGTGGAGGGTCCAGGAATATAAAAAAAGGGGGGGGGGAACATGGCGAGCGCAGCGAACCCACCCAGCTGGAGGTTTTGGGGGCGGGGCTGTAAGACCCCCAGGTTATTTTATTGTTACTTTTTTTTTAGAGCTGACCAATATCATGGGCATTTTGAAGGCATGTGCACTTAATATTAGGATATATTCTGAGGTCAATAGTAAATAATCTATTTTACAAAAACGCCTGAGTACAATACTGCATTAAAGAAAACGTGTTGGAATTTTTTATGAAAACGGGGGGGGGGGGAGGGAGTCCGGACCTCAGGGCTGAATCCTCCCTTGTTAAGGTCATATCAGGCAGGTTATGTTAAGATTACACTAAGTTAACATTATGTTAGGCTAATGCTATATTCTGTTATGTTCGGTTACCTTAATTTAAGTTAAGTTAATCTTGCCAGGGTGTATAGTCTCGTTTATATATCGAGAAACATATACTGTATAAAGAATTTTGTATGCTTGCGCTTTCATTGTATACAGTAAATCAAATTCACTGAAATTTTGTATTTTGTTTTATTTTGTAATGTTTCAGTATGTTAGAGTTGAAAAACTTTCCTTCATAGAGTTCGGTGGTTTGGAGCTTCATTGGGTTTCGTGTATATGTCTCGAGCTAATCTACAGTTTACACTGTAGTGGATGATTTCTCCCCTGCAAACGCTGTTTGTCGCTGAGCAGCCGATCCCGCGAATTCCCCAGTGTATGCCTCGTGGTCTAGGTCAACTAGCGCCGCCTTACATGACGGAGGTCAACTACTAAGCCACGCCTACCTCCGCTATTTAAGACCTGACCTGGTGGTGACCTGCCTCTTTCTACCTTCACCGACCAGCCAGCAACACCTCCTCCTCCGCCTGCCTGGCGGTCCTCGCTCCCGCCGACGAGCATGGCGACCCACAAGCTGGTCCTCCTCTGAGCACCCTCACCAACCAGCTCTCTCTACATCACGCTTGTAACCACGCTGCATTGTACATCCAATACAACATGTATACAGAGAGCACATTGTGAGTTTCCTTTCTCCATCCCATCCTGAGTGAATCCAAACATCCCATATCCCACAACACCACGGGGAAGAAACCAACGACGCCTTGGTCACGGGTGGCGCTGGCGGTGGTTTCGTTCTGGTGTTTGTGGTGTCGAAGTCCTGTCCTGAGCCCTGTTTGTGCGGTGGCCGGTAATAAAGTCACAGGAAAAAAAGTCACAATTTTGGCTAGGAAAAAAAGTCAGGAAAAAAGTCACAATTAATTTATGGTGGCCGGTAATAAAGGCTAGGTTAGGTTAGGTTAGGTTGACATATTAACCTTAAAAAATGTGAGAATTCGATAGTTAACTTTTCTTTTTTTCCTGTGACTTTTTCTGTGACTTTTTTACCTGGATTCGTTTGTGCAGCTGAGGAATCGTGGCCGAGGTGTGAACGACTAGTTTGTACAACTTAGGATATGTTCGTGTCTGAAGGTTTTGTGTGTAAAGGATTAATCCCGTGTTGTCGTTGTGAAGAAAGACACCACGGCATCAGACAGTTACGTTCATCGGCAACCAGATCTCAGCAGCCGGGACTATTCACCTTTATTAAGCTTTATTAGGAAATTGTTTATGCATTTCACTATTTAAATTGCATGCCAGTATTTGTGGGTGAGTACAACGACCAAAGTAGCTGGTTTGGTTAGATTCTTTTGTTGCGTTTTCTATTCCATAGTTTCGCAATGTATGGAAGCCCTGCTCACCAAGGTCAAGACTATCAAGGTAGGAAGGGTCATAACTCAATAAGTATGGATTCGTTAAACTTTCATTACAATTACTGTACACCATTTTTCACCCCGAATCGATTTTTTTTTCAATAAAAATCTCCCAAGTTGGTGAGTTTTTCGAAAATGTTAATTTAATTATGAAATTTTTTAATTGAAAGAATCTATGTCTGAACGACATAAAATAGTTTTATTCCGACTCTAAGGGAAAATTTTGAGTGTATTTGAATCGGCAATTTACTAGTCAAATTGACAAATAACCGAATTCGACAAATATGATCATGAATTTACACTCGTCCGAAGTGACGATTTCTCGATCCCAAACGACGTCTTTCATTACGCTAATTTTAGTATAAACTGCCAATGATAAAACACCTATTAGAAGGCTGTTAAAACCCCCACCTAGTAAAAAAGCCACCCTGAAATGAATGTCCTACCAATCTAAAAGGCATCCTGAAATGTGTATGATTTAAAAAAAGTAATAATGGAATCTGGGTCATAATTATCCAAGATGTCAATGTTAAGAAATATTTTTTATCGGACATTAATGTAGCAAAACTCTTATTTAGGTTATCTATTATTATCAGACTAGGTGGATACTTTTCTCAAATCATATCACGGATTATCCCAGTTGCCATTCAGATAACAGACACGGGAGTTGTGCGAGACTCATGGTATCGAGGGGAAGTTTTAAATTGGATAAAATCATAGCTCACCGATAGAACGCAGAGGGTCAGCGTAGATAGTGTTAAATCTGAGTGGGGCTGTGTAACCAGTGGGGTTCCCCAGAGGTCAGTACTAGGCCCACTCTTGTTCATAATCTACATAAATGATCTAGATACTGGGATCAGCAGTGACATAAGCAAGTTTGCGGATGACACCAAAACAGGGCGGCAGATTAATTCAGGGCAGGATGCAAATGCACTACAGGAGGATTTAAATAAACTGCAGGAGTGGTCAGAAAAATGGCAAATGAAATTCAACACCAGCAAGTGCAGCGTACTTAATATTGGAAGAACAAATACTGTCATGTATACAGCCTTAACAACATCAACCTACAGAAGTCGACTTGTGAAAGAGACTTGGGGGTACTTGTATGCCCGGACCTACGGCCTAGAAAACAGTGCGTTAATGTTCGAAATAAGGCAAGCAGAGTATTAGGTTTTATATCTAGAAGTGTAAGTAATAAGAGTGCAGAGGTCTTATTGCAACTATATCTTGCGCTAGTCAGGCCGCACCTCGATTATGCGGTTCAGTTCTGGTGCCCTTATTATAGAATGGATATCAATTCACTGGAGTCGGTGCAGCGAAGAATGACGAAAATTATTTCGGACTTAGAAACCTTCCATATCAGGATAGGTTAAAGAAACTAAACTTGCATTCCCTAGAGAGACGAAGAGTGCGAGGAGATAAGATAGAAGTATTTAAGTGGGTGAAAGGAATCAATAAAGGGGATATAGGTAAAGTTCTTATAATATCCGAGCAGGATAGGACTCGTAGCAACGGATTTAAGTTGGATAACTTTAGGTTTAGGAGAGAGATAGGAAGGAATTGGTTCACAAATAGGGTAGTGTACGAGTGGAACAAGCTTAGCAACTTAGTAGTAAGTGCTGGAATGCTGTTAAGTTTTAAAAGGAGGCTAGATAGATTCATGGATGATAGAGTGGTAGTAACTCTCGACAGGAGCTGCCATGCACAGGCCAACCGGCCTATTGCAGACTCCTTATTTTCTTATGTTCTTAAGTTAACAGCACCAACAACATACATAACACAAGGTGCAAATGCGCTGCCTCTGAGCCCGTGATATACTGTACGGCAATCCTGTCTTAATACCTTTTTGCCGAAGTAATGTTCGATCACTTTGACGTAAAACTTCCAGACGATGGTGTCCCTCCAGCCTCCAGGGTTCTCCAGGGTGATGTTGTAATGCAGAGAGGAGGGTGGGAATACGCGACCCCCACCCCCCTCCTTAACCCACTGCACCAGGCGCCTATCTTCCGCTTCCATGGGCCCATCCAACAGCACCTCCACCATGCCTGCCGGGAATACAGGTACAGTATACTTCGATCTCTGTCGTACAGACGTCACTTAAAATATTAAATAACCCCAAAAATTAAGCACCCAAACTTATTTCACCTGGATTAACCAACCAAACGTAACGAGACAGTTCAACTCCCAACCCTCCCCAGCTTAACCTCCAGGTGGCGTTAAGGTAACTTCAGGTGAAATAAGCTGGGGTGCCTAATATTCAGGTAATAAAAAAATTGTGCCTAAATACAATTAGATTATATGATTTGTCAGATTTATACAGGCTACAGTAACACTCATGACTTCTTTGCTACAACACGCTGCACGCACTTTAAATAGTTTGTATTATCAGAAGAAAATTATCAAGATGTCGATAATGATACACTGAACGACTGTTGGATATAGCATGATTCGCTGATGTCAGTGATACTAGTATATTATAAGCATGAGAGTGAGAGAGAATTATGGTCAACACACATCACTATGGGTGAAGATGTGTTCCAGTGTATTTTGTACGTGCTACCAAAATTGGGGGTTAAGATTAGGTTAGGTTAACGTTAGGATGTTAATCATAAGGTGAAATAAACTGGGGCTAAGCTTCAGTTTATAATAATAATAATACAATAATACTTGTAGTAGTACAGTAATAGTATGACGTAGGCTCTTACTGTTAAGGGTGGCAGTGGAGGCGGCGGCAGCCACAGAAGTGTTACACTGGCTTTGCCGATTCTGTGTGGAGTCCTCCAGCAACACCCCTTGGTGACGGTTATTACGCGGGGACCAGAAGTTTACTACCGTGGCTAGCGTCAGTCCCATCAACCAGATCGTCAGGAATCTCGACTGCTGCCTCTCTGTTATGCACGCCCGCGCCATGCTGGGATCACGACGAATAAGGTGAGAGTTGGTTATTTAGTGATTATATTTTTTACGGGGTATACCCTTGGGGGCGAAAAAACAAGAGTAAAACTAAATTAAAAATATAAAAGAAAAAGGTTATATTAATCTACACTACGAAGATACCGGTAAACCAGCTTTTTAAAGTGAAACAGATTATATGAGTGTGGAAACACAGGAGAAGGCAGAGCATTCCACAGTTTGGCTGTGTGAGGAAAGAAAGGTGTACTATAACGAGTTATTCTTGTGTGACCGACATCCACAGAGAAACGGTGGGCACCGCGGGCAAAACGTATGTTACGAGTCCAAGGCTTTGCCGGCCGTACACAGGATGCCAAATCCACCTAACATTGCCCGTAAAAGTACATGTAAAAGAGAGAGTGAAACAACATTGCGTCGAAGAGAAAGGGAAGGAAGTTTATCTACTAAAGGAGGAGAGTTAATAAGACGAAATGCCTTTGATTCCACCCTATCCAACAGTTGGACAGAAAAAGAGCCACCCCAGATATGAGAGCAGTACTCCAAGTTAGGACGAATGAATCCCTTGCATATTTGAAGCAACTGCTCAGGAGTGAAGTAGCTTTGACAACTTTCGGGTGGCAGCTTTAGCAATGTTGAGAATGTGTGGCTTCCATGACATTACAGAAAAGGGTGAGGCCTAGCAACTCTATTTTAGAATTTGGCATTACATATTATTCATAAAAGAAACACAGGTATCATTGGCCGAACACACGATTCAACCGATTTCATTTTGTAATTCCGTACTAAATTTCCGTCTCAGTTAAAAGTTTTTCGTTTTTCAAGCAATCTCTTGTCAGCTTCAAGGGTGGTCGAAGGAATATTTGCTAAGATTCAATGCCCTTAGTGTACGCACAAGGTCGTACCAACAGCAAAGAAGTGTATCACATGTCCCATCGGGATGAGGAAACAGCATTAAGAGAGACCGAATGTGAAAAGGACCTGGGTGTGTACTGTATGTTGACAACGTACTGAAGTTCTTGGGTTATTTTGAGGTGAATCAAGTGACTAAGATATTAGGTCATATGAGAAAGTCGTTCAGTTATCTAGACGGCCCGTCCCTCGTAACGAGGTGCTTTATCCCTCTGGTCCCCGAGATCATCTAGATGTGCTAGACTAGCACATCTAGAGATTGTCAGATGATTCAAAATGTCCAAAGGAGGGCACCTCAGTTACCCAGAGATATTAGAACGTCTGCAACTACATATAGCTTATACTATAGACCGGTGAGGGTGACTTAATTTAAGTTTATAAATATCTCAGAGGGCACTACTCGTACGAGTGTCCATACTTGGAACTGGCGGGCCGCGGAAGCCCGTCCCACTGGGGATTTGAGCGAGCGTACCAGCAGGGCGCCACCTCTGAACCACCAAGTTACTGTTTTGACTTATAGCCACTTACCATAGTGCATGTAGATCACTGATATCTCGACAGAGACAAGTTTTGACAATAATCTTCACAAAAATAATATGCATGTTATCATAATTTTATAAAGAATTGAATTTGTAAAATTTTGCCACGTACAGTGGCTAGTTTATTGTGCACCCAATAATCATCCTGTGAGCGGTAGCACAAAAGGATTAGAAAAGAGGTCACAAAGCGTGTGTATAACAGACTCCAGTTTTCAGGATATTGTGGAATTTAATGTTACAGTGTATTTCATATACATTGTTTAGTTCTGTTAGAGGGTGACCTGTTCATAGCTGCATGAATACAGCAGTGAAGCAATATGCCTAGCCGCACACTTTGTCATTCACATCTGCGTGAGAGGTGTGTTTGGTTCTATACATGGGAAATGACTTAGCTACTGAGGGCACTTACGTTAAATAAGGGGTAGATGTGAGTAGCGGTCACTGACAACACTGGAGCAAGGTATAAACTACGGTGGGAAAACTGCAATACTGCATGGGCTAGCGTACGCCATGGTTGCCAGCCAACAGGATGGTTTTTATTTCCATTCATTACATGACGCGAGAGACCTTATCACTTAGTGTAAATATAGTAGTGTAATCAATATACACAATGCCTGAATCTTACGTGGTACATAAAGTACACTCGATTAGTGAAATTGGTTACATAGTTAAATGAATCCATGTTGTGTAGTAACGGGCGCTGGTTCATTACCTTGGGCAGTCACCACGTCCTATATTTGGAGGAGGAAAATAGGCCCTTATTTTGTTTAACTTGTACCATTTTTCTTCTTTTCCTTATATACGGGGTTTTCCTTGTACCCGTTTTATTACATTTTGGCTCCGAAATGTATACTTAAGACATTAAACCTATTGGGCCTCACATGTAATATATTGTGGGATAAGACCAAATTATCCAACTTTAGATATCTAGAGATAATTTCCCAAAGCAACACATTGTTTATTTTACAGTAAAGTATAATTATTTGCCTAATTTCCTTCGGCTCATCAGTAAGAGTGATGGTGGTAGTTACAGCTTTACACCAGTTTTACACTATTTAATATGGCCGAACTCATCTGCGGCTCTGGGTGAACGCGGTCGCTTATTGGAGTGAGATTTTCTCCTCTGGTCTCAGAATCCTTGCTTAGGATCCCCTGAGGAATCTCCCTCCAGAATATTGCACTTGAAGACGAACCACCTAACCTAAGCTAACCTAAGGCAACCTAACCCAACCTCTCATTTGGCGTTATGGCGTTTAATTAGCAGGTGAAATAAGCTGATTGGGGAATGCTTAATATCAACGTATGCATCGCTTCATATTATCATCTTCAATAAGCGTTCGTGTCATGTTTCCATATCTTGCAGAAGTGAATCAGTAACGTGTTATAATCCGAGGATACCGTATTGTGTGTTTTATATACGAGGGGAAGGGGAGGCAACTAGAAAAATACACCAATATTACGTCCCTTAACATGACACATCTATATTATTATCTGTCAGTGTTGATTATCTGTTATTGTCTTCCTGTAAGTTAGTTCATTAAGAAGATAGTGAGATTTATTGTGTGGATTACAGTTTGGGCCACATACTCGACGCTATTATGCAGTGTATGTGTCGCGAAATGTTTTTATTTTATTTTTTGTTGTCGTGTAATTGTTACATGTTTAAAAATGTTATATGTAATTGAAATCTGTTATGTGTAATTTTGCATTGTTGTGGTCTTTAAAAAATGTAGCTTATGTGAGAACTGAGACTCCCGACACTATCATTGAGGAGTGTCGGGAGTCTCAGTTCTCACTGTATATGTCAAAGTGTGTAATTACGATCAGTGTCTCCTCCATCCTGTGTGAGTGCTAATCTCTGGGAGTCACCATTGTAGGGGTATCGAGATATTAATGTTGTCTAGCACTCAGGATGGAAGGAAACAGTCTGGTGCTGGAGATGCCGTGTGGTGAGGAGCTGCTCAGTAGAAGACGTTCGGTGAGTAGCGTGTTGAAGGAGGTAGATGTGCAGGAGCTTCGTTAGAGAAGATGTTGCCTGTTGCTGGCCTCCTGGTTGAATAAATGGTGACAGCGTGGAGCTTGCTGGAGGAGGTGATGCTTGTTGTAGAAGAGAGACCAGAATGAGAAAGCTGGTGGGTGAGGAAGCTCAGAGAAGGACAGCTGGTGCGTCGCCATGCTCGCTGGCGGGAGCGAGGTCCGCCAGGCAGGCGGAGGAGAGGCGAGGGTCGCCAGGCAGCGGCAGATGAGGAGGTGTTGCTTGTTCAAGAAGAATGGTCAGAATGAATTCTCAATGGAGAGACAGAGCTTATATACCCAGCAGCCGCTATGAGTCATGTTGAGAAAACCTGAGAAGTCGCCGGTCTTTTGGCTCGGTTGCTAGGATATGGCGACATTGGAATGCGGATACGCTTGGTTGCTAGGGAAGACGGTAAAAGGTGGTGGCGTGACTACGCAGTTGTAAGCAGTTGTAGGGGAGACGTCCACTGCACACTCCTTTGTATGAACCCAAGTACTTTATTAGCCTTGTTACGAGCAAAAACACATTGTTTACTTGGCTTAAGGTTCCTACTTATCATTACTCCTAAATCTCTCTCGCAGTCGGATTTCTCTATGGCATCGTTGTTCATCTGGTATCTGGTTTCCCTGTTTACATCTCCTATACTGAGTACTTTACATTTGTCGACGTTGAATTTCATCTGCCAATTTTCAGACCATTCGAAAAATTTGTTTAGATCTTCCTGTAGTTTTGCCGAGTCCTCGTCAGATTTGATAACACGTCCTATGTTCAGTTAAGTTATGATAGGCTAGGCTTGATAAAGATAGTACTGTATACAATTGATTTTTCTAAGTTTAATTAAATAAAAATTGTTCACATTACACAAGTTGACGAGTCATTACACGAAATGGCCGATCACACACCTTGTAACATATACAGTACACTGGTTGTGGAGGAGTGAGAGCAAGAGTCTAGTTCAGCTTACGGTCTGCCAGATTAATGTTGATAATTAACTAATGTGGATCTGACAGAAATAAGTGTTTCACGAAAAGAAAGACTAAATGACCCTCTTCAGTAACATACGTAATAACCCCGCCCCTTTCCCCTCCAGCGGACGCCCCCGGATTCAACCACGTATATACATCAGATAGGGGGAGCCACGCGAGCCAGATTATGACACATAATCAGTATTGATCGCGGTGCCACCCAACATAGACGATCATCTGTTTTATGCAATTTTTCCTTCCCGCTTATATTATTACGATAGGTTAAGTTTAATTGTATATGTTGGGAAAATTTGTCTTTTATGGGAATCATGTAAATGGCATTTAATCATGTCTCTATACACACTATATTGAGTGTCAAGAAGGAAGTGATTAGTGTCGCCATTCATCTAACACCAACAGTAAGTGGCTATAAAGTGTTTGTCCGAAAAGTCACAAAAGGTCAAAATTTTGGCTAAGAAGAAAGACTATAGATCTTCAGACATCTTTAAAATACCCTAATGTTTGGTTAAAGTTATGCTAACGTTAGCTTGAGGTTAAGTTAGCTTAAATTAAGATAGTTTTGTGTGTATTTTTTGTATACCTGCACTATGTGCTTCAATTCAATGTATGTAGACAATGCTGCAGGTATACAAACATTGTACATTCAAAGTGCAGGTATACAGTGTACTTTGTGCAGGTATGTAATGTACTTAGTGCAGGTATACAAACGAACTTCACTTTTTCCTATTCACCCTTGGTTAACTCACTAACCGGTGTTCTGGCGTGGATCAGAGACATTCTTTTTTTTCCAAAGCAGTGAGTTGTGATTAATGAGAAAATTGTCAAGTTTACCTGTGACAAGTGCAAGGTCGGATCCAGGTAGGTCCTGGGGATCCGGACCCTCACTTCTCATCAAGAAATTCCAATACTTTTTCCTTGATGCAGTATTATACTCAGGCATTTCTGGAGAGTAAAAAGTATTCACGATTGACGTCAGAATATCTCCTAATATCAAGTACGCATAGCTTCAAACTGGCCTTAAAATGCCCATGATATAGATCATAAAGGTCAGATTTCAAAACAATCTTCTGGGGCAGGGTTGCCAGATTGGCCTTTTTATGGCCAAATATGAGATATTTGGCCTTTTTGGAAGGTATTTGGCCACCAAAATTTCGATTTGGCCATATTCAAAATTTGGCCAAAATTTGGCCATTTTTTTAAGTACGTACTAAACGCGTATTGAACGTGTTTACAACACGTAGACTGAACGACCGTCGAACATATACAAAGTTCAAAGCCAGATTATTAAAAGAAATGCTTTATGATAAAGTCAGTTATTTATATTTTGTGTTTGCTACACCTATTGTTAAAGATTTTGAAGCTGTCAATTCAATGTTTCAATCCACTAACATGGATCCACATAAACTATCTAATGAATTAGAGTTACTCAGAAAAACTCTTTGCAATAGAATTTACAATAATGATGGTACAGACAAAGGCATTGAAAAAATTGATTTTGGAGCCAAATTTCAGCAAGAAGTTAATAGTCATCTAAAGGAGTTCAAGGAGAGACAACAAGTTAAAGAAGAAGAAAGCAAAGTCCTTGATGTTAAAAGAAGATGCCGTATATTTATTGTTGAGGCCATCGATCAAGTGCGTTCCAGATTGTGCATTGCAGCTGAAGCATTCAAAAATCTTTCATTACTAAATCCTTCGAAGGTATTAAACCAAACAGCTAGAGGTGATTTTTCAGATTTACCTATGTTGCATTTAGCTAAAAATAATTCAGATGAAATAGAACAACAATATCGGAAAATTACTGTAACAGATTGGAGACTAGAAAATGTGTTTGAAAACAATGAAATTCCAGATGACACAACCAAATTTTGGCTTGGTGTCTATCATCATGAAAACTTCAAGGAATTAGCAGCTTATGCACTTAATTGCCTAGTCACACCAGTAAGCAATGCTATTGTTGAACGAATATTTTCTCTGGTAACTGCAATCAAAACAAAACCAAGAAACAGAATGCAAATCAATCTTCTAGATGCAATTATCAGAATCCGAGCTCATCTCTTCGAGAATTCAATCTGTTGTAAGGATATGCGTATAACGGATCGAATGATAACGAACTTCAAGTCTGATATTCTCTATTCGTATGGTGGTAGAATTGGTGTTGCATCAACTTCACACTCACGACAGACTGCACGAAGCGCACAAGAGGTTGACATTACGATGTTCCTGTAACAGACTGAGGTGAGTTATTTTACCTTATGCCTATTATTATTGTTAAATTGATTTATTTAGAAATATTTCAACGTTTTGTGTTTACTTTGTTGATTTTAAAGGTTTCTATGTTTAATTTGGAGAGCATGTAGGTTTTTAAAGACAATTTTACCATTTGGCCTTTTTTTGGCCTTTTATTCCTGTGTTTTTGGCCATAAGCAACTGAAACCATGTGGCAACCCTGTTCTGGGGGCTGACAGCGACCCTCCCCCTCCAGCAGGGTGTGGGTGGGCTCGCTGTGCTCGCCTTGTCCCACTCACCCCTCTTCGATATTCCTGAAGTGGGGTGCCACAGGACATTGTGGTGGGACCGTTGTTATTTGTTTGTTTCATAAATGATAAGCCGGATGCTATTCACTATCCAGTACAAATGGCGAATATGATAAAATAGTTACTAACTACATATCGGGTGATTTGCTAGATTTTTGTAAACAGATGCCCACCCTCATGTTAAAGAAGCCACAATTCATAAAATTATGAGGCAAACTATTTTGGAGTGAGAATTGTAAACACTTAGATCTATTTATCCATCTATCTTCTAATATCCGGATTCTCGTTGTCGTTCATACCAGAAATAATACTAAATAATAACAATAATAATAAATAATAATAATATATCTTTAGTAAAATAATTATAGAGGTTTCTTATTGATTTGCTTTGTATATACTGTAGATTGACGTGGACGAGATTGACCCATGTTACAAAGATCCACGAATTAATTATTTAAACACCCGGTTTTATCTTTATTATAATAAAGGCACAAAAATAAAGTAACGACAAGATATGAATTTATTTTACGTCAGGATATATTAAATTGGTTTGAGTTGCCAGTATAATTTGGAAATAATTTATGTGATTGTTCGTGGTAGAAGTTAAACATAGACTATCTTGTCAATAAGTGACAGGCTCCTTCAATGGGGGTATTTGATGTGTCTTTTAGAGTCACTGGAACGTTTTCATGACTGGAGTAAATTTAGGACTTGGTGCAATAAACCTGAGCATGGTGAAATGGTGATGTATGGCTTTAATTCATAAAGTATAAGATTCAGAGATAAGAACATATGCTGAAGTGTGCAACTCCCTGAGGGCCTTGAGGCATACAACACCTTTATAATGTAAGTTAATTTATGGGGTAATCCTGGAGCAGATGGCTAACACCAGACCGGGTTGTTCTATCTCATTCCTTTTTTTTCCCACATGTTCTTTAGATGATAGTAAATAATAAAAATGACACGACAATGCACATAACCTAGTAGACCCTGACCTAACTAAATAAAGAAACCTACCTAACCTTACCTACCTTTCTACCCACAGCACCCTGGATACCCTCCCATATTAAGCAGAAAGAACTTCTATTACTTTGATATCCAGTACCAATGAAAGCACCTTTGTTGAAGCGGCGTAGTGTAATTTTATGTTTCTCGTGGACGTGTTTTAGCCCGAGATATTCTTCATACATGGTCATAGATAGAGAAAAACTAAAATTAATAATAAAATACTTATAATTCAAATAAAATGTCGTCATATCCATTACTTACTAGCATCCAAAGAACATCTGTGGAAAAATTAACGAAATCGAAGAACTCCTTCTGGTGTTAGCCATGTGCACTCGTATTATCATTTGTGGTTATGTTGACTTTTTATCTCAAACCTTCTAACCTAACCTAGCCGTGGGGCTCCGCCACCCTGGACACCCTAGCATATATCAATCGTTTACGAGGGAAACGCTATAGAATAAACATTTTCTTAGCCTTGTGTAAACTATTGATTGTAACTATAAAATTCTCAGATTTCTTTTGGTGGCAACAAGTGCATAAATATTTAGAAGTTGCCATGCATGGAAATTACTGGTATTTTTGTGTGTGTGTATTTCATAGCATTTCATACGAATTTGAACCATTATTTGCATCATGAGCAGTTATGGAGATATGAGCCCCCCCCCCCTCCCTGCCACCAATTACCAACAGTATTGGTTGTTGCACAAAGTGGGCAAGGCTTTAAAGTAGAAGGAAATTGTGAGGTAAAAACATAATAAAAACTGACAAAACGAAACCTCCTCACTGGAAAACCAGATGAACCTGACCTAACCTCCTCCCCCCTCTGGTCTCCCCCTCCCCCCATATATAAAAAAAACTTGCCTTAATTAACAGATGCAGAATGATAGTGATTCCACTGGACTGTCTACTTTGTTCAATTAAGTGCCTTTAAATCTGAACACCATAAACCCAGTTACGAGATCTCTTCCTCTTAGGAAGTGTCTGTCTCTTATTGCAATACTGTACCAAGTGTGCTGATCTTTGCGATACTGAAAGTCGGAATCATCTGAATCGCACCTTGACACACTTGACTGAAGAAGCAAGAACACCATGAGCCCTAAGGATGTCAGCAGCTGAGGTTTCGTTCTCTTGCAACTATACATTTCAAATTGCAGAGCTTGTACATGCTCACAAGTCTTCTGCTGATTGGCTCACAACTATCATGTGGCATCCAAACTTCTGCTGATTGGCTCACAAGTGTAATGTGGCATCCAAACTTCTGCTGATTGGCTCACAAGTATCATGTGGTATACAAACTTCTGCTGATTGGCTCACAAATATCATGTGGCATCCAAACTTCTGCTGATTGGCTGAGTAACAAGTGAACAATGGTTTTCCCTGCAAATTTTTTCTTCATTTAAGTGAAATAAAAATGTCTAAATAACTTAAAAATTATAAATTCTCAATGGAAATGCTATAAAGTTGCATATTTTTTTGCACTCTTTTCCTATACAGTATAGCTAACAATCAATATAGACTTCCGTGCTTGGCAACTTCTAAATAGTAATTTATTAGTGCGTTCTTACCTTATGAAATAGATGATAAATACACAAGCAACATGATATAAATCTTATGCTTTTTATATCTTGTTCTGCGGAGGGGACTACAAAATCCACCAGCCACGTTCGTCATATATCTCAGTACTGTAATATCTCTGTAACCAGAATCCCTCTTAACAGGGACTCTCTCATAGCTGGAATTGAAATTTTCTCTTAATTTTCCCCCCAAAAGAAACCCGGGTTTGGGAACGATTTTCAGAGAGGCACATTTTCTGGAAATTTCCTAGAAACCCGGAAAATTTGGGGAATGGGTGGTTTTTTCCAGCGTTGAGAGATGAAATAATGCGTCATTCTGGAAAATTCTGGGGATAGAGGATTTTTCCGGGTTCTAGAGAGAATCTACAGTAATGTGCAAATTCCAAAATTCCAAGAAATTTTCCTGCTACCTGTAACTGCAAAATTCCAGGGATTGGGGATTTTTCTGGGTTTGAGAGTGGTCTCGTTACCCAGAAATTTCTCATTCCCGGAAGTGCTCTGCACCACTTTTTTTTTTTTTAGAATATTAAAATACTGTACATTATAACTGTACGTAGTAGTATTTTTAGGTTAGTATAGGTACAGTACTGTACTGAAGGTTTGTTTAGTTCATTTCAATTTGTGAAGGTGATTACCATAAGTTGTCTTGATCCTTTTTTTTTTTAATCTTTTCTTTCATTGTCATAATCACGGTTTGTGTATTCTTGTACTGTGCTTTATCAGTTCCATATAAGTTTTTGTAGAATTATTCTTTTTGTTCTGTTAATGTTATTGTCCTTAGCAGTAATATTTGTCTCAATTTTTACAGGTCTATTCAAGCAAAGTGCAAGATAGCATACTTTTACCTGTCAAAAATGAAGATACAAGCCCCAGCTGCTGTTATTGGTGGGATTCTTATCCATCTCACCCTTGGCAACCTCTACAGTTTTGGTAACAAGCACTTCCTTGACTCGTAACAATGCGGTATGATTGAATTTATTAGAAAGGCCAGTAACAGTATCCAAAATAGTGGCCAAAAATTACTAGTCAATAGACCTATGGAAAGAATGAATAGATGGAAAATGTGTGTGTATATACTGTATGGTCTTGACTTTGTCCAGCCTGCATTATTGTGCCCAAAATCTTAGAAGAATTAAGGTATATAGATAAAAAGTACATATACTGTACCTGTACTGTATTGTTTAAATTGTCTCACTGGCATTCCTTTATTGAACTCCTTATTTCTTCTTACAGGCAACATGATGACATACATGGTGTCCTACATGCATGAGAGAGTCAGTCCTTATGTAAACTATGGAAACTTCATATGGGTGAACTCCATTACCACTGCCTCCCAGGGCCTCTTCATGGTGTGTGGTGGCCTCTTGGAGCGGAAAATAGGACCCAAGTTGACCTGCTTTGTCGGTTGTTCTGTGCTCAGGTAAGTTTTCAGGCCATCATCTCAATGAATACCAGTGCTGTCTGACTCCTTTTACATGCATCAGTCAGCTCTATAAATACCAGTTATTACTGAATGGCTGATACTAGTTTTATGAGCACATGTACTGGTATATTAATGTCTGGTGTATTATGTCTGTACTGTAGTTTATATTGGTTTCTGTGGACTAAGTTTAGTTTCCTTTGACAGATTATTTTCAAATCTTAGGAAAATGTTACTAATATGCCAATACAGGTCAAGCTCAAGAGTGATCAAGGTCAGATATCATCAGTGAAGGTCACCCCGTGCTAGTAAGCATTCAAATTTTTGTCCAAATACTACATAATTTTCAGATGCATGAAATTGCTGTGTATTCCCAACCATCTTACTCCACTGACCCTCCACTGAGGGATGGTTTAGGCATAGGAAGTTACCACACTGTATCATCAACAATTATTACATTATCTAATTTTTTACCAGTCACTGATTAGTCACCAATCTTTGCATTAGTTTCTTGGTAGGAGTTTTCTTGTACTGTATATCCCGGTGGAGAGGAGAGATATGGTCAACTTTTTTCACCTCGGCTAAGACATGTAATGATCACATTATCAGAAAGTTCTACATGGACCACAATAAACACTGAAGTTGTTGTGATTGATGCTTGAACTGGCAAAGGTTTTTGAACACTTCTGTTGTTGGTAGAAGCAGAAATAAGTGATTATACCAAATTTTTAATGTTGTTTTAATGATTATTAAAGATTCATTTATTGGATGCCATGATTTTAACAAAAGCATCAATTATTTATGCTGTTATTGTATGACTCTGTGTAGAATAATATTAGATTGTTTTTTCTAGTGCTTTGCAGTTCTTTTTGAATTTAGAAAGAATAATTTTAATAGATTTGGTAATATTGAAGTGAATGCATGCAGTATATATTTTTTTTATTATTGCTTGCTTATACATTGTACAGTACTGTACTACAATTGAAAGTGAAAGGCTTGAAGATAAGATAATCCCATGTACCTGACCGGACAATTTATTTTCAGTGCAGGTATTTTGCTGACGCATTATACGATTGAGGTATCGCTGTTTACTGTAATCCTGACGTATGGGCTGTTGTCTGGACTTGGAATATCCTTAACTTATGTTACTCCCCTTGCTTGTGGCATGCAGGTAATGCTGCAGTTTCTTATATAGTTTTTGTTTTGTGATTTAACCCTTAAACGGCAGCCATCATCGGTAGAAGTTTCATGTTCCATGCATTTTACTTTCGCACATGTGGGGGAGCCTGGGAAGTCCACAGCTGCCGATTAAGGATTAAATGTATTTATTCAAAATGATTAATTAACCTTATTTGCTCTTACAAGCGCTGCTATCGTAAAGGACTTTCTTGTAGCTGCTTCGTGGTCATGATTACAATGTAAACTTAAAGATTACAGCCATGTTTTTGTAAACAAATCATATCTCCATGGTTAAGATTACAGTACTGTGTACTGTTCAAAGTTTACAGCTGTGCTTCTGTTAGTGATCCATAAATTCATCAAGGTAGATACGTATACGGATTTTATATACGTACTACTGTAGTAATATTCGACCTCAGTACGTATAGTAATTTTGACCTTGGGAATATATTGCATGTTGCAATTTAGTAATGTAGGATATCAGATTTCTGTAGTTCATATTAAAAACTGGTGAAACTTAAATATTTATTTTTAAGATGAATTTTGTAACTTTATACTGTACTATATTATAATTATTGTGTGGAAATGTTTTTATTATTATTCTAATCCATTGTTGTCACTTTCTACACTTGTCTTACACCCTCTTCCTTATTCCCCCCAACATTCAAGGTTTCTTTGCTCCATCATCAAACTCATTGTGGTGGTGAAGATGAGATACAACATGCTAGTAGGTACAGAGGATCCCCACTTATAGTTGGTATAATATGATGTGTATCTCTCAGTACTGTGTTCTGGGTTTGTGTCCTGACCTGGTACAGACGTGAGAACGGTGTTATCCAGTGTAACACTATCATACACCACAGGCTTTCTCCGGGTTCTCCGGTATTCTCCTTTACATTGATGATGATTATGGTCACTGTCTGTTTTGTATTGCTGTGATTTATTTTAACATTGTTGGTCATAACTGGTGTATAACTACTTGGGGATGCACAGCGTTGACTGCATGGAGGACACTAGCAATGTTATGCCTCAGTGAGCATGGTTGGCACCCATGTTATTGCAGATACTGTATAGGACTATAATATACCTCAACATCTGCCTCAAAAGTGTGTATTATGTGTGCAGTACCTAGCACCAAGAAAACAAGAAAAACAGTTACAGAGGATAGTTTGGGTACAGAATTGAGTCTTACTATGGTATGATGCTGATGAATAATATTCCATGGAACATTAATTCTTAAAGGAAAACTAATGTTTATTTGTTTCAAGTATGCACAACAGTAAGTGGGGATCCCTTGTATTCAAGGACATGTACAGTGTCTGAAAATCAATCCCAATTTTACAAAAACATAATGCAATATAGGTGAGAAGTTTTCTTTTATCTTTTATGTACTGTACTGTATTCATATTATTTAACTTTACCCTCCTAAGTGAAATGTGAAAATATATTCCATACATTAATCCAGTCACTATGTTACAAATTACCTGAAAAACCCAAACTCTTTATCCTATCTTCCACTCTTTTAATTTCTGTATTTTATAATAATGACCTGCAGGTTACAATAAGTTACCTGTTAGACCATACCATTGAACACTATTTGCCCTTCAGAGAGGACATGTAGTTATATGGAAGATTCATTGTCATGGTAAACAAATCCACATAATGTTTGTCCTACCGGTAACAGTAACCTAACACAACCTAACCTTCCTATGCTGATAGTGAATCCTCATCTTCCATGAACTAGAGTCCGGCTTAAGACACAGTGAAGATTCTGATTTATTTTACATCAATGTTGATTCAGTAGCTCACAGGCTTTGAGCTTACTTAATCCATAAAATGAAGTTTATACATATATCTCATCAGATTCCAGACAGCCTCCTGTACATGACTTCTGTACAGGAGGATATATACTATATTGAGAACTTTTTGTTATAGTTTAGAGAGTTTGAAGTACTGTGTACATGCTCCAAAAGGTATACAGTATTTACGATTTTGTGTTTGACAATATGACACATCCTACGAAGGATTTTCACATCCCTACCAAAACAGTAGGAGTTGCAGTGTTCATTTTGAAATTCATTGGACCCCTCCGTAAGGATATTTTTTGGAGTGTGTGTGTGTACATGAGCATGTGAATTCGAGCCAAACTATATGACTCAGCGAATCAGAATCGGTCATGGAGTCCAGTAATTCTGAATCATTTGAGTGAGAAGTACGACCTGTACTTGTAGGTAAACATTATACTGTATTGTCTTGTCTATTCAAACACTGAACCTACCATTGATTTATATAGCTACCCTTTCTAGTGGCCCCACAGAGAGCATTCATGGTATGGCTCTTAAAGGTTACCCACTTCTTCTCTTCATCATGAAATGGGATGGAACTTTTCAGTCCTATTCTGTGTTTGTGTGTTTTGTTTTGTATTTCATTTTGCTTGTGTGTGTACTGGAAGCATTGTTGTGCATACATGATTGAAGAATGTGGTGTCAATTGTTTTACTGTAATCGATGTGCTGTGGGTGGGTGATGGTCAGGATTGTTTGAGTCAATAGTTAAAAACCAATTGGAAATCTTGGGGTCGTGTTGTCACAGCTGCTAAAGAAAGTGAGTGGGTGAGTGTGGAGGGATTTTACAGTACAATTAACTGTACTGTACATGGAAAAAGAAGACAACAGAAGACTTGGTTGCCAATGAAGAAGTTGTCTGCTAGAGGACAGAAAAGACTTGCGAGAGTGGAAAAAAAAAGGAGTACAGGTATATGAGCATTTGTGCATCAATTAATCTTATGACATTTATCCTTCCAGTGGTACCCTGAGAAGAAAGGCCTGATCAATGGCTTAATAGTTGCTGGTTTTGGTCTTGGGGCTTTAGGGTCCACTAACCTCCAGACCCTTTATCTCAACCCAGACAATAAACCTCCAGAGGCCAATGGGTAAGTAAATAAAAAGTTGGCTTCATTCTGTTGTTTACTGTGCAACATCTGTAACTGTTAAGGAATCCTGATGCAAGTCATTATGTTTACTATTCAGGTGGTGTCTGATTTTATTCATTGTAGTTTGTTTATATTTTTAAGGGGTTGACCACTCCACACATTGACCCAGGTATAGTAAATGGACTTCACTCTTACAGATACTTTGTTGATACTGGCATACTTGATCGAGTTCCATCAGTGTTCATTGTGCTGGCACTAGTATTCCTGGTAATGCAGTATGTTGGCTGTCTTCTGATCAGTAAACCTACACCTACAGAATTACAGGTTTGGGAATGTAATATTGATGCCATCCCATATGGACGATTCCCAACTGAATGAGCATCTGTTGTATGCAAATTTGTTCGTTGCTCTTAAATGATAAGGTTAGATTGGGTAAAGTAAAAGTAAATTAACAATCATATATTTGAGAATCGTCTGAAGTGGCATTTATACAATCGTAAAGTTGAGATTTTCCCTTTTGTATGTGTATGTTGTTGGCATTTTGAGTTTAATTTCTTTTTAGCTTTGTAGTGTTAGCATGGTGGTGGTGTTGGTATGTTGGGTTTATTTATTGATATTTTTTTGTAGTTTTGTAGTGTTAACATGTTGGTGGTGTTGGTATGTTGGGTTTATTTATTGATATTTTTTTGTAGTTTTGTAGTGCTAGCATGGTAGTGGTGTGTGATGCTGGAATGTGTTAAGTAACTGGTAAGCTTGATGGAGATCTTGGTACCTTATCATGGACACATCTATTACATCCTCTAGAGAGAACAAGCAACACCATATGCCATTGACTCCAGCCACCTTACATATATAATTAGAGAGGACATTCAAGTGTAAAAAAAATGAAGTCTGGTGACTCTTGTGTAGTCTTTGTTAAAAATGCAGTAAGATATTCGTAATTAGTGTTGGTATTCACTACTATTTTATGGTCATTTTTTCGTGCCTGTGTGTTTTAGTAGTGATTACCTGATGGCTTAGTGTCCTGGTTGTCAACATGCAAACTTTAATGAAGTTATTATTAGTCCTCGGTTTAATTTTTGTAATATTTCAGGGCCTATAAGAGTTTAGGGTAGACCCAACCTTGGAAGAATATTTGTGAAGGAATTTAACCTAAAGGATTTCAGAAATTACACTACTGTACTCAGAAGTGATCATAAAATGGTATAATTTGGTCAGTGTATTATTTTGAGTAAAGACTGTACAGTACCCGTATGTCAGTACAGTGTAATTCATTTTAGCTGCCTATGAGGTTTCTTCTACCTTAACAAAACCCCAAGATTTCCATGTAATTTTTCCTGGTACTTTTTATAATCCAGCTTATTACACACACACACACACACACACACATATAATCACATATATATATATATATATATATATATATATATATATATATATATATATATATATATATATATATATATATATATATATATATATATATATATATATATATATATATATATATATATATATCTCTCTGAGAGGACTCATAAGTGCAACAACGTGGTATTATCTGTATATCTACCAGGATACTCGACATTGGCCGGAAGGAGAAAATTTGCTAGGTGTGGCTGATAACCCTGATGAGAGCCAAGATGAACTTCCTAGTACACCCACCGTAACGGGTATAGGTAAGGTACTGTACTTTCTCCTATATGTAAGTCACTGAATTCAGTATCAGGTAATCAAGGAAGCTCCTGGAAAAACTAAACTGCACTGTCCAGTTATATGACAGGATAGTTTATATACCTGCCTATCCAGTTGTAAGCCTCAGTAAAGTAATGCAGTACAGTACTTTACTGTATTACTGTACTGTACTGTATTGGCAGAAAGATCCTCTGTTACAAATGCCTCCCTCCACTGCTAATTCATTTGAAATTGGACCATTTAATATTAATGGGAGAAGTCATATGCGAGTTACTGAAGAAAAGGTTAAGCTTTTGTCTGATATTCTTTTATATTATTGTATGATATTTGGCAGGATGTGAGCAAGTTTTTGTGGAGTGCTTCTACGTGTTTTTTTGGTTCCTCCTATAAATAGGCAAATAGATAGATAGACAGATAGTGTTTATTTTGTAACATTTTCATATAAGCTTATATTGATTCTGCATGTGTATAAACAATGCAGGTATATAAGGTACCATATTTACAGCAAATAACACACACTTATATTTCAACAGGTAATATTTAGGCAAACCTTGAGTGAAATTTCTCCTGTAGCCAATAATGTTTTTAAAATGAGGGTAAAATCAAATTCGATGTTAGTACTGTACTCATTCTGCTGTTGTTGTTATGAGCTTTACTCTTTGTACAGTATTAAGATGTCCATACTAAGCACTTAAAAAACATGAAATAGCAACTGAGTACCTGTACAAGTCTGCTGCATACTGATAGATGATGTTAAGCTCCAGTGGTGCACTATGAACCAGTGGTGATGTTATTCACTATTATCATCATAATTTTAACTTGCTTTCAAAAGCTAAAGGATGTTTCCTAATAAAAATAAGATAAATGTTGCAGGTATGACATTACAGATAGCAATGCTTGTAAGAGTTCAGAAACAGTTACTGCTTAGCTCTGAAGACTTGAGTGCTGTTCAGAAGCTAATCTTCTCGGGTTATCATCATCAGAAGTTATAAATCCAGCTTTGATACTTACAATAATATATTTTTTAATTAATTAAAAGTAATACAGAGTAATGTGTTTAAGTAAACAATTACAGATTTTTAATTCTGGAGTTGGGCAAGTTGAATTTAACCTATTGGAGACTGCAACTTCACATATAGGACATGGGCAGATTTTTTTTAGTAATTTTTCAGAAAAAAGTGTCTTATATGCCATTTAATATTGTACATAGAGAGTGCAGGTATACAAACAGTGGTAAATAGTAAGTCAATTTGACTAAGGAGAGCCAACAGAACCATCATAAGCTTATTTCCATTTCACTATAATTTCCACCTCTCATGCTCCATAAAAATGGGAAATGAGTAAAGTTAATAAGTGGATAGTATGTTTTTCTTGCAAGGGTGGATCCAGGTTGGGGGGGGGGGTTGGGGGTCCTCTGGACCTTCCCACGTTTTCATCAGAAAATTTCAATACTTTTTCTTTTATGCAGTACTGTACAGGTATTGTACTAAGGCATTTTTGTAAGTAAAAAGTAATTACAATTGACTTCAGAATATTTCCTAATATCAAGTGCACATGGCTTCAAAATGGCTTGAAGATGCACATGATATTGATTGGATTAAAAAAAAATTCTGGCAGGGGCTTACAGCACCAAATGCCCTCGGAACTGGGTGGGATCGCTGTGCTCACCATGTTCCCTCACCCTAAACTTCTTGGACCCCCCCCCTTTGATATTCCTGGATCTGCCCCTGTCTTGTATACAAAAAAAATTGCTATGAAAAGAAATAAATAATAAATATGTTCTTGGACAAATGTAAATATATACCCACAGACTTGAGGCCAGTGCAAATGATTCAGACTAAGACCTTCTACATATTCTGGATGTTGTATCTGTTAAACACCATTGCTATCGGCTATATTAATGCTATGTACAAAAGCTTTGGCCAGACCTTCATAAGCGACGATCATTACTTGGCCGGTATTGGCTCCTTCGCTGCAATCTTTAATGCCGTAGGCCGGATTGTCTGGGGACGTCTGATGGATAAAACGTCATTCCGAGTGAGTATTTCTGTGTTATTGTTTGGGGACATTTGATGGATTAAACATCATTCCGAGAGTGTTATAAAATGAGTGATAACTAGTATATTACCAACACCTTAATGACAGTTATTTGGTGTTTTATTTTAATCAGATGAACCATATTCTTGTCTACACCAAAATGGCCAATGGAAAGTTTCCTTTGAGCCTGTGTTTAAAATCATATATAACATTCTCTACTCTTACACTCTAGCAGCTTCAGGATTTCTCAATGGGGTGGGGGGCAAATGTTAGATAATATTCAAAAGTCTTAGAGATTTCACATGTTAGTAGGATGTACTGTAACAGGTATTTGTAATTAACACAAGCTTCATATATTTGCTTTGTTAAACATTGAAAAACTTACTCATTTAAGTTTATTACAATTGTGACTTGATAGTGAATGACTGTCACCTTTTATATGCCAGTGTTCAAACATCTCTTTCATGCTGTCCTTTCATCTTGCCTCAAATGGGGATATATCCAAGGCTGTTTCATTACCTGTCATCTGCCACCGGTCAATATGGAGGACGGCAGGTTGTGATTCTGAACGCCTTAGGTCATAATTCATAGGCTTTTGCTCATCTGTTCCTCTTGCTACTAAAACACATGTGATATGGTATCTTGAACTTATGAATTTATGAATGAGAGCAAATGAAGAAGGGTCTTAATTGCTTTTGATTCTTTCCAGTCTTTGTATTTACTGGGAAGGACTTGCAAATGTTAAAAAATAATTCTTTACATCTTAATTATTTTTCCTGTCACAAATAAAAAATAAAAAGAAAATCAGGCTCTCTGTCCCTCTGTGTAGAGTTAGGTGTTGGGTTTTAGAAAAAATCATTTAAAATTTTCATGGGTGTATAAAATAGTGTGTGCAGCCTCCACTTACCATGGCCAGGATCGTTAGTCTTAGAAATTTATTCCTCCTTCTTACCTGCCACACCTCACCGCCCCATGGAGCTCCACCCTCGAAGAAGCCTTAACATTTCATGTTTCTCTGGTCTTCCCTGTTACCATTACCCCTATACATGATCTCTTTAGGTCATTGCTCCAAATTTCCCATCTTGGTCAACCTAACACATACACAACATAATCTTTCATGTTGATTCATTACAGTATTAGTAATTCCTTCTCAGCGCATGGGACAGATTGGTTCATCGGTTGGTTTCTTTGTTTTAGTTGCTCTTAACACTTGTCAAGGTCACTGGTACAATTGAATATTTTTAATTTTAACTTACTGTACTTTATTTATTTTTTAATATAAACCAGTGTTTTTATGGGTTATTGAGTTATTCATATTAATATTACAGTTTTTATATTTTAGATTTTTACAATATTATTTTCGCTGTTTCCATGATATTGTTTTCACTTCCAGACAGCTATCCGTATTTTGACACTGATGCTGACTCTGCTGTTTGCCACAATGCCCCTTACCAAACACATGGGAAAAGTGGGCTTTACAGGCTGGGTGTGGCTCATCTTCTTTACATTCTCTGGAACCTTTTCCTTGATGCCCACTGTTGTGGAGAAAGCATTTGGGTCGCCACATTACTCCGCTAATTATGGAATTCTCTTCACTAGCCAGGTACAGTAATACGGTGGAGTCTTGATAATTTGTGGGTTTGGTACCAGAAGATATAGTGAATTATCAAATCACAAATCATAGTTTAATTGATTTAAATGGAAATAATTACCGTAGTTCAGTTCCAGAGGCCAAGAAATACCCGTGAACTGTACCAAAACTGCTTTAATAAACACTAAACATTGTACATAATGCATAAAAAAGTACAGTAACACATAGATGTTGTACAAAATGTAGTTCTATATTACATAAACAGCTCCTCTCCTTCTCATAATTTTGTGTGGGTTACGCCAATACACCTGGTGCCAGGGAGGCTATGAGCACACTACAGTATGTCAACAAAGAACCAGGAATTAAATACCACAGAATAACTCATCTGGGGTTAAGTTTGGGATTTTTTTTTCATTTACTGCTTTTCATTTTTCTTGTTTTGCAGTTTTACTATAAATTATATTTTCCTTATTTCTAAGTTGCACTGGAGCATTGTGGTGATATTCATGTTATATTTTCTATAATTCCAAGGCAAATTAAAGCAGTGCAATTATATTTCCATAACTTTTATGGTTCCTCATGTAAACAAACACTGCAACAATCAGTGCTCAGCTGTGAATTATGAATATTTGACTGTGAAATTTAAAAAAAAAGAGGTAACAATAGAGGTAGGTATTGGCGAATTTAAGAATGCGAATTTGTATTTCAGAATTACTGAGACTCTACTGTATATAGGTTAATTGTAATATTAATTAAAACCTTTCACTTGCTACCATTTCCTCTCTGTAAACTGTATAACTAAGCAAGCACTTTTATCACTTGAGACTGTCTTGAGCATTCAGTGATTATGTAATAAAATATTTTATTATTGCAGGTTGTCTCGGGTCCACTGTTGGCTGCAGTCAACCAGTTGATGTTGAATGCTGTTGGTTACACTGGCTGTTTCCTCACTATATCTGGCATCCTTTCTCTAAGTATGTTTATATTGTTAATACAGGAACCACTGAAGATTTTTTCTGTTTGATTGTATTGTAATTTGAAATTTGCAGTGGATAAAATAATTCAGTTTTACCAAGAACCGAGAGTTTGCACATATCAGTCTGGTCATATGCAGATGAGTCAGTTTGATGTAAATCAGAAGAAGAGGTAACATAGAGATTTATTCAATATAAACTGAAATTCTATCAAAAGGTAATTTATTACAATACAAATTTTTCATACAGGTGTGGGCATAACCTTCTTGGTACCTGATGGTCTTTGAGGTACTCCTCTCACGAGACAGTTCTACACTCTACACAGGATAGTACTGTATACTTGATCATAGTTGTATGCAAGACTATCTTTTTCAGATCTGGTATTTTGTGTATTTTTACTTGTAGATGTTTGAGATGAGGGCCTAAGAGAACTTGAGGAAGAAGTTTTTACAGGAATATTTGTACAGTAAGGTAATATAATACAGTAATTTTTTTACTATCTGCATATCCACATATGTCAACTATCCCCAATTAGTAGTTTTGTGCTCAGATTTACCAGTTGTGAAAGTCTGTTGAAGTTAAAACAGAAGAGCAAGTTTGTGTCTCCTGTCATCCAAGTCATCCAAGTCTTTCTCTCGGTCTCTTGTTCTCTGCAGTCGTCTCTCATTATTGGTGTTACAGTATACGTTCGATGCTAACTTTTTATAATCATGAGAGTAAAGACAGAATTATCAAGTGGAGAAAGTAGTCAGATGTTTGAAAAGTATGAAGAGGTAATTATGTTAACATGGTAGATAAAGTAAATCTTATGGTGCAGTTGGATACAGTCATGGTGTAAACTCTTCATCACTAACACAACATTATCGTGCAGGTCTCAGGGGTGAATGTCTAATAGTATCTGCAAATGTCAACTATGCACACATGCTCAGGAATGTTGATTGTGCAGATAGTAGAAATTTTACTGCAATGTTAGTACTGTAGTAGTAGTAGTAGCAGTTGTTGGAGTAATTGGAGTGAAGAGCCAGAACTAAAGAGAATAAATTAGATTTTTTTAAACTTATCAGGGATTAACCAAAATATTGCATATGAAAGAATCAGTGGCACAGATTCGTTTTGAAATTTTGGTAAATTCTTGAATTGTTTGAAAGCTTTTTTAAAAACTAACATTAAATTTTGCCACTTGGTACTTAATACATGTATATAGGGTGCACCATAAACACCTGACTTTTTTCTTTTCAATAAAAAAACTGCCTATCCACTCGGAGGCACTTTCACGCTAATAGTTATTGCGTGCACCAGTGTTTAGAGTTTAGTTGGACATGGGAATGTAGCTATATGTGTTAATAAATCTTTCCGTTATGCATTACTGTATAACGTTATTTCATTTCCAAAAGTCAGGTGTTTATGGCGCACCCTGTACACTAGATATACAGTATTTGAGGGAAATATTGGCCTGAATCATTTTTTAATTACTAGTATTAACCTTAAATGGTAACAATCATCTGTGGAAGTTTCCCATTCCTTGCTTTCCATTTTTGTGCAGATGGGGGCAGAGTAGGGAATCTTCATTGTAGTGGTGTGAAGGTCTCATACAACTACAGTACTGGCTCATTCTTTGATTTTTTTAGAATTAGTCATTAGTAAGCTACTGTGTGATTGTCTCACCATGAAATGATGGGATTTTGTAATAAGTACGCATTCATCATTGCCTAGATGTCTGTGGGTCTGTCTGCAGACATAAATATTGTAAGCCTGATAGGTCCTATATTTTTAACTCATTTGCGATAAAATTTGGTTGAAAATGTTCTTTGAACTCGGAACTCTGAAGGAATGCAGTTAAGCAATTAACCCCTTCACTGTGGGGATTCCACTTTTGATGTTTTATTTGGCTAACGTCAGACGGTTTTATTCAGCAGAGAGAGCCCCACACACAAGGGGTCAGTGACATTGTATAACTTCTCTGAGTTAACCAGAACATTAAAAATATATTTATCTCATAGATTGATCGTCACATTGAGACTTAAAATGATCTGTTATTACTACATGTGAAGCAACAGGAGTAAAGTAGATAGATATTTGGGGTCTTGTTATGGAAGGTGAATATAGTACAGCACCATAATAGAACAAATGTGTCTCAGCAGTAAGCTTAACTGAAGGGAGAGTCGTGTTGGCTACCCCTCCAGCTTTCCTGTATTATAGCAGGAAAATGCTTGAAAAGGTGAAAGTAAGTAATTGTGTTATTGAATGATGGTCATTTTAAGCTATAAACTATATTTTACTACTGTACTTAGCACAGTGGAACTTATTTAATATCTTCTATAGTGTCACAACTTCCATTATATCACAGATCACTAAAAAGCTCTTGTCCATTAGGTTCTACAACCTTGTGTTTGCTTTTCTTAATGTCAACACTTCTAATCATACTTGGGTTACTGTCTAGCACAAGTCAGTGCCAGGTGCCTTAATCCATCCAGTCATCTGAGGTTATGTAGTGGTGTCAGGTGGGGCAGTCTGATCCTGGGCTGTGCAAGATCATATGGTTTAATCCAGTCAACTGAGGTCAGGCATGGCAGTGTAGTTCTGATGCTCTAAAGATCAACATGTGTCTTGAAAATTTAGCTGCTGGCAGATGAAACTCCACTTGTTAGTTCCCAAAGGCGAGAATTGTTGGTACAAGTGCTTGTGTGATGCCACCTTAACCAAAAGAGTGGACCTGCTAAGTGACATGTTGCTCATCTGTGATGTTGGTTACAGTACTGTGTTACAAGTGACACCAGAGAGCACTGTTTTGTGAAGGCACACTTAAGCGAGTTAATTGTGTGTCAGAAAGTTATGGTCCGCTCATCTAGTCTTCACTGTGATGCTTCTGAAGAGTGCTTATGGATCAAATCAATAACTATAGCAGCAGCCTGAACAAACTGAAACAGAAGGTGGAACCATGTTAGTGTCCATCATCAGTTATTGTTAGGGTCGCAGTTCCGTTTTTACTCTAACAGTTTTATATTCAAAACTTTGGAGCTTTGAGAGAATTTCACTACAGTAACTGGAAAGACTGGGAATGAACTTGTGTTTAATAAACATGGGATATCACAGAACTTCAACTGACTGTATTTAATGTAAGTGCTGCCTTTTTTTATTCAAATACAACCCATACCGGTACAACAAACACTGTCAATAAGTTAATGTTTTGTTGTATGAACTGTGCTGCTTATTGCGGAACTATTTTCTCTTGAATACTTAACACCCTGCACGGTGCCAACAGACCTTAATGGTGAACCTTGCCTCATGTTTCACCTCACTTAATGCCACATATTTATAATGCATGGAGACTGATATTGAAGTGAGTTCCACTGTAATGAATTATAAATTATTGTCCATTTGCACATTCCAAGGGTTGTGGTAATCAGGTAGTGACAGCACTTGTTTCCTGTCCTAAGGGTTGCTGGTTTGCACCCAGGGCACCCTAAGTCCTCCCACTGTGAATAGGTACTTAACTTTAAAGTTGGGGAAGTGAAGGTAGTTGGTCCATCACACATTCCACATGGGATGACTGGTCAAATGTACCCTAGTTGCATGGACTGATCTGTCCACTATAAAGGATTCATAGTCCTCAAAGATAAATTGGGGCCAGTTAGGACTGGAGCCCCGTTGACCTGCTGCCTTGTAGTTACCGGTACTTAGAATCTCGTCTTTCAACAGTGGATGGAATAAACTTACTTTACTGTTTAGCTCTGCCTTTGATATTCTCCACACCTTACAGTATATTTCTTTGTCAACTGTTTTCCCTTTCATGTTTTACCTACAATGTCTCACTCTTCCACAGAACTCCCCTTTGACAGAACAGCCTCCAGACTGCCCTATCACTACACTACACTACATACCTTACTTGCCCTCTATTGTTTCAATAACATGTCATTAAACTCTTCCCTGCCATGATGTAGACAGTGACTTTACCTAACACATCTGCTTCATTACCCTTATACACTCTCTTTACTTTTCTCTCCTCATATGTCCAAATCATCTCTATAAACTTCTCTACCCATTCCACTGCACCAAAAGATGACATCCTTTGCCTTCTCTAACATTCCAAATTCCCCATATACTTTCATTCTGGTAAACCTAGATGAAGGCCATTGAACTCGAGCTTGAATTTACAAACATCTTGTTCCAATCCTAGTCATTGTTTCACTGCCTTAAGTTAAGGTAAGGAGTATTATTGTATTGTACTATCTCTGAAGTTCATACCTACAAGCACACATTCCTTCCCTTGGTGATACAGTACCTCACAGCACTATAATCCTCTTCTTGCTATGTACAGTATTGTTCTTTCCCAAATTTCATATATTATCATACCATTCTTACATAAAATTTCCCATAATATTAAAAACCTTTAATTTCTTCCTATACAGTACCCCATTCATCAGAGTAATTTTACTTTTCCGTTTGTTAGGTTTTGTCTGTTTAGTTTATGAAAATCTACTGTTAAAATCCGTCTCAAATAACATAATTTTACTGTACTTTGAATTGATTTACAAATTCCTTCTGCCACACAATCTGTTGAAGTTTTTCACCAGCTTTTGAAGTTCTTGTTCACTTGCCACAAAAATCACATCATCATTAGCAAGAAGTTGTGTTACAAGTGGTCACATCCCACCTCCTTTTTCCCATCCTTTCCATTGCCTGGACACTTTAATACCATTTCTCTCCTCTGATTTACCCCAAGCAAAGATAAAAATACTGTATAGGTCGTTTAGGTTATTTCTTGGAACATTACATGAAGAATTACATGGGAGGATTTAACAGTTGGTGAACCTTGTGATCTCAAGACCATAATTAGTTTCCTCCTCCAGCCTTTGAAGATCAAGTTAAGGGTGATATAGATACAGTACAGTATATTAATAAGTTTTCATTATAAAAATTCCTGATACTGTATCTATATTAGTTTTAAGTGTATCATACAGGTATATATTTACTGTATATGATATAAATAATCATGTGATATTACATGTACATAAAATTTTATTGCTCCAAGAGCTTTATTGTAATCTCTCTATTTATTATATTGTGCGTTGTCTTTTAATGGTGCTTGTAATTTTACCTTCCTTTCTCACACGTACCTTCTCAGGTCTTTTATTAGTTCAGCTGTGTATTGGTGCCAAGTTCATGCCCCTGTATGGGTCTTTCATCATATCAAACAGGTGGTGTATGTTATCTCCCCATCTATGCATGGTTTATGAATCATTTGTTTAGCTTTATAACAAACTGGTGGGGTTATGGTTATACTTTGTGGTATGTTAAGTAGGATGACAATAAACACAAGTAAAAATGACAAGTTTAGTCTTCAAAGTGCATACACAAACAGGTGGCAGTTTTGTACTAGTAGATTGACTCTTCCAATGTCAGTGCTGAGAATTACACTGTAATGGAGAGGCTTTACCTTTACAAATTTGGGACATTTTGTGGCTTTAATTCCTTCCTTACCACATGGCTGAGCTGGCTATGTATACACGCCTGCAGTAACACATTAAATCAGTTACGAATTCATGCATGTGGTAAGGTTAAGGTTAAAGTAGTAATGATATAAACAACACAAAACTTGTCCAGACCATTCAGGCTTCTTTATGTGAGGAGAAGCAATGAAATAGTATTGATCAACCTTAAGATGCTGTTCATGTAACAGTTATATATTTAATTCAAAATAATTAAGACTACTGTAATAGTGAACATACTTCTAGCTGAGCTACATAATGCCTCTAAAACCCATATTGGTGCCATTAAAAAATTCAGGAACTGGCAACTACACATAACTACAACTGAAAAAGGTTTAGGAAACTGGTGAATGCAGTCACATGTAAGATCATGAACCTTAAGGGACCACATTGGGTTCACAGTTGATACAATATTGTTTTTATAACCAGTGTATGTATATACATATATACAGTATAGTATTCCCTTAAATCTTGCATCCCTCAGAAACTTGTGAATTGCCGTGGAAACTAAATCTGAGGCTGCAGGGCGGTGCGCAAGACTAGCATCAGCTGTCGTAGTGAGCTTATGGCCACTCAGTGGCACATGCACTTCCCTGCTCCTAGTGTTGTTTATGGTCTGCTATCCTCCCAATGCTGTTCACCTGCTGGCTTCTTTGCAGCATTCTGTGTTTCACCGTGCCTCCCAAATGCCCTGCAAGTGGTTCTAGAAATGAAACCCCACCTAAGAAGAAAAGGGAAATGAAAATGACATTAAAGATGAAGGTGTTAGACAAGTTGCAAGAAGGGTGAGGGGGCAGTAAACATCATCATCATAGCTGTCATCCACCTTACATATGGCAAGGGGAGAGTTGCCAGGGATCCAGAGGAGTCAACACTACAGTGCAGTACAGAGTAAGTGTTATTTTATATTTGTTTATTTATGTTATTTCATGTTTATTATAGTCTGAGGCATACATAATGTTGTTATACATGTGGACATAGCTATTTATATGAATTTTGCACACTCCTGGAACCGGCATAAAAAAATTTGTGGATTTTGCTTTCTCGCGGGATCCATTTTACTCACCCCCTGCGAGTTTTAAGGGAATAATGTGTGTACTGTAAATGAATTAAGTTCGAAGGTTTATAGTTGGGATGCTAGTGACTATTAGCACCATGACCACACTATAAACCTCTACACTCATAAACACACAGGTTCCAAAAACAGCACCATACCCACTGTGAATCCCTGATGTGACCCCTAAAGTGATGATGTACAGTAAATAATACTGTTTGTAAAAATTTTAAGTACATGGCCCTTTAATGTATATTTGCAGTTTACTCTTGAGTGCTATATGGTGTTTCCTATCAGAAAAACAATAACTTAAATAAAAATCCACCCCCCCCAAAAGAACTCTCCCCTAAATTGCATCTAAACATCAAGTCATGGCTTCATTTACTTATCTTACAAAATTTACATAAATTATCCCATGTCGTTATTTCTCTACCAGTCAAATGAGATACAAAAATCCTTAAGAACTGGAGGAAGGGAGGGACAAGAACATATAATATGAGAAGTGGTGCAAGACAACTGTACAGAGTGGCAGGGACACAAGGATAATACCCGCCTATATTGGCTCATGATATAAAATATATTTTCACATATCTCAACAACTTTACTCCATGATAGTTAATCAACTAAAATACATATTTAAATAAAGGACAAATTTTCTCTTCTTTTACACAATATAAGAGTAATAATTGTCGTGGCTGAATGACAATTACCTGGCATCTGGTTGACATTACAGTACGAGATATAAGATAACCTGACTTATATAATACTCAAACATAGTGACTTACAACATCAATATTCAGGGTTTTCACAAATAGGTTTAAGTGGAAGTCCCCAAAAAATTATTTCAAGAAGCAGGGGACGACAGGCTTTGACATACATACCACAAACACACTGAACACACACAGTGACTCGGAGTGAAGTATTGAATACATACATACATACAGTACAATATTGAGATATTAACTTAAAATCAAAATACTGTACTGGACTAATTTTGAAGTTATCAGATGAACGGAAATATTGCTTAAGACTACAGTAATTTCAATTGGCCGGATGTTAAATGACCTGGTTAAGCTAGTGAGCAGCCAGAGGTTAAAATAAAAACCCTGAATACAATAATACAAAAAACAACTTCAGTTACCTCAGCATCACAGTCCACATTGAAAAAAAAAAAATAAAAAATAATATAAATAACTTAAAACTGTAACACTGGCCTTGACAATTTTTGTTTGTGATTACCTTCATTAAAAGCCTAAAAGCAAGTGAATTAGTGATTTTAATTGTTTGTACTTTGGTGTTAAGATTCAATCCAATAACTTCACTATTTGTGCATCAACCATACAGCTTGAACCTTGAGCACACTGTTTAAATATAAAGAAGTGCATCAATTGTTTGAAATAAAGAAAATGTATGAATGACAGCAGAAAACACATGTGCATCACATAAATATACAGACACATTACTACAATATACATATATTTGTACACAGGGAATACAAGCACAAATATCTGTTTATATGACTTACTGTCAGTAATTATATGCAACCCAAGTAAAACACTAAATACAGTACATGTTTTACTTGTACAGTACCTTCAAGATTAGCATTTTTCTTAGTTCATGAAATGAAATTCAATAGACTGATAATTGCTTAGTTAACTGTACCACAGCCACAATACAGTACCTTTGTATGAGGAAAATATTAAAATACTATAAATTACACACTACCTGAAATAGTAAAGGATGCATTCTTAACAAGCCTGTGACCAGGTGTATCCATCCTTGTGGACAAAGCTCGTGGAGCAGCAGACATTTTAAAAATTCCAAGATAAGAACATAATGTTAATATGGATGTTTAAAATGCCTACAGATATTGTATAATGGTAATCAAAGTAACGGCCTTTGTTTAGCAGGTGTTGACAGACTGACTCAGAGGAGGTCTTTTCCTGTATCCCATTTAAGGTTTGAGACTTGGGGGAAGAACTGATCCTCCATCTTTTTAGCCAATACTGTACTGTACAGGGTAGCTACTTACAACCAAGTACAGTACTGTATAATATTTTTCATGTAATTTGTACTGATACAGTACATGAGTTCTCCACACTAATTAGTTAATTTGCCAAAGCATGAGGTACCAATTATTATCATTTAACTTCATTTATTGAATACTGTAGTTGTAAGAGTTATCAGTAAAGGGATGGGGTTAGACATATTAAACGATTTATTGAAGATATCGTGATGGATTCTATAATACTGTACTGAATTATTTAATTAAAATAAAGGGATCAGGATGGATTCTGAAAGTTATTTACTGTATATTAAAGGAAAAAGTGTGCTGCCAATAGGTTTATCTCAACCCAATGATTACTGTGTACAGAGACACTGTTTAGCTCTCACATTAGGAGAACATGCAAGTTAGTTCTTTGGTTAGTAACTACTGATAACACTAACAATCATGAAAGCACAACAAACTAAACTAAAACTTAAGCATTTTACTAAAACCTATTCCTTACACACTATGGATACAACAAGATCCAAATTTTGGCTTTGGCATAAAAATTTTAAGCCATAAGGGAAAAAGTTTCATAATGCAATGAAAAATAATAACAAATGGCAATTTCTCAAACTCATAATGTAAATAAAACACTTTACTAATGGTGACAAATAAATTAATTTGTTTTCAAAAGTTTTGCAAACATATTGAACTAAAAATTCTCATCAGAAAGGCAAATTTGAGTACAGTACTAGTGCAAAAAAATTAAGTTTATAATTTGAATAATAAAAGCACAATAATAAACATAAAAGAACAGCATCAATTCAGAATACTCTTTTGATATTCCCCAGTTCCACATGACTTCCCATATACAGTACTGTACTGTTTCAAAACAGTATGAAATAAACACAATAAAAATAAAGCACTAGCATTATTCAGGAACTAACTGCATGATGGGATTACCACTTACATTACTAAGTGAGATAATTTGTTTTTTAAAGGTCATAAGGATTCAGACCATCAATTTCAGGAAAAGAGTGGCACCACTATCCATAAGTCTGGAATACATTGGTCTGCCACTATTCTTACAACTAATGCAAGGTATAGGCTCACTCATAGTGTACTAAAAGAAAAAATATAACCACAGCTTAAAGTAAAACTGGCACAGTTCTTTACTATTGTGTCGTCAATGGTATTCTACGGACAAAAGAAAAATTAACTATAAGGTTGTTGACGACAGAATAGTACTTCGAAAGTCTAGATCAAACTTCACCAAGAACCTGAGTAAAGTCAACAGAACAAAAACAATAACTACTACTCATAAGAAAACAAAGTTCACATTTACAGTACACTTATCTGATGGAACATCAAACACGAACTCACAAAATAGGTGAAGTTATATCTAGTCACATCTAACACCAAGAAACACAAATCACTGCTATAGCACAAGATTATTACAATTTTAAAAATAACAAGAATGAAGACTAGGAGTACAGATAGACCTATACACAAACAGAAATGAACACCAGGTATCAAACAAAAGGCATTTTTCAAAATATTGTAATAATGCATCGACGAATAACAAGAGAATAAACAAAAGTACAGTAATAAATATCTCCTCTGTCAGATTGTTTGGAACCTTCAACAATGTCTTACTCTTATTGCACTTATTATTATAATACAAATGCACATGTCTGGAATATGTTTGGAATGAACCCTAAAGAATGTAGCTGACTGGAAAATACTGCAAAAATTCATTTACCACAAAAACACACCACAAGCCATCTTGCATGACTCACGCACCACTTTCATTAACCGAGAACCTCGACAATATCAGTGTACCAATATATAAAAAATTACGTCACCACATTCATTCTAATCTACAATGGAAAGACCAAGAGTATGGGAGTCTTTACACATAGTCAGTGCTTGGAAGGGGCGGGTCGGCGAGGTGATGAGCTGCTGGGCGGGTCATCACTACCCTGGTTACCACCCTGGACCACAGGATCAGACTCCTCTATGTTTGGCCTGGAAAAAGCCAAGCCCATTGCCTGAGTTAACCACTGTGCCGCATACAGTCCATCGTATACATGACGAGCCAGATGCTGGGTTAAAACTGGGAGGGAAGTGAATTCCAGCCCACATGCACCACACTGCTGAGGGGCACTCTCAATAACACTTCCACCTGAATTTTCTGGAAGACCACTACAACTTGATGCCAGTTTTTTATTATTTCCATCACTTTGTTCAACATTTCCTTTTTGGTGTTTACTTTGCCGTCTTCGAGTACGTGGACGCGTCTGTGTAGTGAGTGGGCCAAGACTAAGGGCTTGTACGGCTTGTGACAGCAAAATATCAGTGGTTTGTGGGAGGGGAGGTACACGCATAGGACTTGTTGCACATGGGTGCCGGTGGGATATTGCAGTAATGCCCTGGCAGCTCGAACCACTGCCAACTGGGTTTGACACCTGAGTATTGCACATTTTTATTGCCGCAGCTTCACCACTTATCTTTGAATTTTTTACTGGCCTTGCATTGTCAACTTCCCCTTGGCCATTAGCATCAGGGATTCTAGGACCACCTCTGGGGGTCTTGACACCAGACTTCCTCAGTGAGCCTGTGTATAGACAATCTGGAGGGGAGTCTAGGCCTACAGTGTTTGTGACCTCTATCAGCGGAGTCATTGTGATGTATCATGAAGTCATTATCTCCTGCAAGGGAAAAAGGATCTAAGTAAGGCCAAGATACTTATCAGTGGGGATATTGTTCAACATCTTACAGGTCATTAACTCCTGCACGGCATTGAACACGGGTACAAACCTGAAAAATTTGTATTACTGTTTTATTAGGAAGTTTGGTGACAAATTTGATTGACTATTGCTGCGACAACACCCAGAGAACAAACAAGATGAAATTACCTACGAAATATACCAACTTACATCATAAATAACAAAAGCTCTGAGACTTTATTCTAAGAAGTTGGTGAATAATATCAGGTAAAGTAACATTTAACATGGTAATGGAGAAGCACCAGCAACTCCAACTATAATATCAATGGCCACCTTTACCCCACATAACTGTGACCCAGTAAGCAGAGATGACCCAGGGCTGTATGATTACATGGGCAACTGTACTATTATAAGTGTGAAGGTAATGGTGAATTTTTTCAACAATTAGATATTTATTTGGATAATTCGAAAATAATGAAGTTTACAGAACCCAGATACATTGTACCTTGGTTGAATCTATCCCTGACGTGTATTTTACCAAGTGGCCTCAATATTTAACGGTCAGATTTTAATGAAATTCTATTCATTTATAAGTGAAATACATGATGTAAACATCAACATAACAGCTCTGACATGTGATACAAAAAACAAAACTGGATATTACAGTAACTAGGGTGACTGGGTTAGATCTAGGGTTGAAAAGAAAAAGAAAAAACCCCTGAAAATTTCTGGAATAATGCTGTCGAATAATCTTAGTATGTAACAACCTATCTTTGTACAACTGATAGTGTGTATCACATTACGGTACGATGCTTAAGATTAAAGCAAATTCTAGCCTCACTCGGTCAATTCAACTAATCAGTGCTTGTGTGACAGTTGCTTATTATGTATCTGCAATTATCAACAGCACTTATATGAGGCCAAATACAATATGTCCTTAGGACCACAATCCATTGGTGTTGTACTTCAAGGTGTTGTCGCCAGTCAGTATAAACTTTGAACCCCAATTTGCTCCTGTTCTCTCTGATTTTGAAAATCAGGAGATGCCATCATAACCAAATGCAGTGCGGACTATACAGGTACTCTTAAGAGACCGACATAACTCGAGCAGAAACATACCGTACCTACACTGAGGAGAACTGTAATCATTAAGGTCGACAGATGGTAGCATGTGTTTGGAAAGAAATCCATAAGCCCACACTGATGAAAGTTTCATCGCAAGGTATTGAATATTTGACAGGTGTCCATCTTTATCTGATATAATTTTCACTGCACAAGACAAAGTCTAAGAGAGAAATCTGGACTGTAAGCATAACACTACAGAAAACATAAATAACTTCGAACCCTTCATGAGAAGGCACAGCACAGTCCTAACACAAGCACTGTATTTTCACTTACATTACAAGAGACACCACTGATGAGGTTATATATAATATACTGCAAGACACAAGTGTACAAGTGAGGCAGCGTGTGTGTGTGTGTGCACAGCTGAGCCTCGACTGGCCGCCACAGATTCAGTTCACCTCGACGTGTGCCAGCCCCGCCTCCCTCACTCCTCATTCAACACACATTTGCATATATTCAGAAGTCCCCCTGCTAGTTTAACCCCCCACAACGGGCCTTAAGGAACCGTGATGCTTTTTTCCCCTTACACACCCATTGAAAGCTTAATATATGCACCGAGATCCTTTACATGTTACCTGGGCCGACCCTTCCTCCCTTATTTGCATAGGCCAACCCGTATGCATACACAAGTAGCATTTAAACCCCGCTCGTGGTCTCCTGCGCCAAAAAAAATTGGACGACCGTTTGAAATAAAATAGGCAATACGTAACGTACCGCTTACTGAGGATGTATCCGAGTTCAGGGATGAGCTGGGTATGTAAATTCTGGTGAATATTCATGGCGTGTGAGGTCGGCCACGACGACCATCAGCGTCCCGTTGTTGTTGTCGCCCAGCTGGGAGCGCTCCGATCACCCTACTTCTTATCTCTCTCTCTCTATATATACAATACACTATATATATATTGCAATTAAATACTAAAATATTATATACTGTAGGTAATATGTTTAATGTGTAGTTGTACAAAAAATATTATTTTTTGCATATAAATTTTATTGTTTATATTTAATATTTCATTAAAGAGCCGGCTCGATTAGTGGCGAAGAAGATATAGGTAAAGTTATTACAGTTCACTCCTGGTTTTTCTTTGATAATGTAGATAGAATCGAAAGATGATTATTCAGGAAAATCTTTTAACAAGTTAACACCTGTCACAGATAGATGGACAGATAGACATCCAGGTACTTATTCAGTGAAATCGTCCTAAGTTCACACTGGTTCATCTCTGCTTGTATACCTTTAATACTATCTATGTATGTGTATACACACACTGTACATTATTTGTACTGTATCTGTACTGTTTATGTACGTTGATTGTATACCTGAAGTGAGTACAGTACACAGCTTGTATATATACATTGTCCATATACATAGTTTGTATATTTGCACTTTCTATGTATATTTGTATACAATACCTGCACCGTCTATGCATATTGCATAGCTACACCGTTTATATGCATTGTATGTGAACTACATATTTAACGATTTTACTAAAATGTTGTTCATCTTCTCCACACTGATAAAGTTGTACTGTCAGGCTCCGATAATTTTTATATCAACTTAGAATATATCCCATCAACTGTGATTTAATGCACAGGAAGTCTGACATAACGCTTACCTGGAGTCAATCGTTAGGCGTTGACAAAAAATATGAAACAAAGTGTGTTCTGCAGGAGTAAAAGGCTTGTTTATTTGGGAATTTATAGCCAATTCAATTATCCCCATAAATCTTCAAATTCAACCGAAAAGTTTTCTTTTGGGGGGGGGGGGACATTTGGTTACACCACCTGAAGATTATATACCCCGACTTATTTCACCTGAAGTCTAACCACCCTAATATTAATATAGCCTAACCCCAGATAGAGTGGGGTGTCTAATTGATAAATAAGAAAACTCTATAGCCACTTCGCAACGAGGAATTTGAGTATTCACTACCGTGTAACGTTCCTGTATGTGTTCACCGCGACGGGACTGGCCGGAACCTATTTACATGCACGACTCTTGGCAGAGATATTTATTCAGAAATATCGTCATATGATTTCACATTGATTCGGCAAGTACAAAGATAGTGTATGCAAATAGTTATAGTGTACATAGGCAGTGCAGGTATACAATGTAGTACATAGATAGTGTAGGTATAAGAACATTTACATAGGCAGTGTATACAAATAATGTACAGACAGTGCAGGTACAAAAATAATGGTAAACTAAGTCAATTCCAGCAGGGTCGAGGAGAGACAGACACGTACACCACTAGTAGGGGTGTTGAGGAGGGAAGGCAAGAGAGGGTGTGGCCGCGGTAGGCAGGAATGGATTAATTGAAAGAAAAGGCTGGGAAAATAGTGGAGAGGAAGGGAGTGGTGGTCAGTGGGCGCGGGTGAGGTACTGAGGGGCTAGGGTGGAGGAGTGGAATAAAAAAATGAACAAGGTACACGTGATGGTGCTTGGCCTTGAGGTTGTTGAGGAAATTTATACATATAGTGTTCATATAATACGTTAATGTCAATATGTCAACAAGTAGCGTACAAATATATCTTCTTATCTATGGATAATTCTAAACATTAAGATATCTGCGTTTGTAAAATTAAGAAATGCGATGTTGTCAATTCTTATATCTTTCATTATTCACAAGTGGCCAAATTACTACAGAAATCTCGCTATGATAGAGTAAAATGCGTGGAAAATCGGCTGACAAGAAGGACAGATGGCCGTTGTAGATTATAGTGCGTCAACCCTATCGCACCCTCTATCGAAAGATAAAATGTTTAATTACGTCGAGGAATTGTTTGAAAACCATGTACATTATCAATATCGTAAATAAGCACCAATAAACAAATTTCATACTTGATTAGTTTATCATTGGTGAAGGGGAAGTTCTCTCGTCTACCACGCGGTACAAGCACAACATTTAACCGTTACCTCTTCAAGGATCAAAGGTAAGGAACGTGTGTATATGCTCGGTCATACGGGTAGCGGTTAATTTAAATGTCTATTACATATGCAGACAACCGTCCCCTCCCTACTCTGAATTATCGCAGCATAAAAAAGTATGGTAGATACACGAGGAAAGCAGCAAAAAACAAGCTGTTTAGCATACTGTAAATCGGTTATGGACTTGGTTTTAAATACTCTACATCTTAATAGCATACTCTATATATGATATAAAGTACAATGTGAAAGTGAAATATCTTAAATAAAGGAGCGGCATATCACTCATAGGTATGTACCTCGATGTAGAAAAGTCAAATATGAGCGGGAACTAAATAATGGAATCGGAATCGTCCAAATTCTCGTCCCAAGCTTGTGTACGTTCTTCTTATTGATTTCCACACGGACAAAATTGAAATGATATATCCCACCTCTTGCATATAACTACTGTATTTAATAATTTTAAGATATAATTTTTATTCACCATCGTCTTGTAAGGCTAGTTTGAAAAGTGAAGTAATAAATCAGTGATGAGGGGGACGAGAATGAAAATTACCACTGTTTACCGTCTAGCTATAAAATATAAGCCAATCATAACACAGGATTTTCTAGCGGCGTGTTGTCATTTGTTACTTTATGTTTTCGTTTGTTCTTGTAGCCGCCTGTCGAACACCGTTTATTTTGGTCGGTGTGACGCAAAAGTATAAGGAAACAAGAATAGAATTACCTTACTGAAAACCGTATTTCCGTGAGTGAAAAAAGAACGATATTATAGTTAATATATGCCTCGTAGTTGTAGCCAAAGTAGAATTCCTTGGAGACTACAGAGAGGAGAGAAGGGATGTGATTAGTGTAGGTGTAGTTAGTGAAGCCACTACAGTCTCACGTTCTTAGACGATTGGCTGATCATAATTAGGTATTTAAGGGGAAAGTCTTATACTGAGGTTGTGTGCGTGTGTGTGTGTGTGTGTTTGTGTGTGGCGCTGGTGTCTGCTGCCCTGTTTGGCACCATCAGTTGACTCCACGTGCTAGGTCCGCCTAACTCACTCAGCTGGGAGTTCCTGCAACACCTAACACCAGGTGTACTGTGACCTCTTCCCACTACCCAAGTGTTAATTGATAGATCATTAGACAACTAAGGATTAGCAGTGTGCAGTCAGTAAGTATAGAAGTGGTTGTATTGAAGGTTAATCTACTAACCTTAGCTTTAGAGGCCATATTTGAAGTAAATGGTTTGTAGATGTCCAGAATGACTCCAGAAACTTGATAATAGTCTGTTTTTTAAAGGATTTTTCACTAAAATGTTCTATTTGATGTGCAGAATGAAATAAACCTGAGATAATAAGGAAATTGTGGCTTAGAATTTACTTAAGAAACAGCATATTGGTCAAGGCTTCTGCTGCTCTTGTCTTGTCACCCCCTGGATTCACAAATATTGTAATGGAAATATATATATAGAGAACACTGGCTCCTCGACCAAACGACGAAACATGTTTTGTTTTTAATTTTCTATTCCCTCCATTGGTGGTAAAATTCTTGTGCAATTACTTTGTTTTTAAGTTTTGTAGTGAATATTTTGCCATGACCATCTATGTTTCTACTAATGCTATTTTACCGTGAGTGCGCTCTGATTGGCTAAGTACTTTCTGTTTAATATAACGGGGGGTCCGCTCCCCGCCTAAGAAGTTAGGTAAGGTTAGGTAGGTTTCTTTGGTTGGTTAGGTCAGGTTCTGTTATGTACTAGTAAATGTCGCCTCTTTTACAATGATAAGTTTCCATGCACAACAAAAACATGGTTAGGTATGTTTACAGCTACACAACGATCGACTCACGGCAAAATAAATGCCAAATGCCACCAGAGTCACGGTCAAATATAGTTCTCACGTTGTTTGCTGGTAATGGACGTTGAGCCAATCAGACCGCACTCACGGTAAAATAGCTAAAGGAGGAACTTACTGGTCACGGGAAAACATCCGCTGAATTTAAGTTGTGGTTTATTTCTCCTTTAATATTGACACCTTACAAAGTGGGCAAGGCTTTGTGGAAAAATGAGAATGTAAATGTAAGAAATTACTGTATTTATTTTATTTTTATCATTATTAATGTTAAAGTGTTTTTTTTCACTGTTCCCAGTAGCTGATGACAGTGTTGCTAGTGTCCAAATTCTCCATGGAAAATTGTGAGAATGTTACAAAGTGTAATGTAACCTAATGTAATGTAACCTAACCTAACCTAGAAAAGAAAGAACAATCTAACCTAACCTAATTAATAAACTTATTATCCATATGCACAAGAAACTCTTCTATATATTAACCACGATTAGGGAACTTATATACGTCAGATTTACCAGTCATGAACCACTGAGTACTGTACTGCCAGACTAGAGTGTACAGTACAGTAGTGTACATTGTTCAGTGGTCCGCTCCTGCAAAGTTTGAACATCGTAATATTTTTTATTGGTAGAAGCACCAAGATGTGAATTTAAAGTATTGGTGCTCTTTATATCTTGCTCACACTTGATGTTCATTCTGTATGAAAAATGTTTTAGTGTAAATCTCAAGGAAAAACATTATTAACCCATGACTGGTGACAAAGGATTTCCTGCTCCACTCTCATGTATGTAAAAACGGCACACAAGGAATATTATATGTCCGCTGTTGATGGCTGCCGTCCGTACAGCTGCCATAACTCTTACTGATGATGCTGCCATTTAAGTGCTAAGTTCTCAGAGTTACTCCAGACATTCAACCAAATGAGGTTGTGTAGGTGACTGTACTTTCTCTGTGCTTTCCTCTTAAATGTAATGGATGTGTATATTTTGATAACTTGAGTGGGCAGGGATTTGAGAGGATGCAAAATGTGGAGTTTAAAAAAAAAATTAAGAGAATACTGTAGTACTAACAAAGATGGTTATTGATTATTTTAAACATGGCTTTACAATTATTCTGTACAGTATAAGGGAACATATACTGTATTGTTCTATGGCCCCTGGGGCCTTGTTTTATTAAACATTTTATTTATCTAAGGCAACAGAACCAAAACTTACCGGCTGACCCAACACACAGTATAAAATTTTTTTAGGAAGTGGCTATTGAACCAGGTTGGACAGTAAAATAGCTCAAGAGCTATTTAGCGAGTAAAATAGTCTACAGTTGTATATACCTAACCTGATCTAAGCTTGAGTAAGGTCAGGAAATAACCTGACATACCTCAAGGACAGGTAAGGGAGGGATGCTCACCTGTGTGTGTGTGTGAACCAGGTGACCTGGCTCAATTGCCATTGAGCTATTTTACCGTCTGACCTGGCTAAAAAGCCACTTTCTTTGTTTTTAGGAGAGCTGATATTGTTGTGTTACAGTTTGCATGTGTAGTGAGATGCAGTGTACCCTAAAATCATTAGGTTAGGTTCATGTATGTCTTGTTGTTTATCACCTTTACTCTCATTTATTGTGATAATTAACATCCCGACTTAATTTATTATTTAATCGAAACTAAACTACCTTGATGATCATAGAGATTGGTAGTTTTTAATATTCTGTGTTGTATAGTGCACCTCACTGCACATATGTACAATAACTCATTGGCATCGAGAAAGTGAAGGTCACTTAATTTGTACACAGGTTTTAGCAGATGGGCGGACTCGGGTCTGTAGCTAATTTCTAAAAAAAAAATTATTTCTTGTCTTGCAGTGCCTGAGGGAGAGGCTTTACAGTGTGTGGAAACAGCTACTGTATCAGAGAAAGTTGACCCTGACCTAGGGAGTGAGGCCATAGCACTTGTTCTAAATGCTGAGGATGCCAATATAGTGTTAAAACAAGATCCACTTGACCTAACCACTGAGAATGGCAATTTAACACAGGATGGTGATCCAGAAGTAGTTCTTGGAGATAACCTCACGTCTAAGGTTGATTCCTCTCAGAGTGATTTCAGTGACGCCGTTTGGTCACTTGATAGCACACCACCAAAGGATAAAAAGGCTCAGGTTGAGGTGAAAGTATCCAGCATGGCAGAAACAAAGCATAATAAACAGGTAAAGTATAGTTATTTTATAAGGCTAAAATGTGATGGAATAATGATGGCACAAATAAACATAGTGAATCTTACCTACCATATTTAAATTTTTTATTCATCATGCTATATCAAGGTAGCCCTCTCTCCTCACTTCCTGGCATTCCTATATATTAGCTGGGATAAGAAAGGTGGCTACTGTTGTATTTTCCTTTTCAAAATTCACATTAATGTAAGAACTACTAAGTAATGCCATCTTTCTGCAGCAAAAGAAGGACAAGAAGAGAAAAGATAGGGATTCTGGTGTCGAGGCTCTCACCGCTGCACTCAAGGCTCTCCCCCCAGAACAGCAGATGTCCACGTTGCTCTCCAAATATGCAGAACTTGCTGATAACAATAAACGTTTACAGGTGAGGTAACTGGGTGGGACTGTGTACATATCAAGGTGTGATATAGGTAGTTTAAAAGAATGAGTGTCAGAATATGGTATAAAATGTCAACTGAATCATCTGAATTATCTGTTACAAAAGGCAGTGATATGTACATTATGTATAGGGTTGGGTTTGGTTAGGTTAGGTTAACAATTAGGGGAGTTTATAATAAAGTGAATTAAGTTGGGGGCTAATCTTCATGTGGTCCCATTCTGCTGTATATGTCTTTAATAATCAAGTATCTATACACAGGGAAGCGTGAAATCTATTGAGCGTCAGGTACAAGTACTGCATAAGGAGAAGGACCAGATGGAGTCAGAACATACAAAAGTAATTCTCACCAAATCCAGATTGGAGTCACTGTGCCGGGAACTACAGAGGCAGAACAAAGTCATAAAGGTAATGTGGTGGGATTATTTTTTGAGAAGAATATTTATTTCAATGTTTCTTGTCTGTGTCATATGTATACCTCTTCCACTCTGGTGTTGTTGGATCAAGAGAACAGAGACCTCTCAGGGTTGAGGAGGGGTACTGTCATTGTGGGTAAATAGGTGTAGTAACCTACAAGATAGGGATCAGAAATGTGTTCGATCCATGTGCTCAACATTCATTCCATTCTCTCCATAATCGAACTTTGGGAATATGTATTCTTAAATGCACTGATTAATCTTCCACTCTTGGCCCTCCCTTTGATCTTCTGTGCACTATCATTATTCACTAAATTCAAGGGCACATGTAATATCAGCTGTTCTTTCATCTCTCATAATGTTTGAGCACACTCATCTTAATCTTAGGACCACTGGTACCAGGAGAACATAGAGGACGCTTTGGTGACACGATGCAAGGGGCAAAACACGTGCAATATACAGTATACTGTACTGGAGCACAAAATACTGTAGCACTCTGTGACTATAAATGTATTCATGCACTGAGGACTGCAAGATGGAAAGCTGCATATCTATGCCACACACAAGTTAATTTTGTGGTAAATACTGTACTGTATATAAAGTAATAGTGTAGGGTTTTCCAGGTAAACAATGTGCATATGAGACTAAACCGGAAAACTTTTCATTGTAAACTATAAATTTATGTTCATATTTAATAGTTATGGTTAGGAAAAAATATTGTTCAAGAGATAAAGGTTTGTATACTGTAGAGGTGTAAACTAACTGGTAGCCCCAAGTGATCTGGTGGATTCTGTAGATGCTGTTCTCTTATCTTGCCTTGTCTGTACCATTTTATTCTCTATACTGTTGGTTAAGTGTGCAGGAGCAAGTCAAACACTTAAGTATGTATAAAATTAAGGGTCTCTTCTGTGCTTGTGTTCTCTCCACACTGTCAATCCGTCGTTTAAGTTACAGTACTCCACTGTCGGAAGTGACCTGTGCTGAGACTATGACCTAGTTAAGGTGGCGTGAGGATAGGTATTTGGTTACGTCTGGCTGTCGTCATCAGAGGAAGGAAGTCGAAGCCTGACATTACAGTAAACTGATACAACTTCCATTTGAACAATATGTACAGTAGCTAAAACAACTATCTGTGCATGCTTTGTGGGAAACAATATGAGACCATGGACAATAAATTTTGGTATGTGGGGCTGTCACTAGTCACACGTAAAATTTCGGAGCATATCTGCCCCCACCTGCACAGATAGTTGTTTTAGCATAATAATACTTATACTTTTTATTCTCCACATCATTGATGTTGATAGTTGGTTAATGTATCAGGTGATGAAAATCAGGTCTGCTTTCCCTGTAGTTAATTACGACTGATTTTATACCCTGTAATTAATCAAGACGGTGATTATATGTATAACACGTTTTAACAGGATGAAAATTTGACTCGGCTCCGGGAAGAAGAAGAACGAAGGAAGGAGGTGTCAGCCAAGTTCAACACTACATTGTCAGAAATATCTAACCTGATGAAAGAGAATGCAGACAAGAACACCCAGCTGAGAGATGAAAACCAGGACATGGCTGGCAGATTGCAGGAACTCATTAAGCAATATGAAGAGAGGGAGTCAGTAAGTAGGAATGTACTGTTCCAGGTCAAATGGGCCCATTCCAATACTCCCTAGACTTATTATGCCTCAGTTGACAATACCATTAGTCTTCGTAAAAACTGGGGTCTATTAGGACTGATCCCCAAATGTAATTGTTAAGTAGTTGTTGGTATTAACCAGATACAGTATATACTTTCTTCTTTTATACAATTTTATTAGCTAGCTACCTCATTCAGAGTTTTTCAACCCCCTTCACTGTTATAATGCTGTGGCACTTCTTTTCCTGTGGTCATTATGCCTTATTTATGAACTTCCAAGATGGCAGTACCTGAAACTTCTTAGAAATGGCACAGATAATATTGAGTGATACATAATGGTAATTCAAGGATTTGTATGTTGAGATTCAGATTTGAGGAACTTTGAAATACTCAGAAATATGAATTCAAATACAGACTTAAGCATTGTAAAGTTAGTGCCTTTACTTAGATATATTTAGAAATGTTTATAAGGGAAATTATACTTTGTCCTTTACTCTTTACAATGTATCGATCCTGATGTGTTTATTCCTGACCCTTTAGATGAAAGCATTGTGTACTATACTAAACTTAAAAACTTATATTTATGGTGGTATAGTGGTAGCACGCTTGCCTCTCATCAGTGTAGTCACGGGTTCAAATCCCTGGATCAGATGTGAGAAGGGTGTTATCCAGTGTGACCCTACCAAATATGGCAAGTTTCCTCCAGGTATTTGACTTTCCTAACGATGGACAGTGAAGGTTATAACAAAAAAACAGACCAACTGCCCAATTAGCTGGTAAGGGGGGGGGGGGTATTCAAGCTGGGCAACAGTATTGTCAGTAATCGTATCATCATTTTCTCATTACCTTTCAGCATGTGGATAAAATGCTTAAGCAGAAAGAGCTTCAGTGTCAGCTGTTAGAGGCCAAGATGGCAAAACAACAAATTGAAGTGACTGAGGACAAAGAGAAGATGCTTATTGAGAAGAAAAATCTGTTAGAGGTAAGTATACTAGGAAATAAGTTGTGTGTCAGACAGAGATGTGGAGATTATTAATATTATTGTTAGCCTCGGTGATGGACCATCAAATTGAGCATAGTTTTTAACATTGATACATCCAGGAAATACTTAAGTTTGGTGCAATACAAGGATAGAAAGTGCCAGGACTTGGTTAGGTTTGGTTAAAAATACTCCACAAACTCGCTTCCTCAACATATAAAAAGGTTTCACACTATACAAAAATTAATTCTGAATTGCCTTTTTTTTATTTTCAGTGGAGATTGGATGATGAGGACCATTTAGATGGCCACTAAGGTTACTGGATTTCACCCCTCAGTGTCTTCCTTTGGCGTTACCTAAAATCTGTTATCTTCAAGATCGTCCAAGAACCATTTGGGTGACACCAGAGAAAGTACTGTAATTGAGGGATGTGAAGTCCGGAGACTTCGGTGGCCACTTGGTTGGTCCTCATCACCCAACCTTCGTATATTTGTTACGATTCCTTCACCTGAAAAAGAGAAAAAAGAACAAAAATTTTCCTGTGGTGTGAGACCATTGTGAGACCTTGTGATGTAAACAGAAAGAATCATTAATTCCTATATTGATTTATAGTTCTTAGAATAGATTCACTGTTAATGTTGAGTTGTCATAATTGTTCATGTTCACACAGTCATGCAGGTAATGACCACTTTACATGATCCTAAGCCATGTTTCTGGTATTACTTAACCTGATACAACACTTCTACACCTCAGTATTTTCATCTTAACATAAACAGTCTGTCTTCCCTAGTCTTGCTCTTGCTCTCGTGTCATCAATCTTACTGTTGTGAACTACAATCTTGTTTATCCCTCACTATAAACTGGTAATTTTGTATTCCAGGAGGTGGCCTCTTACCAGCACAAGACACAACAGATGTCCATGAATGAGATCAGCCTACGGACACAACTCAACTCTTACATGGAGAAATATGAGGACTTCCAAAATACCTTAGACAAGTCTAACAAGATCTTTAATACTTTCAAGAAAGAAATGGATGAGGTAAAGCTACTGCATTTTTATTCCACTTAATATGCTGATGATGGTTGTGATAATGTACACAGTACATTGGATGATAAACAATAGCCTTAAATTTAATCATCTCTTATTTGAGGGTTAATGTTTAGGATCAATACCCGTTATATTTGGGAGACATTAGAATTTAATTTCATCTGTAGTCGTGCATTTTATTTTTGACCGAGAGATTTATTAATTATTATTATTTATATTTTAGATGACAAAGAAAATTAAGAGACTAGAAAAGGAAACTAAGTCATGGAAGGAACGTTGGGAAGGTGCCAACAAGGCCCTCTTGAATATGGTAGGGGAACGAGCAGACTTAGAGAAGCGGCTTGATACACAGATGAAACAAAACGTACAGCTGCAAAACCTTTGCCGGGCACTTCAGCAACAGCTGACTGAACTGAGGAACAAGGATAAAGGTGAGACTAAAAATAATTTTAACCCCAGCCTTGGAATTTGATGCCTGTCATGGCTGTCATTGTCTTCTGATTGAGTATGATGCTCCTGTCAACAAACATTCTCTTCTCAAATACTATTCTTTGTACATTTTTATTGTCAGTTATGCAGTAGGTATCAACAGTTCAGAGTCTAAAAATAAGCTACACTGACAGGAAAATCAAATGAAAAATACAGTAATAAGATTAGCAACAACTTCAAGAAAAATACTTGAAATGTACAGAAAAAGAAAAAGGAGATATTATGGTCATATGATTATGGATGAGGGGATAATAACAGAAATATTAATGGGCAAAGTTGAGGGTAGGAGGACCAGGGGAAGGTAGAGACTGTGATGGACGAATGAAATTAAAAACTGGGTCCCCAGAGAGAGAGAAAACCTTACAGGATTGGTAAAAACAGCCCGAGAACGTTTAGAGTGGAGGACTGTGGTCGCCAACCCTCAGATGTGAAGACAGTTCTCTTGATTGATTGATTGAACTTCACTAAATTTATGTGAGTCCACTATTAGGTTTATTAGGCTGCTAACATACCGGGTACTGTACTGTATTAGCAATCTCACGTATACCTGTATTTTGATATACTGTAGATGGTTATAGTGCGTTATGATCAAGTTTAATATCATATGCAGTACAGTCTAAACTCTATATCATCACCATCAAGTACAGTAGAGTTCATTAGTTGTGGGAGATCCACCTCATCTGCAGTTATATTATAATACATACTGTATAGCTTCTTGTCATACTTATCTGTAGCTCTCATATGACTAGCTAATTCCATGAGCATTAAAAACCGGCTGCTACTGCTGTTTTTTTTTTTTTAAGCGTATGAAAGTTCTGTACATTATAATTTGAAATTTGGGTAATGGCAGAGGCTTTCTAAACTGCCATGAGCAACTTCCTTACTAAATACTGTAGTGATGCTTAAAACAGAGATCACGACAAGAACTTTTCTGCCTCGGGACATTTACTTATTTTTGTGAAATTCTTGGCCTTGGCTATTGCCTTAACCCCTTATTCCCTTCAATACAGGGATGCCATTTATGATATTTTATTTGGCTAATGGGATATGATTTTATTCAGCACAGAGGGGATCCCGAACACAAGTGTTTAAGCTTTTGCAAAGTTTAATTTAATGCATGTGCTTGTTTTACATACTCCTACATAACTGTCATAATGAGTGGTAATTTTGAACCGTCTAGGATTTTACTAACCTTTTTTTATACTCTTGAGGGCTTCCTGGTAGTGTGTAAATTCCCCCGTTTCTACTTTTGTTCCTTGTGATGAGTGCAAAGAGTACACAGCTCAAGTCATCACTGATATACTTTTGGTGTGTCTCATTGGTTAATGCCTTTCTAACTTGGTAGGTATCCATTTCCTCAGGGCATGAATGTTTCTGCCACAGTTATACAGTACTTGACTCTTGCTTGTGAATATTTTTTGTGAGTGCAGTAAAACCCTCATAATTGTACTCCCCTATTTTGAAATCACGCATAATTCATAATGTTTTGCTTTTATGAAGTACTTGTATATGTTAAAAATTTTGTAATATTTGGTAAAATTTGAATACGTTTAGAAATATTACGATGTTTATACTATATATTACAATTATTGCAATATTTGGTAAAATTTTGAATTATGAGACATTTATGAATATGTATGATGCACATGTAGCCACTGGGTGCTGTCTCTCGCCTTAGTGTAAACAAGTATGACGTGTCGGTCAGTTCACTTTGGTCAGGTGCAGAATGGACGTCTATGGCCTGCTGCACAAGCTTTTTGCACTTTTTTTTTCCATCATTGCCCAGTGTCTGAGCCATTATGTCTGATAACCCTTAATCTGGTACTGTACTTAGAAATGTTTAAATTTTGATTGGGGCAGATAACGGAAAAGTACTGTTGTTTTGTTTGTTTTTCCCTCGGGAGAAGGTGTCCCTCATACAGTATTTTGTAAAATTTCATAACTTGTAAGGGCTAGAGTTACTATTATTTCGAATTATGGGGTGTTTTACTGAAAATTTGACTGTACATACAAATGTCATTAACTGAATTTTGTTTTATTTGAAAGGTGGATAATTGAATTTTTATGCTCAGTGTAAATTATTGTATTATAATTTTTTATGATATATTGAAGTACATTATAGTACTTTATAATATAGTGTGATACAGCATATACTGATCTTAAAATGAATTTGGCTTGCTAGATATCCAAAAGGAGTGAGTAGGTTAGTGTACTCTTCTCTAGTCCCTGAATCATGACTGTATCATGACTTGGTGGCTCCACATTCATAAGGGGTGGTTATGGTTCTGGAAAAACAGTAAGACTAGGAAATCAAAATATTATTACTGGTATTAATTTTTTTTCCGAATTTTGATGCTTCATATCTCCAGTCACCATTCAATTGTTTTTATTGTGGTAATACCTTCAGGAGCTACAGCAACTGTTTAAGGTTATTTGGTCATGATGTATCAGGAAAGTTGTGCCTGCATCATCCTGCTGTGAATGTGGGGAAAAAACAGCCTTGTTTAGTTACTGGTGCATTTAGACTGACAAGATATTATTCTTGAATTTTTCAGCATCTCAAGCATCTAATGAAGAAAAAAATGCACAAATACAAGAGAAAGCAGCAAGGAAAGAAAAAAAGGAAGATATTGCTGAAAAACCTTTGGAACCTGCAGTAGTAGTTATAGAGTCAAAACCAGAAGTTGAAGAAGACATTTCAAGTAGTAATGTTGATCAAACCCCAGAGGAGGAAACCAATAGTAATCCAACACCTGCAGTAGAGACAAATGAAGTTCCTGCAGAAGCAATGGAGGAGGAGATCTTGGTGAAGGCTGTAGAGGAGGAGGAGGAGCCATATGTATCCAATATCGATGAGGTTGACTAGCACGTTTACATCTGTGCACGTAGAACTGAACCGTATATCGTAACTTACAGTATATATTTATATATACAATACTGTACTTGTTTTTCAGATCTGGGCAGTAGCCATAGATTATGAGGTTTATAGATCATATTATTTAGGTTTTTATCACTATTAAAACAAAACTCTGGGTCTTTGAAATCCTATATATTAAGAGCTTATTTTGGAGATCTGCACCATGGTTAATTAAAAAAATATCTATACTTTATACTCTGCAAAGAAAGCTGTAATAAAGTGTGAGAGAAGGATGCATCTGTTAAACTACTTGTATAATAGTACTTTCAAGAGACTTTAACTGAGTTTATTCAAGAGACTGTAACAGGATATTCAAGACTGTAACAGGATATTCGACAGACTGTAGCATAGTACACTCGCTACAGAAAGCATCTGTAAGGTGGGGTCCGGTGGATGTCAAAATGAACACTGACTTCTGTTGTCTCGGTAGGTTTGTCAAAATCCTTCCGTTGTGTCATATTGTCTACCCCAAAATTTTGTAGGTACATTTTGTAGCGAGTGCACATACATAGTACATTCATGAGCCTGTAACAAGATAAAGCATTCAACAGACAGTAGCAAAGTACATTCAACAGACTAAACAGTAATACAGTACATACAACATATTGCAACATAATACAACCAACGGACTATACCAAGAGCCTTCATATTATTATATTTTTCCACATTGTAGGGAATGAGGAAGAGCTGTTGAGGAGAACACTTACTAGTCACATTAAAGCTTTGAAAGTAGCTCATAGTAGCGAGTTTTGATTACCGGTTATCTTTCATTTGTATAATCTCATTTTAATGATTGTGTGTGTTCCTGTTGGTAATATGCCTCAGTGCGTGTTTGGCGACATACTCCAGTGTCCCTATGTGCTTATGATTCCTCTTTACCAGCCCTATATTATGTAGTTCAACCTCTTAACAGTAATTAGATATTGTTTACCTGATCTGCAATGCCCCATGCCAATAGAGTCTCCAGGCCTCTCTTTAACTTTGTATTTTATTCACATGTTTTGTACAGTACAGTACTTAAGTTATTTAGAATGTGGGTCTATATTTTCTGGTGTCATTGGTAGCTAATGTTCTTCTCATGATACAAGTTTTGTTTAGATTGGAAAATCTAAAATGGAATTGCTGAAACACATTCTTAGTATCTGAGTGTTTTGTTTTGGTTCATACTGTACATCATCCCTTGTTGTAGTTTCTAATGATAACTGACAAAATCTGTTTGATATTTATTCTTTCTATTTTAATTTCAGAAAAGTTCCATAATGATTCTTTTTAATATTTATTCTTTCTGTCTAGTTAAGAAAAGTACATTCACGCGCCAAAGTTTCAATGCACCCTCTACCCCTACTCCTGGCTCGAGGGAAGTCGTGGTCAGGTCTGCAAACCGAACGGTCCCTCTTGTATAGCGATGGTAAATAAAGTGTTGTGAAGTCACTAAAAAAAATGTATGGTGCATATATTCTCTCAAATATTACGTCATCAACCGTTATTCGTACAATCCAGTGAAGCTTTGAGCTGCCACATTGCACCACTGAACGATGGGGGGGGGGGTTTGGTATGAAGCCAAGGCTACGACTTCCATCGAGTCGGGGGTAGAGGGTGCATCGAAATTATGGCGCGTGAGTGTACCATAATGTGACTTTATCCTTTGCATCTTCAGTTAGAAAAAGTAGTACAGTATGAAAGTTTTACTTTGTGTTGTCAGGAGAAGTAAAGAAACTTACTTTTGTGTTGTTTGCGCTTTTAGTTAGGATGAGTTGCCTCAAGAAAGACTCGATAATGTTGGCCGAAAAGTATCTTTACGGAGGAGTCCGGTGAATTTAAAAACGAGTACTGTGACTCCTGCTGTCTCGGCAAGGTTGTCAAAATCCTTCGTCCGTTGTCATATTATCTAACACAAAATCGTAACAATACTTTTTGGAACATGGGTACGTCTTTGCCATTACAGGTCAAGTGAGCCTCAGCCTAGTGTAACTTGACCTTTAAATTTGTGCTCCAGTCCTGATGGGTCATAATGCTATTGAACCTCAAGACTATATGGTTAGATTAACTGATGGCTTAGGAGGACTCAGGCCCATTTGATCTGAAATCTTTCTTCACTATGAGGCAGCTAATTTTACCCTGGTACAGTAACTCTCCTACTTCCTTACTCTTCCATGGATTGAAAATTTTTTATATTCATAAACCACTTAAGGGCATTGTCATCACTGAGTTACGAACATGAGGAATGTGTCTCTAGTTATGAGGGCATTGTCGTCATGAAGTACCTTTAGTATAAAGGCGCTGTTAGGTCATGTAGTGTCTTGTGGTTGCAGGTTAAATGAGCCCCTCTGAGTAAGTCCCAACCTAACCTTAACCATACCAGTGTGTTTAGAGCCCAGTCAGACTAGTGGCACTGGACCCAGATGAATATGCTATGTTGAGGTCTATCAGGATTGAGATGCATTTTACCAGTCACCTAGTTTTGTGTACCTTTTAAGTTTATCTCGTATCATTGTTATTATTAGTTGTATCATCATTGCTATTGTTTTTGACTATCTCAATTGGATTTATTACAGAAGGAAAGCTTGGCTTATTAAATGTGGCTACACATGTTGTGTTGAGTATTCTTGTGTTTGACTAATATTTCCTGCATCTTTACGGCAGAAATATTTACTTGGTGGTAGACCCTTTTAGTTAATGACACTCATTTATTTCATGACAGTTAAGTTTTGGTGGCTGACTTGCTCATGGTGGCAGAGTTCTGAGCTAACAACACACTAAGTGGTTAATCAGGCATCAACTTCACATTGCTTTCTCACACCCACAAGCAAATTAGTATTCATATAGTAGTATGGTAATGCATATTGTCATCTATTTGATGATCTTGATATCTGTGCCTCTACAGTACATTATTTTTATTGGATAATAAATGTGTTTTTTTAGGAATATTATCAAAAAAAAGTTGGATAATTTATATTTATGTTATTTCTAGCTTGTACAGTTCAAGGGTTTTGTTCCATTAATTTACACCCAATAGTGTTTTTCTTTCTCGTTGTTGGTTTTTGTTGCTGTTGTTGGAAAATTTAAGCATTGGTCGTCCCAGTTCTCTCTGTAAGGTACCTGTTCTACTTTTCTGTGTTTATATCTTTATTTCAGTTGCTTTGGTAACCTTCTTTCCTCTCTTGTAAATTTTTTATATGCTGCGTGTGTGTTTGCTCTTTGATTCTGCATTGAGTGGGAAACGGCTTGAAATAGGAAAGAAATGAGTTTTATATCTTGCAAACCTATGGCTGCTAGTTGTGTTTCATGATAGTCGTGGTGGGTAGGTTCTTGGCACGTGCTGTGGAGTTTGGAGATGTGTTGTGACATTGAATGCTTAGGCCGTGTATTGTACTGCTCTCACTCTTTATTTTGTTAAGTTTAATGTGTAATGTTTCATTTGGTTTACAATAAGCCTAAATTATTACTTAAGTTATTGTAAGTACCATGTGGCCTTACTACATTTTTAATTATCATTTTATGACCTGGTAATATATTCCCTTTTATATTTAGTGTGAATAGAGTGATGTGTGAAAGCTGTGGTCCCTTGACAATATTATATAATATAATGGCTTTTACCCAGTGTAACCTGCTGCTGTCATGGGAATGCCATAATGTAAGAGATTTGGTTCTGTGTCACATGTTGTCATGAAGATGGGAGTTGTATAATGTAACTTGTTATGAGGACACCATAGTCTTGCAAATGGTACCCTGTGTCACCTGTTGTTATGGGGATGTTTTAATGTATTACATGGTACAGTACTCAGCATCACCTGTTGTTATGTGGATGATGTAAGGTGGTAGGTAGCACCCAGTAGTGTTAGTGGTCACAGGGACATCACAATATAAAGTATGCAGGAAGATGCCAATACAGTGAGGGAGGAACAAGTGGCCAGACAACTTGGAATGTAATGAGTAAGCAAGAATTTTTATGCAGAGAACAGTTTATTAGCTGATTGTAAGCTTTATTTATTTTTTTCTCCTGACTTGATGTATTGTATTAGTTTACAGTTTGTGACATGAATGAAAATGGAACTAATATGTGTATGTTTTTGGTGTGTCAAGTTTAGAATGATGTAAATTAACTATTGCTACATAGTAAAAGATGTAAGATCAGCATTTGCTTTTTTTGGTTTTTCATGAAGTAACCCTCATCTCTTAGATTGATAATATGTACAGTATTGTCTTCGCAAAGCAATGCAATTAATATCTCATATGAGGAGCTCCGGGCAATAATCTGCTAAGTACCAAAAAAGACAGTGGAGGAAAATGCTCAGGGAGGAGTGTGTGACATACAATAGTCTTTTCAGAGGACTCTCATCCACATCTACAGGTTCCCAATTGGCTCTCTGACATATTCAGGGGACAGAGAAGAGGTTGGGGAATACAATGCAATACATAACACATATCAGCGATATATGGCTCTTAGCAGGTTATAGTCCAGAGCTCCTCATATTTGAGCTTTAAAGCAATCTGCAGTGTACAAGTTCTGGGTAATACCCATTCTACTGTCTTCTGGTAAATATAGATATCGCCTTACTTTTGCTGGGGTCAGGTTCCTGAAATACCCATCGCAAGTCAAAATATCGTAAATCGGAATCATTATAACATCTGAAGAAAAAAATTGTACACTCATAAAACAATCAAACAACACTGGTCGTCATTACATGTCATTTTACAGTCACAAAAACATAGCTAAAATCACTTCCTAGTCACCGAAACAGTACAATAAGAACTTTAATGATGTTCTCTTATTGTAAGGTTAAAAAAACACCCATGATAAATAACAACACTGATACTGACAATAATTGTTGAGTTACATGGTTGTGGCCTTGTGTGATCACCATGGGACATAGCTTGGTACTGTAGTGCACCAGGTGGCTGCTGGGTAGCACGCATTTTTTTATTGTAAACGTGTGCGTCTCCAAACGGTCACCCGGTGCATTGCAGTACCAAGCTATGTCTCATGGTGATTGCACGAGGCCGCGATCAGGTAATGAAGTGGTGAGTGTTGTTTAATTGTTTTATGTGTATTGTGAGTGTATGATTTTTTTTTCCAGTTGTTATAATGATTTCTGTAAGGGAATAACATGAGAAAGCTGAACTTTATAAAAGATTGTAAATATGAATCTAAATCCATAGTGTATTTTAATCCAAAGCTCAATAATATAAGGAGAGCATTTTCATTTACCTCTAGAAGGTAAGTCATAGGAAACAAATGACACTGACTGAAGGAAAGATCTGTGTTTTTGTAGAGTTTGGCTGCCTCATAACAGGGAGGGTGTTCCTGGAGTTGAAAAGTAATAATACAGTACTGTAATTGTATATTTTTTCCACTGAAATGTGTTTATCCTAATTGTTCTTTATGTAAAACATTTATGAATACAGTTAAAATTAGAATAAGCTGTATAAAAAGATGTAATAACAAAGATACATTTAAACTTAGTATTTCAGGTGATATTAACCACATATGTATGGGGTCCTCTCTCTGCTGAAAAAAATTGTCTGGCATTACCTAAATAAAATATTAAAAGTGGCACCCACGCAATGAAGGGGTTAACGGGTCTGAATTCACTTGAGATTTTGGTGGTGTTTTTGTTGTACCATCACTACAACTGCTCCTACTTACTCTTCACAGTTTCTTGGTTATTGTAGTTTGCTCTCTACCGACTCAACCGATACACTGATACTTGAACACTGAACACTAAAGGATGAGAAAACCAAGAAAACAAATGGAAGTAATTGAGGGAATGTTGGAGTAATCCAGTTGGGGAGAATGTTTTGAGCAATTTCTGAATGTAAGAGATAAGAGAGGCAGCCTATCCAGTTCGGGATGTGTTGGAATGAAAACATTAATATCTGAGAGGAAAATATATAAGGTGGAGGAGTGGATGGAATTACATTTACTGTGAAATTAATAAAGGTGGCAGAAGGAGAGAGACCTGTGTATGACAACACCTGTATTGGGTATGCCTGACAAAGGGAGGAGTAGCAAATAAATGACGAAGACATGTGTAGTTCCTTTATATATTGGAAAGTGAAAGGTGATGAGAAGGAATGTAAAAATTATGCTGTCATAAGTCTGTAGGTTATATTTATACCAGAAAAAGTATTTGGGAGCATCAATAAGAAAATTGTAGCAAAAAGAGAGTACTGTAAGCCCTCACTTAACGTCGTGGTTCTGTTCCTGAAAACCGCAACGTTAATGGAATCAATTTTCCCCATAAGAAATACAGTAGATAAAATACGGGAGTTACTTTCCCCAGCCTCCCTTTGCCCCATAAAATACATTACACATACATAATTCAATGGAATTTTTATAGAAAATAGTATATATTATACATCCCAAAAGATAAATAAACTAAATCATTTTGTATTGTACTCACTGATGGGCAGAGGTGGAGCGAGTGTGTGGTGGGTATTGGAGAGGGGGAGGGTGGGAAAGGAGTAGGGTGGCGAGTCACTGAGACCCGGAAGGTGGCTCCTCCTCCCGCTCTGACTGGGTGAGAGAGGGTGATGCTCCATACAAAGTAGTCTGTGACGACGTTATACCGAATCGGCGGGACGTTGTCCGAATCATGAGTAACTAAATACTAGCGACGTTATAACGAAACAATGTTGTCGGGGATAACGTTAAATGAAGACTTACTGTTCGTATATTATTAGTACAGCCAAGATGGTTCTGTAAAGGGGGAGAATGTACAGCTATGGATCAAATGTATGTACCGTATTAAGGAGCAAAAGTGAAATATTTTTGGAAAAAAGTACAGAAATTGTAACATGGATCTAGATAAAGTTGATCGAAAAAGCAATGTGTGAGGTAGTAAAACTGTTTTTGGGAATGAGGAACACTAATATTACTTAACAGTTTCTGAGAATTTATAGGTATATGTCTCATCTTGAGACATTCATCTTGATATGGGATTCAATGCGTTAGAAAAAACAATGTAGATGTTCTGATTACAATGTTCTTAATTGTACTCTTTGTGATACTAACTCACTTAATCACTCTGAAAAGAAAGTATTTCTCTGTGTCAGCTGCCATAACCTAGACCCACTTCAGATAGTCGTACATTAAACACAAATTATCTTATCTAACCTCACATAGGAGCCCTGCCTGATAACCCTACATGTTATCTTATCTCATGATATGGAGATTGTGTTGGAGTCAGCCTGATGGAGTACTATAAACCAGTGCGTGTAGCTCGGCCTTGTAGTACGGTATACAGTTTGGTGGCTGTAAAGCATCATCCTGAATACAAATTGTGTGCCTTTATAGGAGCATGTGGGAGGCCACATGCACCTCCCACTGGGGTGTTAGGGCAGTCGCCTGCTGTCTTAGGGTAGCTGGTTTGCACTCAGTGCAATCCCAGTTCATTTAGCAGTGAATGTGTGAGGGAAAAGAAGGCATTATCACCCACACTGTTGACTTGTGTACCAAAGATTTAATATACAGTGTGTTGTATCTGTATTGCCCCTAATGGACAATTGGGACCCACTTTCATACCTTCCATAAGGGTTGTGTATCAAGGCCATCAATACCTGCCAGAGTGTGTGTCTTGCAGCCATATACAATATACATCTTCATGTGTGTGATAAGGATTTGAGGGTACACATGACCCCTGCACCAGACCTGTCATCAGATTATCAAAATGAGTCACCAAGAAAGTGTATTGTACAGAGTGCCACTGTGATGTCTTACTCTGTATGCGTTTGTTTCAGTGATTCTTCTTATTCTTTATTGTTACTTAAATTATTGGTCTAACTCTCCCATTTATTATTGAAAATCATTTTGGTTAAGAAAGAGTGATCAGCACCACAGACATGACAGTGAAGGTGGTCTTGACTGTAGTGGTGGTGACCCTGGTGTTGACAACAGCCTCAGGTGTTGGGGCCAAGGACTTCGTTGAGTACGAGTACACACCACTACTTTATAACTACTCGACAAAAAGAACCAATAAACACATCGCTTCAGCAGACAGTGTGGTGTATAACTCTCTGTTATATAATGCAACGCTGCAAAAATGTTGGTGTTTGGGGGACCAAGTGTGGGATGGGTCACAGTGTACAGACACTACAACCAGTGTGGTGGTGCAGGACCCTGAGACAAGGGGCGTTGTTGTCGTCAAAACCAATGAATTTGGTAGTGTGAAGGTCGGGGAGCCCCAGTGTCCCCCGGGTCACTTATTTGTTGTGCTCGACTCTACTCGTGAGTCACTGGACCAGTTCTCCCTCCTAGACTCTGGTAACTTGTACTGGCAACAACATCAATATCATCAGTATTGTATCGAGCACACGCTGCATGAAGGAGGGGAACCAAACTCCTGGGAGGCTCACGTGTGCCTCTCACCCCCAAAGGTACCTCGATGCTGTGCCCGAGGCCTCTCCCTCGGGGCCGACAACTCTTTCACCGCCACAACCAACCATGTCTTCACACCACCCGTCATGGTGGACGGAGTGCTTATTAAGTGGTTGGTCGAGGGAGATGGAGATATTAATAATGTGACGTGTGAGGATTTTGAGGAGCTGATGATTCTACAACTGAACACTGATGGGTCGTATCTCACATACTTGTCAGGTGAAGCGTCTTTAGTGTGGTCGCCACCCAACTCACAAGGTTCAGAGCAGCGGCAAGATTACTGCGTGGGTGTGGAAGCAGGGAAAGATGACTACTTTGTCAGACTCTGTTACGAGGACCTCGTCGCCAGGCACCACCAACAGTGTAGGGACGCCACCTGCGTTCGCAAGTGTTGTCCAGAAAATCAGTTAATTGATGGATTTGGTTGTGTTCCTGACACAAGTGACAATGAGTTGTGGAAACCTTCATTTTATAACCCTGATAACTTGACCCTTAATGTTGATTTAAGAGTTGTTTATGGATTTCCACTTTGTGGGAACTTCTTTCAAACTGGAATTGATGACTCAGAAGATGAAATATTCTTGTTGAGTAACGGATTTTTAAAGGTTTTTGGCTTCCCCAAACCATATCCCCCTGACCGCTACTGTGTGGAAAAGTTTCTTGGTGTAGATGGGTCAGCCTCCACTCATGGGCTGATCTGCTTCGAAGACAACGTCGAAGAGCTGATGACGTGTACAATAATAGCCAGGAAATATGTGTACCCGAGTTTCATGCTGGTGTCATGTGTGTTCCTCCTCGTGACCCTTGTGTCATATGCCAGTGTGCCAGAACTACGGAAAAAGTTACATGGCAAATGCCTCATGTCCCTGGTGTCGGCGCTGTTCCTCGCCTACATCCTGTTGCCTATCGTATACTTGGTGGACGGCAACATGCTTCACTCACCCTGTATAGCCACAGGTCAGTCCAATAATATTAGTTTGATTTTACAATTTCTTTGGGTTCATGTTCTTATTGGAGCATTTCCCTCAACTGGAGGTGTGGGAAGCATTACCTGACCATCCATACCTCATAAATGTTAACCAAATGTTAACATCATATTAGCACTGGGTCCATATTACTTCCACATGTTCCTTCAACCTCAGCTATGGAGAAAACTTTTTCTTATGAATCTTTGACAGTCCAAGTCCAAAGTTTTTTGCAATAGAAAGAGCTAATATTGTCTGTTAATTAGTGTCATGGTATAAACATTCTATGTATGGACGTATTAATGTTCAGGGTGACAATACACCTATAGTATACTCTTATACTAATTTGAATGACAATATCCCATTTTTTCTGAGACAACATATCCAGTATGCTGCCATCTTTGTGGGGTAGTGATCACCTCTGTACCTGGGTGCTGTATGACTTAAATATAGGTGTTAGAATGGTGTGTGAAGTAGCTCTTCGACCATACCCTAACTAGTCATTATCATAACAGTACGGTAGTCATTTTTGTATGGCCTGCTTTGGCTGCTTTTAAGACAATGTAATGATACTGATTAAAGGTGTGGTGACTGAGTGGGTACAACACTCACTTCCTGGTTTAAGGGTTGCTGGGTCACACACTCGGAGCTTATATTTAACCCAGCTGTATATAGGTGCAATATCTAATTTTACAGTTTGGTAAGTGAAACTGGTCGGCTGTAGTGCCAACCACACTGCCTCCTTGTGTACTGAGTGTTACTATTTTACTGTTTTACTTTTATCCTCTTTGCCACAGTGCTGTGTCCACTCTACCTAATGGGCTGCCATTCCAATGGCCAGCTGTATTTTTGTAAAATAACCGAATTTACTACCTTTTTACCAAATACTGTATTACTTACGTGACAGGAGAAGCATCATCTCTGATCATTACATGCATATCAACACAATTAATATGGTATAGAATATTGTTGTAGTATATAAAAAATGCATCTAAATGTCATTTCTCCTCATGCAATGGCACATTTCGACCTTAGAGCCAGCCAGGCAAGGGTACTGGGAGAGGATGTTTTTGAAGAGTCCAAGTGGTGTAAAATTAAATTAAAGGGAGGGGACTTACTTATTGTCGGGTGTATCTACAGCTCCCCAAACTGTGGCCCACTAAATCAAAGGAACTTAAGAGCCTTAATAGACAATGCAGCTATGCTCAACCCAAGCCACCTCCTTATCATGGGGGACATCGACTGGAGAAACGAGTTCATCCCAAATGGCTTGAAAAACCCTACTACTCTTTTTGTAGAAATTCTGAGAGATAATTTTCTGTTCCAACATGTTAGAGACCCGACACATTACAGAGGGGAGCAAACACCCAAGCCACTAGACGAGGAGGGTATGGTGGCCAAACTGGAACACCTTGCCTCAGTTGGCACCAGTCACCATAAAGTGTTGTCATTCAGATTTAACTGTTACCTAGTTCAAGATAAGGCCAGGCCAAGGTGCAAATATTACAAGGGAAATTACAACGGGATGAGGGAAGAGAGGAGGGTATCCACTGGCCTGACTCATTAAGGCACAAGAACGCAGACACTACGCTGAATATCATAACCAGTAAAGTGACCCATTTGATGGATAAATATATACCCAAAACCAAACCCAGTGTCTCTAGGAATACGAGGGGATCCCTACACATTTCTTTTAATATCACAGACAACTTTTGATATTGAACCTGACGGACTGTTCATTGATTTCAAAGCACTTTGAGAGTCACAGACTATCACCCCACCTTCATTTTCTTTAAGGTAATAAGGTAGTCTGTAGCTAAGTAGATTACCATTAGTTCAGTTTGTGTTGTGCTGGCCCAGTTGTTCAGCTTTTGCATGTTTGACACTATTATTTCCTTTTCTTTAAATATTACACATGCACAACCTTTTCTACTTGTGTTTGTCCGCACAGAACCATCAGTAAAAGCATAACATTCACTTGATTTAATACTCTCTATGTGACTGTAAATAGTTTCTAGTGTAATACATCTCACCACATCGGTGTTTAACATTTTATTAATACCAACAGGAGTGTAATTAATAGGAACTGATATAACCAACCAAGGAAAATAGCATAAATGGGTTCGTCTGGGATGATTGGGACATTCAGTTTCAAGAGATCTGCAACACTTTTGTGGAAGGTTAGCGAGACAGTCGGGACTCAGTTTGAGCTGTAGTTTGGGGACCATTATTCTTCAAAAGTTTGATACAAAACATGGTATTAAGCAGAGCTATCCTCTCGGACAGAGAGGGCAGCCCGAGCTCTTTCCTCATGTTTACAATTCTGGATGATTTTGGGCATCCTAGAATGATGCGCATGGCTTCATTTTGTACCACCTCAAGGCTGTTCAGTTGTTTAGTGGGAACAGTTACGAGATGGAGGGCATGATAATGAACTACAGATCGAATGAAGCGAAGATAGAAATTACGAGCATAGATGATGTTAATTACATTGCCCTTACCAACAAGGGTTCTGAGAGGTTTAATGCGCTGCAATAGTTTGGCACGAAGGTTGCTGACGAAGTTCGCATCATTCACATTAATTCCAAGATATTTATAAGAGCAATGAGCTTATGCATCAGTATACTAAAGAGCATAGGACTTAACACTCCTCCCTGAGGCGTGCCAAGCTCAAATGCTCTCATTCTGGTACTTTTGACACCCCTAAACAGAACACTGGCATACCTGTTGGACAGATAACCCTTTATCCATGTCAGGAGGTTACCTTGGATGCCAAAATTAGCTAGTTGCTCAAGTATAATGTCTCTATTAACTACATCAAAGGCTGATTTAAGGTCTATGAAGGCTGTTTGTGTCTTATCCTTTGAGTGAACAAGATATTCTGCAAAGCATGTCTGTGTGCTGCGCCCGGGCATGAACCCATACAGATTAGGGGCCAGTTTGCCTTTGACATGAAACATGAGGCTGTTGAGAACAACTCTTTCAAGGACTTTGCACATACAGGCTATGAGTGAAGTGGGCCTGAAGTTTGGAAAGTTAGCTTTAGGGATTGGTACTATGTTTCCTTGAGTCCATGTCTTAGGTAGAATATCCTGTGTGAGGCTCATTTGATACATTTCAAGCAGTGGATGGTTAGGGATTTCATTTAACAATCTCAGGGTGTTATAGGTTATGCCATCCTCACCAGGGGAGGATGACTCACCTTTCATTAGTGCTGTTGTTAGTTCGTGGTGCGTTATAGGAAACTGGTCGGTAAGGTCTGGTGAGGAACAGGCTATTTCAATATTGAAACCCCTATTAATGTGTGAGGTGTTAAGATATTGTTGTATGTCAGGAGGCAGGGAAGTGATTCGTGACACACTAGACCATTGGTCTAATAACATGTCAGCATATTCTGCAGGCTGTGATGATGTTGGACTGGGGTGGGTGACTTGGTAATGGCTCTAATTTTGTTCCACACTTCTACTAGAGTGGTTGTTCTATTAATCCCCTGTAAGAATTGTTCCCAATAGTTGTTCACGAAATTCTCAGTTAGCTTTGAAGAATGCCAAGAGGTTATCGCTCGTTTTATTTTGCTTATAAGTGTTGGCAAGCTGTTCTACCTTCTCTCCTTCTTTGATGGGGATGGGGTCATGTGTTCACAGAGGTGGTTTAGCGCTGCCCCCCTTTCTCCTTGACTTAACCCAGGTGGTATAATTGAGGCGCTCTTATTGATAGTGACAAATCAACCAATGGCGCCCAAATCAGATTCTTTTCTCAACAGGAAGCCCGACTCTTTTTCTACCCAATACAGGGTTTATTCATAAGTGAGCAGGCTACTTCCTGCTCCACTATTGTATGCTATAAACCCTGCTATCCTGGGTGCACCTTCTGGGTGCTGGACGTGTAAGGTTCTTGTAAACCAATTACATCAATGTTATAAACTTGCACATACCATTGTAGGTCATTAATTCTGCGGTTAACACTCCGGATGTTCCCTGATATAAACCTAAGCATTCGTGTTACTTCTGCCATCTTGATCTGAGTTGTAAGAATTGTGAGTTAGTTTCATAGATCAACCTGACCAATAAGTTTTCTCTTCCATGTGCATTGTCCTTGGAATTCTTGAGAATGCGTTGTGCAGCCTATGTTCCAATAGGATTTCTATACACAGATTCCCTCATTAGTTCCACGAGTTCCTCCTCCGGGAATGATGGAAGAAGGACAGGGTCATACAGTAGACAGTTTTCAGACCTGGGGTTATTGTAGTGACCACGCTGGCAGTCTGGGCCTCATTCTCCCCATTCATACTTCCATCATTATCGGTCTCACTCTCCTCACTCACCCTCAAGTCACCCCTTGTATCCTGGGTCTCACTCTCCTCACTCACACTCACATCATTATGGACCTCACTCATACTCACATTATTATGGGCCTCACTCATTCTCACATCATTATGGGCCTCACTCATACTCACTTCATTATGAGCCAAGATTATCGCCTGAATCCTTCTAAACAGACTTCTTCCTGAGGCGGAAAACTTCATCCCAGAATCTCAATCTAGCTTTAGACCATCACGTGGCACCACTGACATGATCTTTGCTGCCCGCCAGATACAGGAAAAGTGCAGAGAACAGCATTGTAACTTGTACATGGCCTTCATCGGCCTTACTAAGGCCTTCGATTCATTCTACAGGTAAGCCCTCCAATTCGTGGGGGACTCTGTCGAAGGCTTTACTAAAGTCGAGGTATACCATATCATAATCGCGCCCATTGAGATGTGCATTTCAAGCCTTTGGTAGAACTCCGTACCCATGTCTTCAGCTGTAGGAAGGTGAAATTATCTACAAAGTTGCACGTACGGTACAGGTATATCGATCAGTGGTTCTCCCCACCCTTCTGTATAGCAGCAAGACATGTTTCACATACAGGAGGCACCTCAAGGCACTTAAAAACTTTCACCAACGTAGTCTACATTTCATCCTCTGAGTTTGCTGGAAAGATAAAAGAACA